TGATATACCACCGACAATAGACGTCGACGAAGCAGAAGAGCACCACTTTTCCGAACCCACTGCCACTACCACTGCGTCAATGGTTCCTGATTTTTCTCTGGATGTTTCTGACGTGCTATCCACTGCCACTACCACTGCGCCAATGGTTCCTGATTTGTCTGACGTGCTATCCACTACCACTGCGCCAATGGTTCCTGATTTTTCTCTGGATGTTCCTGACGTGCTACCCACTACTGACGAAGCAAAAAGGGGACAGTATGAAGCAGGTACCGCTATGTTTTGTCCTGATGACAAGGAGGACGTCCGAATACTATGAAGAGGTGGGTTAATAACATTTACATATTGTAATCTTTTGTTATTGTTGGTACTAAGACATATAAAGGAACGATATCAACATGCAGTAGAATGTGGCATGTTGGACTTCGAACTAGGTTGCTGGTCAGCTATCAGAAAAGTGTTCCCCGGGATGAAGTTAAAGGGCTGTGTTTTTCATTGGATACAATGCGTTTGGAGGAAGGATCAGGGTGTTGGTTTGGCGGGTACCTACTACGAAAGGAAGACCATCTATAATTTATTTAATTTATTGATAGTAAATCCAATATATTTATTTATTTAATTTATTGATAGTAAATCCAATATATTTATTTATTTAATTTATTGATAGTAAATCTATTTATTTATTTAATTTATTGATAGTAAATCTATTTTTTTAGGCATTTCCAACAAGGATTATCTAGCTGCGAGGAAAATGAAGATAGAGGAAGATAGTGGTATACCACCGAAAATATCAGCATTTTCATGATGGGTTTCCGAACAAATAATGATTGTGAAGGTGAGTTAATTTAATTACTTACATTATACTTACATTCAATATTATTTACATTCAATAGTATTTACATTCAATAGTATTTACATTCAATATTATTTACATTCAATATTATTTACATTCAATAGTAATTAGTAGTTTAATTGAATATTCTTATTACATGTTGACATTCTTTAATATGAGATTAAAGTATTTCAGGATGGCACAGGCGTCTTAATTCAAGATGTATGGGAGCGGGTCTCAGTTTTTATATTTTAGTACCAATTTTGAAGGAAGAAGGAGAATTAATAGATATGCAGTGGACAATGGTTGAGGAAGGGGTGAATTTTAGAAATTGTAGGAAAAAAAATTGTAAAATAAACACTAAAATATTTGAAGCCTGGGGGAAATACAATGATAGATCAATCACAACGAGTAGTTTTTTAAAACTAGCGGGTAACTTGTATGGCTATAAATAGTTTACTAAAATTTATGTACAAATTTATTGAAATAGTTTAACAAATAATTTAAAGAATTTAATTTAACAAATACAATAAATACATAAAATAATTTAACAAATACATTTATTCATGAAATAATTTAATGAAATTTAACAAATACATTTATTTATAAAAGCCGTAAAAAGATAATTTAATGAAATCAAAGTAATTGATTTATGTATGATTTATGTATGAAATGATATAATATAATTTAATGAAATCAAAGTAATTGATTTATGTATGATTTATGTATGAAATGATTTATGTATGGAATGATACAGATAGTATTACTAAAAGTGCCATGACATGTTGTTATTGTTATTGTTAAGTTCAAAAATTTCAGACATAGATAACCAAGACTATTTCTTGATACGTATGTTCTACGTCACAGCTTTTTTGTTTCTGAAGAATTTTTTCTGTCATGCGGGTCTCTTTTAAATAGTACAAGCCGCTCTGTGGTACTCTCTGATTATAAACTTGTTTTGGAGCCTTGGTAGTAGACAACTTGGTATGTACATTATAATTGTTTTATTATAAAGATTTAAATGTATTTATAATAAGATGTCATATAGTTAATGCTAAGAAATATTGTTTTGCCTGTCATTTACAAGTGATTGTGCTCGGTGCTGTTATGTCTTTAGTGCACTGATTGGGATCTTTGTATTAATTATTTCTTGCATATTTTGTATGAAAGGTTTTTGCTATTTCTATGTGCTACTATTAGGTGATAATCTAAGAATAATATGGTGTCTTTGTTTCTTCAAATTTGAATTACTTAGTGTATATTTTAATATAAAACTAAGTACCATTCATTTACATTGCGTCTGCAAGTTGGTAATTTGGAAGAGTCCATTTTAGTACATATATGTACTATATAGACCACCCTTACAGAATCTTTACTGTCAACTTAGGTCAAAGGTGATGAAAATTAATGTAGTGTTCCCAGAACTGATAAGGATGTATAGAAAACATAAATTTAAGATAGGGTGTGTGTGTACTTATTCCGGTACTAGTTAAGTGGCCTAATAATAAACAATATATTTTGTTATAATTTATTAGCAATATATTTTATTTTATTTTCAGTTAATCGTCTCCAATATACTCCGTCTATATCTAAAATTACGTCTCCTAGATAGGTGTACCTTCCAGTATTGATGTCAATAAACTGTATTTTCCTCTAAATGTATTGTCACTGTTTTGGGGGGAAAGAAGATTATTGGTGTGTGTAGGGAAGCGTTGGGACGCATTGAGCAAACGCCTACAGTTATAAATGTATAAATAAAATATTAAAAATACGTAAAACCTGTTTATTGATTTGTGGGATGAAACGACCCGATATGTGGGGTGAAACAGCACGGGGTCCATTTGGGATGAAACAGCCCGGGGTGAACCGGTCATGGGATGAAACGACCTGCTCCCATCAGAAATAGATATATGTCAGTCAGCTAAAGGTATTCTATATCAATATGTTATTTCTTATTTTGATATTCAATATTATTTGAGAAAACATATACATTATAACCATCAAAGATAAGGCGTATGACTTAAAGAATTGAATCAAGTGTCAAGTATAGCGATATAATGAATCTATACTCGGAGTTTCATCACTCAAGCATCAACCGTAAGCAGAGGTTGTTTATCATCGAACTAGATCAAGGCATTCACCTAATGAACGACTACACCTAGTTTGAACATTCTACCTCAATTAGAAGGAGAGTTACTGTTTTCCAAAGGCTCGCCTGTCAAATTGCTTATCGCCCTGCTTACCCTGAGCAGAAAATGCTCATTATCAAACATAGTCATGGTATTGTTCATTCTCCACACAAGTCTCGCTACTGCAAGGGAAGACAACTCTGTTTGGGAGATTGGTATTGATGGTCTCAGACTAGCAATTATTTGACCATTGACTTCAATGTTAAATGCCTGTAACATCACAGGCTGTAGCTTTTTGCTCAACATTCCGTTGGTTCCAATCTTTATAGGCACAATAGTGACAACATTTGGCAATCTCCTCATCATAATTTTGTAGGGGGTTGACCATTTAGATTTTTTGCTACGCGGATTTGAAGTTGACTGGGGTGAAAATCTCACTTCCGACACAATGATTGCTCTGCAGAAAGATACTTTACACACCCTTTCCCTCCGCTGTAATATCATCAGTATTACCCAAAACTGCTATGAAATTGCAAATTTGATCCCTTTTCTCCAATTCTAGACGAAAAAGTCAACCAAAAAATGCAGGAAGAGGGCAGAAAAAAATTAAGGGAAAAATTGTCTCTTTATAACTCGCATTACATTCGTACCATCATGAAATAAGTCTTAGTCCTGATGTGATAAAACTATTCACCAAGTGTCCTCACTCTCACCAATTTAGAACTTAAAAGTAGCCAGGTCTCTAACTCAATATCATCCGAAGTCTTACACAAATACGAATTATTTGTCAGTTCAAACCAACATTGATGTTGTGATCTTACCAGGAAAAGGTAGGCTTCTGATATCCAATATTTAAGACCAAATAAACATTTTACCATTGGTCCACGAATTGTTTACCATAGTGTGTTTCAGCTTCATTTGTAACAAGTGACCAGAAAGAACGGGGCTAGACCACTGATCTCTATTTATAGAGATCAGTGGGCTAGACATATTCAACAACTCGTGTCAAACGGTGACGCCACATCTTATCTGGAGAGCATGCGCAATAGACTGGAATAACCAGGCGCTAGAAATTGACGTAATCGTTGCACATAACTGATTTGAAATTAAGAGTCCAAACGGAAACAACTGAATGTAAATCAGTTTATATACATTCATATTACATTATTATATGCATTGCAACCCAATTTGGTCAATTTCTAGGTCACAAATATTAGGGATTTAGCTCCTTTAAGTTATCGTATCCCAAAGTATCAACCAATCAAATTGTTTATCTTTGCTTACCCTCAGCAGAAAATACTCATCTTCGCTCCATCAAGGCATTGACCTAATAAACACCTACACCAAGTTTGAGAGATAGAGAGAGAGAGAGAAATGAGGTTTAACGTCCACTCGACACAGACTAGGTCATTTCGGGACTAACATATGGTTCAATTTTATTTCCACAATTCGCTTGTGCGTAGGGGTCTTTAGCAGTGGGAGGGACCTGGAGAAAACCCACGAGGCTGGACAGGCGACCCTACTCCTTGTCACGTACAACTGGGGAATCGAAACCACGCCAGTTGACTCACTGACAGACTTTATGATACAGCATGCAGGTGCTAACCATTCAGCCATCCAACCCCCCACACCAAGTTTGAACATTCTAGTTCAATTAGAAGGAGAGTTATTGTGTCCCAAAAAGTGTGATGGACGGACAGACAGGCAGACAAACTCATTTTAATAGTCCCCTGCTTTCTTCGACATGGGCCCGACAAGGACAGCTGTCTAGTCGTTCAGATGGTACGAAAAACCGAGGTCCCATGTATCCATTGGCGTACACGAAAAAGATCCCTTGGCAGTTGGAATTCGATATAAGAGTAGGCCATAGTGCCATTGCCCGGGCAAAATTTCCCTCACAGTACACTGTTTTCGGCATATGCTCGTCTTCATTAGCCCAGTTCGGAGCAGAACAGTAGAACGTTAAACCTCTTTTTATTTCATTTCCAACAATGTATGGTGACTTAAATATTTGTAAATAGGCCTTCATTCCAACAATATGGTACATTCCAAAATTTAATTCCATGTTAAATATTTTTAAATATATGTAAACATAAAATACAGACTACATATAGAGAAAGAAGCATTTAATTAACAGGTAACAATCAGGTAAAATTTCAATATATTCACTTTTATTACAGATTATGTTATAGTGACAATATTCAATCAGGAAATATTAGATTGGTAGCCTTCCTGCCTTCCTGTCCCTACTCTTTGAGAGAAATATTAGGGTGTGTCTATAATGAGAAATTATAGCTATACCACCCGACACCAACCTAAAGAAACATTGGATGAACGTATTTATGATGACCCAGTGTTGAACCCAAAGTAGCATAACTTTCACATACTAGAAGTAGTAGGCCATCACTACCAGGCCTGTGTTACTCCCCAGTCCGAGCTATCCCTCAGGACAGCCTTAGTGTAGACACCAACCATGAACAGACAGACAGACAAACAAACGTCACAAATATTAGTATAAATTCTAATGTGACAATTGCACTATTTAGTTGACTTTATCATATTTATTTATTTCAAAAAATCACTAGAAAATATCCAAACAAAATATTTGTACGCTAGTTTGCATTAGTTGGCACCACCACACACGGGCCTATAAGATCTATTTGAGAATATTTACATAACTTTATTTATTAACCCTTTAGAACACCTGGAGCTCCTTCTCTCTCTAGGCCTTAAACTGTCAGTCATGTGACCTATTTAAGAAGGAGGCATTGGGTGGCCGAATAGTTTAACGCATGCGCTTTAGATCATAAGGTCTGTCATTGAGTCAACTGGTGTGGTTTCAATTCCCCGGTTGTACGTGACAAGGAGTAGGGTCGCTTGTCCATCCTCGTGGGTTTTCTTCAGGTCCTCTCAATATCATCAATGATATTTACATGAACCAGGTGCCAAAGGGTTAAATTAAATTAAGGCAATCATAATAATTAATAAAAACAGGCACATAGATAGAGGTATATATATATATATATATATCATTTCCAGGGCCGGATAAAGAGGGGTGCTAACCTGGACTGCATCCAGAGGGCCCCATTATTAAAGGAGTCCCAATTTTCTGTATATCAAGCATACAATTTATGATTTTATTTATTAAGTTGTACGGTATTTGTGCCAAATAAATCTATCTACCATACTGACATACACATTGTATATTACCCCACCCACTCCTTTTCACAGTTGATGCTAGGGCCATGGTGATATTTTCAGTCTGGGGCCCTATATAAGCTTAATCTGACCCCGATTATTGCTTAGTTATACATAAAGCAGAATATAATCATGAATAACAAGCAACTGTACTACAATATATACTGGTTATATAACAAGCTAGTGATTACAATATATCTATATACTACCGATAGTTATACTGTACTAAAATATATACCCGGTTATATAAAAAGCTAGTGACTTCTGTACTACAATACATTGTTTTATAAGACTATATAGTGACTACATGTAAATATAATAGATACATAAAGACTGAAATATTTCCATTTATTCGGATGTCCAGAACGAACTAAAAAAAGCTGCATATTTTTGAATAAAAACCAATGTATGTCAAAAGGTTGGCGGACACCCGACTCTCGGACACATTGGTTGTATATAGCGGACATATGCAATAGATTCCTGAATATATCTGCAGTTTTTCTGACATCCAAAAGAAACTAAGATTTCGAGAGAATGTTGAAAAAATAAATATTTTCTGCTTGTCGAACTTTGCTATTTTTAGCAGCGTTTCTCCATATTTTGGTTTGCCTTTTCAATGGTGATTAAAATCCAAAATATCTAGATATAAATATATAATTTCAAAAATATTTTGTCAGTTGTAAGACATAGTTGTTGTATTTAGGTAACATATTTAATCAATGGTTTACTTAATATAATCCAAATTATATAATAGAATTTAAATATCTTATAGTTTATTTTGGATGTCAGTAGACCCTTTAATTCTAACCACCATTTCAGTTACACTACCCCTATTACACAATAGGTGTTATATATATATCTTCATGGTATACATAATTTCCAATGATCGTTACCTTTATTATGACGTAATAATCAAGTAGCATTTAGTTACTCAGCACAAACAAAATAATCACAACATTTCTATGGAAAACAATTATGATTATTACGAAGACCTATAGCGCTTTATCAACCCTCATGCACAAAATAAATGAGATCAAAAACACAAAAATAACAATTAAGAACTAAAAAATGGAGTTAAAAGAAACATTAATTTAAAGAGCTGGGCAAAAAAAAAGTAAGTTTTTAAAAGACATTAAAAATATGAACTGTTTCCACATTGTATCTTTCTACAGTAATCAAGTATTATACTTGATAACACAATAGAATTATTGTACGGTATTGAGAGCTATTTTTCTACAGTAATCAAGTATTATACTTGATAAATACAATAGAATCATTGTAGAAATAAAACACTAATTGTCTTCCTTAGTATTATTGTGATTATTTTTATTACGACTTCCTAATATGGTTAAAATGTAGTGTAAGGAGCTGTAAACCTATCATATCATAATATGCAATGAAATGGGGTTTAACATCCTACTTTTCTGTACCGACTGGGATAACAAAGACGAGCATACACCATGTAGTGTGCTATGAGAGAAATTTTGCCCGTACAGTGGCGCCAAGGCCTACTTTTATATCGGATTGCAACTGTCAAGGGTTCTTGTACGTACACACCAACGTATACACAGAACTTAGTTTTTTCGTCCCATCCTAATGACTAGAAGCCATCCTTGCTAGGTCCTGTGTCCTACACCCCTGACAAGGGGAAGCAATGCTGGAAAACCCCTGAAACCTTTCTTGGATCAAACCCCTGAACCTCCTGTTAAGTGAGCCAACGTCTTACTCACTGAACCCTCGCGACTCGGACCTCAAAATACAATCAGGCTTCAACCAATAATATAAACATAAGTCACCCTACACTAGGTCTTTGGAATGAGACTTGCTAAACATAAGTCACCTTACACTAGGTCTCTGAAATGAGACTTGCATTCAGAGCTAATCATCAGTCACCCTACACTAGGCCTCTGGTATGAGACTTGCATATAGAATTTAAACTTACATCTAAAGTAGACCTACTGTTAACATCTATAATAATTACTGAACAATTTAACCATCTACCCTCACGACATTTTAATGAACAATTTAAACATCTACCCTCATGACTGATTTTATTTATTAATATACTTATTCTCACCTCTTACGTATTAAAAGAAGAATTTTTCAACGTTTTAACAAGTACGATCATACTATGGACCAGGTACTGACCATGTTGTAGGATGAAATTCAAAAAACTAATTCACCAAACTGATGCAGATTTATTCAAAAAAGAAGCATGAATTATTGGAGCCTTAAGAACGACAAGATGAGTAGAGGTTAACGACTAGTTCCTCGTCTAAAATTCATGAAATAATAAAAGACTAAAAGGACATACATATAAAATTACTGGTATACAAAATGTATCTCATGTTGACTGATGATGGAAATAAAATTACTGGTATACAAAATGTATCTCATGTTGACTGATGATGGAAATAAAATTACTGGTATACAAAATGTATCTCATGTTGACTGATGATGGAAATAAAATGACAATAAAATATTATGCAGTGTAATAAATTGCAATAAAACAAAATGGAATTCATTCATTCATAATAATCAGAGCGGCCATCTTGGAATACCAAAACTTAAACAATCGAATGATATAGATTTAGTAATGTATTTTCTAAAAACTTAAACAATTGAATGATATAAAGTATAATGATTTATTTATTAAAACAGGTGGAAGACCACATTAATATAAATAATCATTAATATAAATAATCATTAATATAAACAATCATTAATATAAATAATCATTAATATAAATAATCATTAATATAAACAATCATTATATAAAAACATATACTGAAAACAAACAACATTATATATCATGAATAACTTGCTAAATTGAAACTCTGGGAACAGATGATTAAGGAACCCAATTTTACAAGAAGAACAAATTACAAAATATGTGAAATACTAAAACAATTAAATTAATTTCTTCCTCCCATAATAGTTATAAAAGATGGAGAATTTACATAAAAAAATAACTGAATTCAATTCAGACCAAAACAAGTACTATATGTGTCAGGGTCAGGTCTAAATATTAAGGCCAATTGCAGATTTCCATAAGGTCATGAGATGTAAATAAGGTTAGGGCATGTGATTGTTGACGAGATTGTAGGTTAGGGTTACACTAGCCTTGTTTACATCCTGTGTCCTTTGACCAAATCTGCAGTTGGCCTTAATATTTAGACCTAACCATGAGCCAGGAACCAAGCATGAAGTTAATGCAGCCATCTTGAAATATTGACATAATATCAAAAATTGAAGTCCACAAATCCAAATGCAATTGTCCCAGCTTGCCAAGATTTAACTGCTTGGAGCTTTTTGGAAGAGCCACAGCACAAGAAGTAGAAGAAGATTTCCTGGCAACCCCAGTTTAAAATATAATAAAAATGTTTATGGTAGCTGGATTGGTTAATATGAAGAGTCAAAAGACCACGGAGCAAAAACAAACTGGAACGTACGCCCTCTTTAAATTGCTAAGTTCAATAATGATTAGATTTAACACATGGATTTTCCCATAACCATATTCTGTGAGCATGTTAACGGTAATTTTAAACCTCGTTCTAATAAATTAACGAGCTCCATGCATCCATGACAACAGGCAGCAAAAGGACTAATTAAAACGAAAAGAATAGCACAGAAAAATCCGATCGGAAAGCCGAAGATAATTAGGATAATAAACCATATTATACTCCATAACCAACCACAGTTAGCCATTTTTATACGTCTGTCTGTTCACACTGAAAATATAAAAAAATAAAATTCTCATTACTTTTAAGAGAGAGAGAGAAACAAACTAGGTCATTTTTGGGACTAACATATGGTTCAATTTTTATTTCAGTATTTCTCTTTCATGTAGGGGTCTTTAGCAGTGGGAGGAAACCAGAGGACCTGGAGAAAACCCACAAGGTTGGACAGGCGACCCTACTCCTTGTCACGTACAACCGGGTAATTGAAACCACGGCAGTTGACTCAATGACAGACCTTACGATACAGCGCATGTGCGAAACATTCGACCGTCCAATCCCCCGATTATTTTTAAGGAAATATTAAAAAATTAAGTTAAAAAATTACTACTAAGGTAATTACAATCTACATGGATAGCCATTTCAATTCTCATCTGTATAGGAGAGATGGTGACTAGGTGACTCAATAACCAGTAGGTCTTGTTTGATCCAGCTGTTAGTCTAGAATGTTTCTTAGGATTTCAATTCTCATCTGTAAGAGAGTTAAGGTGGCTCAGTGGGGATGTGGCTCAGGGAGTCAGGCGCTTGCTGACTAAACAAGAGGTGGCTCAGTGCATCAGGTGTTAGCAGAGAAAATATCTCAGGATTTTCCAGCTTATTTGACTAGTCAGTAGTGAAAGATGGAATGTCTAGTCATTTGGATAGGATAAAAACAGGTTAAAAGATCTCTCTATAATATAGTAGCGTAGGATAGAGGGACTGGTATGGAAAAGTTTCTAGTTATTCGGATAGGTTGAAAATAGGTTAAAATTCACACTTTATGGCAGATTGTCGTTATTAGACTGGTTGGATGCAAATAAAGTCGAACATTAACCCATGTGTTATTTTATTTTATTTTTAAGACATCTTGGTTACAACCATCTTCACAACATCAAATCATTTATAACACAGCCTATACCAAGACTATATCATCTTCAGTACCCTCCTAGTTCTTCACCACTCACTCACCCCTACGCATTTTACTCAATATTCTCATATAACATGTTCACGTAAACCACAGTGTCAAATAAAACGTCCTAACTGTAACTGGGCTAATGAACAGGGCTGGTTTTTGGCACATCTGACCAATTTCCTCAAATTGGGCCCCGCACTAGAAAGGGACCCCGCAGCTCACCGACCAGAAAACATTCATACACCATCAATTACTAAACAATCAAATATTTCATAATAACTTAACATTGTGAAGATATTTATCAACTTCCTTCATTATTATAACAATTCAACTTCTATAAAGATTTATAACGCTAACGGTAATGAGGTTATTGCTATAACCAAGAAAACCATAAAGACATCTAATAATTATTGCTATGAGAATATCAATTTATTCTATACACTAATCAATATTCTCCTCACTCAGTGACCACCAAATGTTTCCTAGTCTGGTGTTTAATAAAATATCCTATGAATATTGCTGAAATAGCACAATATATGTGCAATATTATACCACAGGCTATATATATATATATATATATACTTTATAACTGATTATACAGCCGGCGGGTGGAGAGAGAGAGATGGGGTTAACGTCCAATTGACACAAACTATGGCATTTTGGGACTAACACGGTTAATTTTTATTTCAGTAATGGGTCTTTACCAGTGGGGGGGGGGGAACCAGAGGACCCAGAGAAAACCCACTCCTCGACTCATATGAGCAGGGGATTGTGGGTAGGTGGCCAAACAGAATGGTATAACGCAGTGGTTCCCAACCTACTGGTAGTTGTGACCCCATTCTAGAAATCAGTATTTGATTGCGATCCCTTGAGGAACGAAGTCACATTTAATCTTCCACACTTGGACAGAGAGGAAATCTTCTAAAACTAGTTTAATTTTGCAGATCAAAACATTGTAATGAGAGAAACACGATAGAGTGGGAATCCCCTAACCCTAGTTTCACTTTCCAGATCAAAACATTGTAATGAGAGACTGAAGAAACAAATAGTGGGCATGAAACCAGAGGACACAGAGAAAACTCACGAGGTTGGACAGCGGACCCTAAAGACATTGACCACAAAACGTATTTAAATCTACTTATATCGCAGCTATCCGATGGCATTGAGAGTTGATGGTCTTGATGAGTTCCTCTAATTAATAGTTTAGATAACATTTCAGGCCTAAAGAAAGACCTGCAATAGACAGATTTACCTCTTGTATAACGTATGTTTACAAGTAGGTGAATTATTGAAATAAACTTGCACAAGTGTTAGTCCCCAAATGACCTAATTTGTGTCTAAAGCTAAACACTATTTTTTGTTTGTATATATTCTACCATATTCCGGATCAAACCGGCGTATTTTCTCCGTTATATATGAGGTGAATATAACATGTGAAACTGTCTATAAGTGACGATAAACGCCCGTATATTCAATAATCACCAGTAAATATATACAATGTTGCAGATTTGATCACATACCGTGGAATAACTCACTGTAAGAAGATTATACATACATCGGGCGATATTCCATTGACCTAGATTTTATTATACACGCATATAAAACCAGCAGTACAAAGACACGTCTTTATAAATGGTACATACCTGTCGATTTCAAGTCCAGTTCTAAACAAACCTCCACAACCGATATTCTTTAATCTGATCGAGACAAACAAATTCTGGGATAGTCTGCTGTACAGTCATACAAACAATACACTCATACAGTGAATGGCCGGAACGTTTGAACTATGACCTTATCATGTGACCAGCCTTTCGCTGTACAGAAGTGGCAAACATTTTCATAATAGATAAAAAGCGCGGGAAATTACTGTAGCCTAACTGGCGTTATAATATAGTATGGTTATTTATATCAGCTATTATGACATTAATAAAGACTGTATTATCTGCGTAGCTGTCTATAGGTTGAAAGTTTATTGTTATAAATTTAATACCCAACAATAATATGTTATAAACTGCGTAGCTGTCTAGTCTATAGGCTGAAAGTGTTATAAATTTAATACCCGACAATAATATGTTATAAACTGAAATAGGTTTAACGACCGACGTATATCTGCTCAACCGGGCTAATTGAACCGGGCCAATTGAAGACAGACAGATAGATAGATAGATAGATAGATAGATTTTATTACATAAAAAAAACCTTTTCGGACAGCATGTAAATTACACATTACAGTCAGCATACATTAAGAAAAATGGATAAAAAATACATAAATTGAATATACGCAACAAATTTGGCCCAGGCATCGGCATTTCCGCCTATGATTCTTTATTTAATCGAATTCTGATAGTCAGTGGTTCTTTTATGTGCACGTCAATGACTACGATTCGAATGACTAAAGAACTTTCCTTGCAACCCCCACCTTCATTAGCCCAGTCGGAGCAGTGCAGTGGGACGTAAAACCCCATTTCATTCCCCGCCACTGTCAGGCGCGGTGGGTCTGGGGCCAGATTGGAATTTTCTCGTACAACAGGGTATCGAACCCGGTAACCAGAGGTTAAGGATCCAGCGTTTTTAAGATCGAGTAGACTTTAACGGGCAGTGCAGATCAACCAGATCAAAGTTTCTGTTTCACAGATAAACGTACATGGTAGTCGTAAGTAATCGAGTAGAAGACGGGGGTGGGGGGGGGCAGGCGGGATGTTTTCCTAAATAAAAATAAAGGTAGGACCTATCTAATGAATAAATCGATGCCATTTGGTGGATTCTGACCTATATCTTTGGGGTAACAAAATATCATGTTTGCTATCTTGAAAAAAAGTCACTGGACAGTGATAATTTAATGAACTATAGAAAGTCGACCTATTCTTTGTCATCAATTGAAAGACAACCATTATATATGAAAGAGGACGAACCTGACTGGTTGGACAAGACAAAACTCTTCATATGTGGTATAAATAACACAACATGTGATATATTGATATCAAAACAAAACATAAAATCACCCCATTTCTTGTAGACAAAGTCATTATTACAAACTATAAATGACATGGAAACATCGAGCCTATCCTGTTGTGGGAGAAAAAATAACTGCATATGCCGAGCTTACTTCCAAAACACCCCTGGGTCTGGGCATCTGACCATACGACAAAGTTTGCATTCGAAGTCAGTCATATCGCCATATCATAGGCCTAAAGACTCCATTCCCCCCTTTCTGATCTAGCATACGCTATGGTACAGTTAGTTCCTCTTCTTATTATGTTCCTTTTCTAGAACCGACGATTCAAATCTGGAATACTCACTCAACGTCCAATGTGTCTTCCTGAATTTCTTGAAACCATGGCAGTGTGTTCAGCATAGGCGTAGGAGCCGGGGGGGGGGGGGCATTTGCCCCCCAAAAAATTTATTTTCGGGCAATGAAAAATTCGACGACCTTTTTTTTTCTATTAACGTTTAGAGAAAAAATATAACTAACTTATTTCTATGAGATCCACACTGCCCGAAAAGTATTTTCTCGTCTTTTTCTTGTCCACTGCATATGCCCGAAAATATGCCCGAAGCTCTCTTATGATAGGTATGCCCGAAAAAACGGTATTGCCCGAAAATAGGTATTGCCCGAAAAACGGGCATCGGGCCGGAAAGCGGCAAAGGAAACTAGCAGTAAAACGCGTTTGCGACCGTCAAATATTCCAAAATTTTCTTGGCGGGTCATTCGCCTCTCAAAGAAAACCGGCGCCGCTGTCTATATAAATCCGAAATTTTTCGGGCATTTCTAGTTTTGCTTCCATAACTGTCATCGAGCCCTAATAAAACACTAATTTTACTTTTCTTGTAATTGAATATCACGAATTTGTACTGAGTTGACTATGGATTAAAACATTTTGTCTGGAACCACTCTACTTTGTGCGACATTTTTCAGGCATCGATTATTATTTGTGAATGCAGATGCAACAGTCTGATTGGATGGTTAGAATTCAGAGTGGGATTTCAGTTACAAAACCATTGGATACTTTTGGAGTTGCTTACACGGGCTAGAATAGCAGAAAACGCATTTACGGTGATTAAATTTTCAAATTTTTCTCCGGGAGGGTGAGGCCTCCATATACCGCGCGACGATTGATTGGTTGTTTGGTGGAATTCGGGTCAGCCAGGTAGGCTATATTGGACCAAATTGAAGTTGCTGTATTCACAGACTGGAATAACAGGAAAACGCGTTTGCGGCAGTTACATTTTCAAAATTTTCTCCCAACGGTCCCGTCTTCGTTGACTGTAAACGATTGATTGGAATTCGAGTCAGCCACCTTAATAAGGCTATAATATATATTCGACCACTTTGAAGTTGCTTTGTTCACCGGCTGAAATAGCAGGAAAACGCGTTTGCGACAGTTAAATTTTCAAAATTTTCTCCTAACGGTCCCGTCTTCGAGGACTGTAAACGATTGATTGGAATTCGAGTCAGCCACCTTAATTAGGCTATATAAGACCGCTTGAAGTTGCTTTGTTCACTGGCTGAAATATCGGGAAAACGCGTTTGCGGCAGTTAAATTTTCAAAATTTACTCCTAACGGTCCCGTCTTCGAGGACTGTAAACGATTGATTGGAATTCCGAGTCAGCCACCTTAATTAGGCTATATTAGACCACTTTGAAGTTGCAATAGCAGGAAAACGTGTTTGCAGCCGTCAAATATTCCAAAATTGTCTTTGGGGGGGGGGGTATACAAGGTCGCTGCTGTCTGTAAACCCGAAATTTTTTCGGGCATTTCGGGTTCTGCCCCCCTAACTGTCATCGAGCCCCTACGCCTATGGTGTTCAGCTGCAGAAATCATTGTATGGGATATATTTTTCTCAAATCACAGAGGCCTGTAATGATTCTGGACAAAAGATATACTACACACGGACTCACAGTATTCATAGTAAATTGAAAATTGAAAATGAAAGACTTGTTTGACAAACAATTATTTACGTGTTTTCCAGGGAACTAGTGTTTGTGACGCCCGGGTGGTCCGTAGGTGTTCCCCCAGGTACACACGACAAACACAGCACATGAAAATATACTTTACAAATAAGGCAGTCTTCGTGGAAATACAAAATTATATCAGACGATATTTATCATTTTACTATCCAGAGTGGATCCTTATTAAACATACATTATTCAAGTTAAATATGCCTATTACAGGTCTTTCTTTAAGCCTGTCATATTATCAAAATTATTTATTAGACATTATTATTAACATGACAAGACAATAATCAACTCTCGATGCCATCGAATGCCTCCGATTCTCAACAGATTTGAACCATATCTGCTGTTCAACGACCATTGATGAAAAACCGTAAAAATGTTGGGGGGGGGGGGGGGTGTTCGTTTTGACTTTGAAGAGTTTTTTTTTAATTTCTGTTGAAAAAGAAACAATCACTTAACTCGACAATAAAAACTGTGTAAAGTCAAAACAAACCAAAACAAAAACAGCCAAAAATCAAAATTTAAAGAGGTTTTCTGAAAAATATAAATAGCGTTCTGTGGCTTTGAGGAGAGCATTAAAATTGATGAATCATGGAAGTTGGTGGGGGTATGAAGTTAATGAGAGTATGAACTTTATGATTTTAATGGAGGCATGAAAATAACGTATGATATTAATGGGAGTATGACATTATTCTGTAACATTAAGTACGGCGTTGGTCTAGTTATTCGATAAATCAGTGTATGGCAACCTTGAAATAAATTACTTCTCCATATCTTGTAATTATAAGATAGTTAATTTGTAATAACAAGATAGCTATGTAGCTATCTTGTAATTACAAGATAATCAGAATTATTTTTTTCATTTGATTGACCCTAGTGATCTTCCGTCATTTTTCTATGCATGTACATTGATGTACATGTATGTGTATGTTTGTATGATGTCCGTTAATGGACGTAATATGCAAAAAAAAAAAAAAAAAAAGAAAGAAAAAAAAAGAAAAGTTGAAGTTAAAGTAAACGCAGTGATGATTCACATGGTCATTATGTTCTGTCTCATGGGTTTTTGTTTGTTCTTGTTATTTTTTATTTCTTTTATTTCGTATCTGTTATGAAAGGTCTTTTGATACAACAAAATATATCATTATGACATCGAAAACACCGCTTGGCTGCTAATCATACGAAAAATTGATGGGCACGCCACGCCCCCATTGTTCCAATCCATAATTTAGATACAACCAATGAATTTTCAAGATGGCGAACATGGAAAATAAAACACCCACTGCTGTCAAAACCAGGGAGACCTCTGGTTTTCTCATGTCGATAGTCAGAACACTTTCCTCAAGTGCTGATTTTGAACAAAGGGAAAAGGAGAAAACGAGAATCGAGAAAGCCTTCAGAGAGAGTGAAAAACGGTTGGGCGAGTTGGTGACGGGAAATCATCAAGAGGTGATTAAAGTTTTACAAGCTTTTAGTTCGATGACAAAATGCATACAGGACTCGAGGAATAAGATGAGAAAGATTAAAGATGATCTAAAATCTTGTAAAACACTGCTTCATTTTAAAAGAGATGAGTTGAAAAAGTTGTGGAAAGATGGGGTCGAACATAAATCTGTGTTGCACATGTTAGATCAAGTCGAACAAGTTAGGGAAATTCCTGACAAGATGGATTCGCTATTAGCTAATAAACAATATCTAAAGGCCACAGATCTGATCGTGGGCGCGGTTGCCACACTCGAAGGCCCGTTAGAGGGTGTTGATGCACTTCGCGATTTGAAACTGGAACTTATATCGAGGAAGGAGAAATTACATGAAGTGTTGATTAAAGAGTTAAATCACCAAGTTTACGAGAAATCGTTCGAATTGTACATCAATTCTAGACGTCGCAATATTAGTCGAACGTCTCCTGGCAATCCTATTAGTAATCCTGTAGGTCAAGAAATAACGGATAGTCTTCAGGTTCGAGACCGAGAGATAAGTGTGGACGGTAAACCAGCAGATAATATACCAATAGGCGTGCTGATAGAATCTCTCTCAATTCTCAGACGATTACCAGATGCCATAGAGACAATCAAAGCTGAGATGGAACCAGAATTAATGAATTTAGTTTCAAAAGTTTCGCAGCAAATTGTTGAACACGCTTGTCAGCAGGGGGAGCCATTTACTTATCAGAATCAATCGTCGTGTCTTTTGGAGTTTCTTGAGACAATTTTCGCACAGTTTCGTTGTGTTGCAAAGTTACATCAGAGTATTCTGTCCCATATTAATAGAATAACGTCGAGAGGGATGCCGATTAGATCCGTGCTTATGTACGATATGAAGGACGTTTGGTCGAAAATACAAGCCGTGCTTCAAGTTCTGCTGGGCGAATATCTCGACGTTCAGAATACGATTTCAATAAACCAACAGTCAACGTCAGCGTTCGATGAACCGAGTGCGGACATAAAACATTATTTCAGTAAAAAGAGGACGACTAGGCCTAAGAAGTTGTCGTTGTTTAGATTTGATGCGTCGCTTCATGCTTTGAGTACGAATAGTTATATTGAAGATAACCGACATTTTGATACGTCCGAGTACATGCGTGAACCGGGTTTAATAGCAGGGATGGCCAAACATCAGTTCGTCTGTAAACCAGCAGCCAATAATATTACAGCAATTTACAAACCATTAAAGGTCTTCATCAAGGAGATCGAGACGGCAATGGAATGCCCAGCAGGTCTGCAGGAATTTGTTAACGAATTTCTCCAGAAAGCATTCCTGGGGCAAGTGTACCAACGGGTGTCGAAATCGATTGACGAGGCTACAAGAGGTTTTGATGCATTGCGCCACGTTATTGACGAGAAGAGTCGACGAGATTTGGGGGTTCCGCGGCCTTTATTACAGAGTACGGTAACCGTAGAGAGGAACATCCAGGAACTTAGGGAATTAATGCAGGATCTACCAGACTGTTCGGAACAATTTTTGAATATGATCTGTAATGTTTTGGGCGAATACAAAGATAAATGTCATGCAGCTTATCGGGATATCGTGCAGCACGGATCAGATGAAAAACGCGTTATTTCGGCCATGTGGGCGAAAGACGAAGATATAAGTCGATTTTTAAGATCGTTGCCGGGCTGGAGGACATTACAGCCAGGTGAAGGTCAGGAATTGGACAGAACTGTTTGTTCCGAGGAAGAGATGCGGGCACTGAACTCGAAAGAATCAATCATTCTTATTACTAATCTGTCGTCTGATGATAATTTAATTCCACAGCAAGAAATAATCACAGACATTACACAAATGAGGACGGTCGCTAATGTACACGAAAGTTTGGAATGGTTTGCATTTGGTTTACGGCAGTTTGTTTCTACATTAACAAATAAATCAAATCAAACTCCTTCTGATATTCCTAAAGTATCCGAAAAGATATTGCAATCGTTGTCGAAACTGGTTCAGGATTTCCAAGATTTAGCCGAAATCTGTCTTCTGCTGTTGCATTTAGAAGTTCGTGTTCATTGTTTCTATTATTTGCTTCCGGTAGCCAAACAGTCAAATTACGCGGGACCAATAGATGACTTGGATCCGGACTCTAATGTCTTGAAATTAAACAAAGATTTAACCAGCATGGAAGAAGTGCTCGCCCAAAGTCTGCAACCGAAAAAATTCAAATATATATTTGAGAGTTTGGGTTACCTGGTTGCGTCCATTTTAATTAATAGTATTCAATATCTTAAAAAGATTAACGAAAACGGCATCAAGAAAATGTGTCGTAATATTTTAGCGATTCAGCAGAATTTAACGAATATCACATTAACCCGAGAAGCAGATTTAGATCGGGCACGTCATTTTTACGAACAATTATATCTACAACCCGATGATATACTAACGCTCGTAGCGGAGAAAGGCACGAATTTTACCCACACGGAATATAGTCAACTGATACAGCTTTATCATCGCAGTCACCCGAATAAAAAATCTTACCAAGCACAAGATAAACATTTACAAAGATTAACGGAGGTCTGGGAAAAAGGTCAACATGAAAATCGTGATTAAAATTGGATCAAAATGAACTAATTGGATTTTTTATTATATTATAAATTTAGTGCTAATTATGTTAAAATGGACAGTGCATTCATATATTTATAATAATTTAATTCAATTACATATTTATTTAAAACATAAATTGTAATATTTTACATGTATATATAATACACCGTCTTCAAAGAGTCAAAGCAAAAAATCCTACAATCATAGATGACGTGTGTTACCGTGTCTGTACATTGTGCTTTCACATAGACGGAGGATTTTGACATCCGAAGTATTATGTTGCCCATTAAATATCGACAAAAATCCAGACGAAAAGAGAAATCAGTGCCATACAATATGACAGGTATCAGAGAGATTGTGTCTGTTACTGGATGCTGTATTTCCAGGCTTGTTGATATAATATAAATCCAAGTGATATATCAACAACTGTCCCTTTCTATATAATATACAACATATTGACTATTGTACAATATATACAACATATTGACTATTGTACAATATATACAACATATTGACTATTGTACAATATATAAAACATATTGACTATTGTACAGTATATAAATGTTGACTTTGTTCTTGTATATTATTGGTTAATTAGAAATTAAATGAAGTAGGATTTATCGTCCTGCGTATCTGCACCAAATAGTCTAATGAAGATCATACGTACTCCTTACAATCTGCTACGAGGGAAATTTTGGACGGACAGCAGCATTACAGCCTACTCTTATATTGAATTCCTTCAGTCACAGGTTCTTTTACTTGCGTGCTAACGTGTACACGAGGCCTCAGTTTTTCATCCCGATCGATTAGACACCTGTTCTTGTCAGGCCCCCCAACAGATTATTTATAAAACTAGTTAAAGAATTAACATTCACATTCTCCTCCAGTTGATCATGTGTTTTAATTAGAATGTAGACATGTACAACATTTAGTACTAAAATCATTAGACATGTTTTCATGCGTCAAACTTGCTACAAGGCTTTCTCTTTAATACTGTCAATATCATTCCAGTGTGTAACTATACAATTGTCAACTCAGCAATCTACAGCCAACAAAGGTCAAAGAAGGTTTATCTTGTAGTATTGCATGTCCAGGTCTTTACACAGGGCATCCTCAGTTTTATTAAAACTGAGTTATTATTGTTCCATGTTTTTCGTTTAGACACTCCAGTAGCATTTAGTCAAAGACATGTTTAGAAAAGATGCATTCTTGTCCTATGACGACAGCTAAATAATACCATCCAATTTCCTGTGTCACAGATTGGTAGATTGATGTTAAATTGACCAATCACTATCTGTTTTTTAATGAAGGCCTACATGTACCTCTTGAGCCTTATTACAGACTGTGTAACCTGCTCTATATTAGACACCTGCACAACATGGCTCCCTACTTGCTGCCCTTAGACTCGTGCACAACATGACTCCCTACTTGCTGCCCTTGAAGAAAACTTATCAGCAGTAAATATTCGCTTGGCCGCTAAAATCACTGAAAGGGATGACATAGGGACGAGTTGATTAAATCTCTATATTAACTTATACAAATTAAATTCTAAAACAATATAAATTTTTTAAAAAAAGAAATAAATGTGTTGGCAGTATATCTGGATAAAGAATACTTAGTGTAAATTGGTAGATAAAATAGTACGCGAAGGTGTAAAGTTAGTTAAAGACACCAATTCAGCTCTGATCAGTTTGTGTTACTACATCTGAAGTAAACATGCTATCATCGAGACTGTGATGTCACCCGGCCGTAGACCTATGCTACTCATGAACTTAGAGGTCCGCCATCTTGTACAGAGATGACCACTTTGAAACAAGATTGTTATTAAAGAGGTAGTTTTATATGAATATAACCAACTATTGAGAATACATAATATTAATTTTAATTCTATGTGTTTAGAAATAAATTATAAGTGTATGTTAATGATACAAGTTCTGAATGAATGGTCTAATTTATATCAATGTAAGAAGATATTTTTATAAAAACAATATTATATATTTAAGATAGACCTGGTTACCAGATAAATTCTATTAAGTTATATATGATCTAAAGGTAATTCTCAAGCAAAATACAACATTTAAATCTCTTCAAATTGGTTGACATGAAACTTTTAACTAAGTCTTCAGAGCTTTGATGAGTGTTTTGATGACAAAAGCAACAACTCCATGAATAAATGACGCACTTATGATTCTACCATTTCGAATAAAACGGCTAAGGGATCTTTAACATACATTGGACTGTTTTTGTCTCATCCAAATGACTAGTTACTTTACTTGTTCGCCCTGTTGAGTGGAACTGTATATATGAGAGAGAGTATTTATATTACTGTACAGGTGATGTTGAATATGGCGGCTAAAAGTGATATAAAATACAAGCATACCATGGCTCATGCATGACAACTGTTACTATGCGGGTATCATACAGTAAGCACACCCTGTCTCATGCATGACAACTGTTACTATGTGGATATAAAATATAGCAATATAACATGGACAAATAGCACTAGAATAAGACATGAATATTTACATATTGACTCATATTAAAATATACAAAACACATCTTGAAATAATCAAGGATCACTGGGTATCATTACTACCTTTGGTTCTTTATAAACTGCTCTTTTTATTGACATGTGTCAGACAGGTGATTGTAAACACCTTGATTGAGTAAAGTTATTCAGTGTTGTAGACCTGAACAACATACCCTGTATTATACTTACATGACACTCACTACAGATAGCTCACCGGAGAAATGGTATTAGATGTTCCAGAAAAGGAAGTCATATTTTGCCTCATGCACCATATTTATCACTATTTATGGCTAAACAATGACAGGCGAAGTATTTTGAGGTGAATAGAGTAACGATATGTTATAGATCCTGTGGTTAAACCAAGATGATTAAAACGGGGAGAGACACTAAAATTATTTACGTGGTATCAACAATGTGTTTTAAAAGATATTCATAACATAATATGAGATACAATCAGGTTAATATGAAGGCAGCTGAACATGAAACACTTAGAAGCAGACAATGAATAGGTTTTTTAAAGAATGAATGAGTATAATCTAATACTTTAACAATGAGAAAACATTTAAATATGTCAAGTAGACAATATGATGTATAATATATAATATTTGTTTTTATCTACAGAATGAAACATAGGCTATAAATACTCCACGAGAAAATGCTAACAGGAATGAGAAAATGCTAACACAATAAGATTAGGGACCTTTCACATCGGTACGAAAATGAAAACGTCATCGATTCGTGTGTACTTGTGACGTCAATCCGTAATGAGTGTTTGGCCAGTGAAAAAACGTTACGCGTACAGAGCTGGTTTTACGTAGGTATGCAAACGAATATGTTTCTTGTCTCATATATTGAATTTTGCACCATTTGTCGATGCTTTGTGTATATTGTTGATTGTGTAGAGTTCGTAGAATGTGCTCAAAAGCAATATTCTGCTTGATTTGTTGTACATCTGCCCAAAAATTGATTGAAAACATTGACTTGACCGAGAAGTTCATGAAGTGGAAATTAATGCCATCCAGCTATTATTGTACGTCGGATTGTGAAACCGTGCGTTAGAGGATACGAAAACGAACACGTAAGCGAACATATGTTCGTTTTGGTGTTCGTTTTCGTACCAATGCGAAAGGTCCCTAATATAAGATTACATGGACCCACTGGACCAGTGATAGTTGGTTGAACTCGGGGTATAAATATTTACAAAGATATAACTGTAATAAGATAACAATAAGAATATAACAAAAGAGTTTACAGAGAGAGAGAGAGATAGAATGAGGTAAAGATGTTTAAGATTTTATTCCACGTTTGTTCATCTGGGCTTTAAATTTCTTATCAGCTCGACTATCAGCAGCAGCTTGTCGTCTGTGTTCACTGTAAATAAAATATAAATACTCACTTTAATTATAAAATACACAACTGAATAAATTTACTACTTGTTAATTTATTTTATGGAATGGGGTGTAATGTCCTACTTTTCTGCACCGACTGGGCTAATGAAGACAGGCTAAGAGGGAAATTTTCCAGCGGTAGTACAGTCTACCCTTACATTATTTCAGAAGGTTCTTTTTATCGTGCACACCAATGTCTTTATAGGTCACTGTTAGGGTTGGGTTAGTGTTTAGGGTTAGGTTCTATATAGGACACTGTTCCTTGACATCAGCTACCACTGGGAGCGTACCTGTGGATCTTTCTCAGCTACCACTGGGAGCAAACCTGAGGATTTTTCTTGGTAACCACCAGGAGCAAGCGTCTTCCTCACAGAGCCAGGACGGCTCCCAACCGAGTCCCAATAGGTCATTTATGGATGTTATACAATTATCTCCACTGTCAGTACGAAAAGTACCAAATTACCGGAATTGTAATTGAGAACCTCATAAATCTGCCTGAGTCACAGTTGTCATTCATGAAAACAGATGTGATGTGAGCAGATATGTGATTGGTGTGATATGTTAATTATAAATAGTCTATAGAATAGGAGCAAGATAAATAAATACTTACATTGTCTTTGTCTGAGGTGTCTTGTAACTTGCCTTGTCAACTCCAATATGTTTATAAGAACTAGTATTCAGATCCATAGGCTTCAATTTGCCTTTATGAGGTTTCCACGACAACGGTTTTGATAGACTGGCCCTGAGATCAAAAGATGGTTTCTTCATGGAGCTGTTCATAATGGCTGATGTATTAAGAACTCCAGAAAAGTTGTAAGGGGTAGCTGAAAAAGAAAAACACTATGTCAGTTTGATCTTGACTGACTACAACTTGTAGTACAAGAGGTAGCAGAATGGTTGATGTTTCTGGGTTCCCTAATAAGTCTTCATCTGCTAATGATTGTAAGATTGATTTTATCTATTTAAGGGATGAAGAGTTACTGGATTCGAAACTTATGGGCATTTTTTGTTTTGCAAAAGAAGCTAATAAAACAGAAAGAGGTATTAAGGTGCTACGAAACTTAAGTGTATGACTGTCCTGCCAGTAATTTTTGAAACAAAAATATGGATAAATAAACACTTATTTCTTACCTCCCTTTCCTAAACCCTCGCCAAATGATTTTCGTTTGTGTACTGAAGATTGAATACTGCTAATATTCAGACGATCCTCACTGGTGACTTTACCGGGCGAAACTGGTCTCGTTGGGCGACGAATACTTGTGGACTTGATCCTTGTAGAACTGAATGGTTTCGATTGTCTCTTGTTAACTGTTGGTGTGGTCGTTGGTTTCAAACTTGTTCTGCTATTCAAAACTTTTGATTGGCCTTTCATGTTAGAAATGGGAGTAGCTCTTGTTTTAGGAGTAATTGTTTTCGTGGGTCTGGTCACAGTATTTGGCTTGGGTGTAATTGTTTTGGAAGCTGTTGGTGTAATTGTTTTGGAAGCCGTTGGTGTTGGAGTAATTGTTTTGGAAGCCGTTGGGTTTGGAGTAATTGTTTTGGAAGCTGTAGGTTTTGGTGTAGATTTTTGCGGTGTTTTTTTAGATCCAAACTTGAGATTGAGATTCTGTGTTGAGATAGCAGACGGTCTAAATACTTTTGGTGATTGGAAGGAAGATCTAGTACCGTCTGGTTTGATGGGTTTAGTGATCTGGAAATAAAAAGAATAGTTTCACAAGTCATGTAAGTCAATCTGAAGAAAGTTAATCAATTTAAAAAGATGAAGAGAGTTGAGGCAGGCGACTGAGATTAGGATCTCGATTGTGTTGGTGGTTTAATAGAGAGGATCTTTGAAGAATGTTTGTGGGGTAGACAGGGTAGAGGGTTGACAATAAGACAATTATCAAACTCATTTTTACTAAAACCTATCTATTTGGTCAGTCTCTATGTTAGTAAATTCAAACAATCCATTTTATTCAATTTAAAATATGTAATGAAATTTACAAAGACATCAACATCTCAAGGCCTTGGACATGATGTGGTCGGTAGAAACATAGACAATCTCTGTGTTATTAGTGATCAACAACCAAAGACTAACATGCTGTAAAATATCTTGAATCGTTTATGAGCTGTTCCAAAATCAATCTGAATAAAATATAGATATTTCGTTTTTTTTTTATCTTTTCGATGGCCTCTCTTACACGAAAATCTGAACAGTTGTACTGGGAGGTCGCATAAGGGGTCATACAAGAACGGCTTTTGATCCTATGACGTCAGACATTGATTAATCAATTAGCATTGACGTTTCTAGTGGTTTATCCACAGTTCTGTGCATCGCATGCCAAGAAATCACTGTAACAGACCTGTTATATAACAACTCTTCCAGATCCTAGTGTAGTAAAGACAAGTAAAACGAGATTTTGAACTATAAAAAAAACGAAACGAAATAGGATCTGTGTTTTAATCAGATTGTTCCAAAATAACCTTATTAAAAATTATCAATATGAAACATTTTAAATACAAGAGATTGTTGCTCTGGAAACCAAACCAGGATGTACTGAGCTCATTCCATGTCCCTCCCCTCCACTTGATTTGGCGGCGAATTAAATAAAATTGTAAAGAATACAGACCTGTGGTGTTTTTGTATTTTTGAGTTTATTAACGGCCGATTGTGTTTCTTCCAGAAGTTTCTGTGCTTTATAAAGTGATCCAGTTAAACATTCGGCTCTCTTTCGTTTCTTCTCCATATATACATCAATAGAATCCCACCGAGAAAATTCTTTTTTATGGATCTTCTTCCAATCTATAAAATATAGTTAATCATTGAAAATCTGATATTTACATTGCAAAATTCAATAATTTTCAGGCCTTGGAATTTAGTTTGTATCTGTTTTAAATATAGCTCTGTTCTAGTTAAACTGGCTCATCAAATTTTTGATTTTGATTTTGGGATTTATCGTCCACTCCATAGAAAATTTATATCAAACTTTAAAATGCAAGACAGAGATATCTTCTCTCACATTTGTTACAAATTTAGATATCAATTGAAAGGTAAATTTAACTAACCAGGTGTAGAACCTCCACTTTTCTTCTCTTCATTCTTTTTAGCCATAAAAGCTGTAAAACGAGGAATACCTGAGCTTGAAGTATTATCTGCTGATTCTCTTTTCTTAGGATCTAAAATAATTAGTACATCATTGAATGGTAATTATTGATCTAAATATGCAATGATTAAACCAAGCTGATGCTTGTCGTGACCATGACGATAGTTTGTTGTGACCATGATGATAGCTTGTCGTGACCAAGATAATAGCTTGTCGTGACCATGACGATAGCTTGTCGTGACAATGACGATAGCATGAAGTAAATCCCAGATAATTTTTATGGATAAAAGCCAAAGGAACTATATTTACTAGGTTGATGTGTGTACAGATATGTTGAATGGTTTATATTCCAAGAAACAAACAGAGCCCATTTTAATATCTCTCTTTAACTTAACACTAGATAAAAATTGGGCAAGGTGTTACAAAATTGGGGCAGCCCATGTTTTCAGGAATTTGGTACATTTCTATACAAAAATCCCAAGCAACTGCCAGTGTTTTTAAGTCATGAACAATGTATATTCATAATATAAATTTTTTAAATTAAATGTTAAATAATCGATCTGTATTCATTTTGACATGTATGAAGATGTGAAAAATTGAATATTCGATCAGTGGCTTTTATTGAATCAGATTAAAATACAGATCTATATTTTGTTTCGTATTTTATACTTTCGATGGCCTACACTAGATGAAGATCTGACCAGTTGTAGTGGAAGATTGCGTCAGGGGTCATATGAGCGGCTTTTGACCCTATGATGTTTCTAGTGGGATACCCACCGTTCTGTGCACTGCACACCAAGAACTCGCCGTAACAGATCGTTTCACTGGCTGATCCCTCAATTGAACCAAAACGCTGGTAATATAACAACTTTTCGAGATCCTAGCGTAGTAAAGACAAGTAAAATTAAATTTTGAACTATAAAAAACAAAACTTAATAGGATCTTTGTTTTAATCAGATTGTGAACTTACTTTCTTTAACCTTTTTATCTAAGGCCTTTAATAAACTAGCTTTCATCTCATCAGAACTCAAACCATCCATAGCTTTAATCAAACTTTTTACACCAGGACTATTTTGTTTGGGTGTCGATTTACCAGATGTTGAAGGTTGTGGTGTGGTCTTGGCTGATGAGGTGGAACTACTTCTTCGACATTTACTAATTGGTTCCTCCGACCGATCATCCTGTAAAAATAAACAATCTGTATAATACAAAAATACCCATTTCAAACAAGAAGACTAACGACTGTGTCATCAAATTATGTAAAATATGTTAATATGAATATTCATGACCTTTATATGAATATTAATGAGTTACATGTGCACAGTCGTAGACTGTTGTCATGGTAACAGAAGTGATAACATGGTATGGCTGTGAGAATAAATATATAGTGTAGTCATTTAACAAAATTAATTTCCATAGAAACACAAAAATGTCAAGTTGATGTTAAACCCCAATATCTCTATCATAATTTTTACTGTTGAAAAACTGACATAAATTTGGTAAAATTCAATGATAATTTAATTCTTGTCTTGTTGGGATCCCGGGAAGCTCAGTGAGCATGGCACACTAACCAGGGGATCCTGGGATTGATTTCCAGCATTGACAGAGAGGGTTCCTCAAGATTTTCAAACAGGGCTAATGCCAGCAACATTTCCACTTGCACTGCATCGAATATCAACTGTCATTTCTACATGTTCGACAACAAGTCATCCTTTCCGAATGACAAGACATATTTCCTCGCCTAGCCTTCCGTCCTTCACCACTGACAAGGGGAAAACAGACTACGCTGGACAATCCCAAAGACGTTTCTAAGCCACCATTAGGATCGAACCCAGGACCTCCCATATTGACAATGCACCAAACTCAGTTGCACACATTACATGACGAAACATTAGAAAAATGTTTGTTAAGAGAATTACCTCAGTTGAAGATTTTCTTGTTTCCGAGCCGGATCGCTTACGTTTCTGCGCCTTGGTAGGTTCTTTTATATCGGCAGATTTTCTACCTGAAACGGACGATTTTCTGTTTGCTGGAACAGATGGTAAAGCTCTTCTAGATTTCAATGATGAAGGCGTAGATTTCCTGGTACCTGGAGTACCTGGTAGTATTCTAGCAGGTATGGGAGATTTCAATGATGAAGGTGTAGATTTCCTGATACCTGGAGTACCTGGTAGTATTCTAGCAGGTATGGGAGATTTCAATGACAAAAAAGGCGATTTCATTCCTGGTGTGGAGGGTAAAGGCTTTTTCTTCAAACCCACAGGTGAGGTGATTTGATCTTTGAGATTCCCTTTAACTTGTTCAACTTGATCAGTATTTCTTGTTTTTCTAGTTCTTCTTCCTTTGGATACTGGGTTATCGGACTATGAAAAAAAATATTAAAATATTATATTTTAAATTTTGATAGACTAAGAGGTGCTGAACGAAGCAAAAATTTTGGCGTCATCCTACATGCAGTTATAAGTAGTAAGAGAAGCCATCCAAATTCTAACCGGTCATGCCCAACTATTTATCATCTTAATCCACAGTCTATCTAATTGTTTCATCAATTAAACAAACTCTAAATAGTTTAAAACATAACCAACTTTGTGCTTGTCATTAAAGAGGTAAGGTACATTAATTGAAACTGTAAAACTTTGATGAAAAAATTCAACGTTTTCTTAAACATACATTATGTAAGAGCTAAATCTGCCTATTGCAGGTCTTTCTTTAGGCCTGAAATGTTATCTAAATTATTAATTAGACATATTTATTAAAATGAGAAGACCTTAATCAACTCTCGATGCCATCGCTAACCTGCGATATTTATTGGATTTGATGGATAATTTAACGGCAAAATGGATAATCGAAACTTTGTTTTTTATTGTGCCAACTTTAGTAATGATGATCAAGGCTAGTCTAAAATTGAATCACTAATATAATGTCCCTTTAATTAAAATAAGAGAAATTTATCACTGATACAGATATCACAATATATTTGTTCTGTTATTTCACTGTATCAATAACATGGATAAACCATGTCATCAGTTGGCGACTCAGATTCCAATTTGTTTTAGGGCAGACCAAAGTTGTGACAAATGCTGTGCTCTTTCCCGAACAGATAGTGCTACACTCTATTACATTCTAAGGCCCATCCCATTGTGGGTGTGAGTTATTTCACTGGCTATAAGTAACAAATGCTGTGCAGGAGCCGGACTTGTTCCCTCTTGTCAGTGGTGTAGGACGGAGGGCCTGGCAAGGGACATGTATAGTCCTTCTGACAGGACAAAAAAAACGATGTCCTGTGTACACATTGGTCTCCATTAAAAGAACAAAATAAGAGCCGGTTGTAGCGAGGCTGTCAGGGCAAAATTTCCCTCATAGCACACTGCATAGCGTACATGTATGCCCGTCTTTATTAACCCAGTCGGAGCACTATCTACTAAATCTCATCTTGAAAGCTAGATAAATCCTAGTAACCACAAGAGCATTGCTAACGCTGCAATATACGTCCACATTCCAGCTTTGATTGATATGGTACTTTTTAAAATGAAGAGAATGAAAATGAAATGGCTGTAATATGATCAGAGGCAAAGAAGGCTAGGCGTCGGGTTTGTTTTGCCAAATTTACAGACAAAATACTAACAATAAAGTGGGTGTGACACTGCCCCAAGAGGTCGGGGCAAGTATCAAAATAAATTGTTGCTGTCTTTATGGTATAAGGAATAAATATGCAAAGTTCCAAGATGATCCATTCAGAATTGCAGTCTGTAGACGATAAATACAAAAACTGGGCGTGGCTCTGCCCATGGGGGTTGGATATGGAAACAATATAAACAGGTACCATTCTGTTATTGAAATGGCAACATCAATAGTTGCCGTCCTTAGGGTATAAGGAATAAGTACACCAAGTTCCAAAATAATCCTTTCAGAATTGTGGCCTTTGGGCGTTAAAGGCAAAAATTGGGCGTTGCTCTGCCCCTGGACGTTGCTCTGCCCCTGGGCGTTGGGGCATTCACCAAAATCAATAGTTGATGCCCTTAGGCTATAAGGAATACATATGCCAAATACCAAGTTGATCCATCCAGAATTCGGGCCTGTAAACGATAAACATAAAAATTGGGCGTGACTCTGCCCCTGGGGGTGTGACATGCAGTTGTCGTCCTTAGGCTATAAGGAAAACATATCCCAAGTTCAAAGACAATCCATTAGGAATCGTGGCCTGTATGCAACTCACAGAGACACAAAGAAAAAAATGGGTGTGGCTCTGCCCCTGGGGGTTGGGCAATCACCAAAAAAATAGAGGTCAGCCTTGGGGTATAACGTATAAGTATAAAAAAGTTTTCAAGATGATCGATTAAGCATTGCAGGCTGTAAGTGACATACAGACACACAAAAAGAAAATAGGTGTGGCTCTGTCCCTGGGGGCTGGGCATTCACCACAAACAATAGGGATGTTCCTTAGGATAGAAGGAGTAAGCATGCAAAGTTTCAAGGTGATACGTTACGAAATGCGGTCTGTAGATAACAAACAATGAATACAAGAAATGGGCGTGGCTCTGCCACTGGGGGTCGGGCATGCACCAAGAACAATAGGGATCATCCTTAGGGTATAAGGAATTCATATGAAATTTTTTCAAGACGATCGATTAAGAATTGTGGCCTGTAGGCGACACACAGACACACAGAGAGAAAATGGGCGTGGATCTGGCCCTGGGGGTTCGGCATGCGCCCCAAACGATAGGGGTGTTCCTTAGGGTACAAAGAAAAAGTATGCAAAGTTTCAATATGATGCGTTAAGAAATGCGGCCTGTAGACGACAAACAAACAAATACAAGAAATGGGCGTGGCTCTGCCCCTGGGGATCGGGAATGCACAAAAAACAATAGGGATCATCCTTAGGGTATAAGGAACAAGTATGTAAATTCAAGGTGATGACTTAAGAATTGTGGCCTGTAGGCGACACACAGCCACACAAAAAGAAAACGGGCGTGGCTCTGTCCCTGGGGGTTGGGCATGCACCCCAAACGATAGGGATGTTCCTTAGGGTACAAAGAATAAGTATGCAAAGTTTCAATATGATACGTTAAGAAATGGGGCCTGTAGACGACAAACAAAGAAATACAAAAAATGGGCGTGGCTCTGCCCCTGGGGGTCGGGCATGCACCAAAAACAATAGGGATCATCCTTAGGGTATAAGGAATAAGTATGTAAAGTTTGAAGAAAATCCAGTAAGAATTGCGCCCTGTAGGCGACACAAAGACACACGAAAAGAAAATGGGCGTGGCTCTGCCCCTGGGGGTTGGGCATGCACCCCAAACGATAGGGATGTTCCTTAGGGTACAAAGAATGTGTATGCAAAGTTTCAAGATTATTAGTTAAGAAATGTGGCCTGTAGACGACAAACAAACAAATACTAGAAATGGGCGTGGCTCTGCCCCGGGGGGTCGGGCATGCACCAAAAACAATAGGGATCTTCCTTGGGGTATAAGGAATAAGTATACCAAGTTTGAAGAAAATCCATGAAGAATTGCGCCCTGTAGGCGAACCACAGACACACACACACACACACACACACACACACACATACACACATACACACACACACACACACAGACAGGGGCGACGGCATAATACGTTCACATTATGAATGTGGACGTATAAAAATGCTACACATTATTCAGTTAAAAAAGACCAACCCTGTTCCTAAAAGAGAATTTAGGGATGGATAAGGCACTCAGATATTATTACCAACCTTTTTTTCATTTTCTCTTGTATCTGTTTCAGTTTCACCCTTCTTGCCTTTTCCACGTTTAGTTTTTCGTCTTCTTTTAGAAACTGGAGAATTTTCTTTCTCTGATTCTTCCTACGAAACAAAAACAAACATCTGGGTAATATCTAGCTTCGTTAGAGGGAGAGGTAATTACGGAACTAATTATACAACCAGGCGCCAGGTAAAAACACGATTAGACACATTTATTGCTCAGTCAGTCACAGTAGTAGGCTAAAAGTGGTGATAACCCAAAAGGATCGAGATTGACAGGATCAAGCTACGACCAAATTGTTGGGAGAATAATGAAAAATGTATATTAATTTGTACTGGTAGTGGTACCGTATCGTGAAAGATTGGTTGACATTTAAGTATAATCTATTTCATGTACTCTGGGGTGGGTGCAGGATTTGGCTAATCGGGAAATAAAATTGGAAAAATTCAGTGGCTGTTTTCAGACTGATGATGCTGAATAAAACAATTATAAGATGAGTCTGGACAGCAAGACGACAGAATTTCAGTTATTTTTGTTGAGAAAGGGAGCTTAAAGATCTTTGATAATTCCTGCCAATTGGTGCTAGAGTCTCACCTGTTCTGTTGATGAAGTAGGATTGGTTGAGCAACTTGAACTACTGGTATTAAATAATGTTGTATGGTTTTTATCCTTACTGTAATATTCATCTAATGCCTTTATCAACTTTTCAATCTGGAAAAACAAACAGTAAATGACAAAAAAAACATTTCTACAATCAGTAGGCCTACCAAGAGTGTTGGCCTCCTTGTTTCAGACTTTATTTCATCTCTAGAGAGAGATTTTGATTTGATTTTCAGTTAGTTACTATACTTGTAATGTTACAATGTAATGTTGTAACGTTACAATTGATACAGTCAAAGAATCCTTACGCAAGTTCAATTAGGTTCAAACGCACAATTATCAACACATATCATTACAGTTTATATTGAAATAAGTAATTCTATGACAAATAGTGAAGACTAGACCACTATAGTTACCGAACAGTTTTTCTTTGTGGTTATGCGTTCTACATATTGCATAGCGATGTTTCTTCTAATGACGTATTACGCAAGGCCGCCATGACACCAGCCAGTTGAAATTTCGCGTAGCAGTTGGGTTTCATCAAATCATATAATTATGCGGTAAGGCTTCACCTTTATTTCAATAGGAATTGATTTATTATATGTTAAGCTAGGAGCAGTACTGTTTTGGGTCAGTTTATGTGTAAATTAAGGGAGCTATAGGCCAGTAACCTTTTTGTAGTGATTTCACTAAAAAAACTTGCGCAAAGGAACTCTGTAGTAGGGCGAGCCACTACTGTGGCTGGAGTAAGGCGGAAGACATCAGTAGTGGAACCATTTCTAATTTTCAGTAAACTTATCCCTCAACACTCAGTCAGTCAGTGACGTCGTCAGGGATCTACTAGGCTAATTAATATAAATGATTGCAGTCTGTGGGGCTTTTTTGGAATGTAGCATATTTGAATTTGATCTACTCAGATCAGACCTTTCCAGTCTTCCTCAACAACACGTACAACTTTGCTCGAAATCAAATAAATGTTGAATGTAAAATTAATGGGGTGGGGGGGGACATCAATGCTGACAATAGTGAATAGGTCAAGGTCAAGGTGGCACTAATTTGATTTCTTCTAGTGACTAGAAATCAAATTAGGCCTAGTGCCACCTAAGTCCAATCTGAGTATCTCTGTCATCGCCCCCCACCCCACACCTAAAAAAAACCAAAAACGAACAGCCAGTTCCTATCGTATGACAATATTACAGATCTGATCAGGCCTGTTTCATTTTTACATACGTAACATAGCTCCTAGCCTAAGTCAAAAGTGGTTTGTGAATCATCAAGCAAAATTTAAAAAAAAATTCTGCTTCACCTTCATGTTAGCTTTGATTCCACAAGATTTGGCAAGCTTTTGAAGCTCGCTGTACTTCATATCTTTTAAATTTTTGTCACTCATCTTGGATAACTGTAAATGGTTAACTTTTGAACAAATATTTTACGTGCAATTCGCGAAAAAGACACATTTAATCATGAGCGCCTTTGTTGACGGAAGTGCATAAACTTTTCGAAATATGCGCAGAGATCTTTGATTGGTTAATTTTTGTAACCTAGAGTTACGTACCCTTCATTGACACACTTTGGCGCACTGGTTACTGTTATAAATATGTATAAACAGACTGGTGTCGATAGCCTTCAAATAACATCACTAACTCGGGATAAATCTGGTTCAAATAGCAGTGAACGCAATAAAAGCATTTTAAACACTGTAATCATACCCATAGCTCAATCTGATTTCCACGCGGATGGGCGTTTACCTCTATTTTTACATAGCCACCCCCACTTTGGTGATGATGAAAACATCAAAAGGTCAAGGCTGTTACTAAAATTAGACTTCATTTAGCAAGTCTGTCCATATTTTGCAATGTGTGAATGTGTGTACTGAACATCTAAGTCAAATGATAAAGTAAGGCAATAACAGGTTAATCTTTCAGTTTTGCATTTCGGAATTAATCATGGCTACTAAATCAATATCTAACGGTGACATTAGCAGCAGAGATGCTACTTCAAGAACACAGGCTAAGAAAGAAGTAACGAATTTGATGGGATTATATCTGTTGGTTGTTGGAGCAGTGGCTAGTGCATGGGCTTTCGGATACTTTGAATTTTCGTTTTTATGGGTGTTTTTATTATCAGCTTGTCTATTTCTTGTATGGAAAACTAAAATTGGAACTATTATTAGGCGACACTTGGACTATGAGGAGGATAACTTGCATAGAAAGCGAGCACTTCGACAAAGCGAAAGTGTTGAGTGGTTAAATTTCTTATTGAATAGATGGTAAGTGCAGAAGAGTGACAATTATAATAATGAGGTTTATGATTCAGTATTGAATTTTCTATATTCAGAAAAAAAGTACATTGTGTTTATAATTGAATGATATGCAGGGCTTTAAATGTATGTAGTCACAGTAAGTCTATATAATATAGATGTACTATTCACAGTAGGGTCAGTAGGCCTATATCTATCTATACATGTATATATATTTGTGACTGTCGTTTGTCTGTCTGTCGGTCTGTCTGTTTGTCTGTCTGTTCGGGGTTGGCGGCTACACTAGGTCTGCCCCGAGTCTGAAATTTGGGGTATAGGGGTAGCTCGGACCGGGGAGTAACATAGGCCAGGTGGCGTTAGTCTACCACTTCCGGTTTCGGAGTTATGACCCCCGAGCGAAGCCGGTCTATTCGGGGTTGGCGGCTACACTAGGTCTGCCCCGAGTCTGAAATTTGGGGTATAGGGGTAGCTCAGACCGGGGAGTAACATAGGCCAGGTGGCGTTAGTCTACCACTTCCGGTTTCGGAGTTATGACCCCCGAGCGAAGCCGGTCTGTTCGGGGTTGGCGGCTACACTAGGTCTGCCCCGAGTCTGAAATTTGGGGAATAGGGGTAGCTCGGACCGGGGAGTAACATAGGCCAGGTGGCGTTAGTCTACTACTTCCGGTTTTGGAGTTATGACCCCCGAGTGAAGCCGGGTATCCTGCTAGTAATAACATAATTGGATTTTGACTTATGATTGATATACAATGACCACCTTCTATTTAGCATTATTGACCTACACTCGTCCCCACTCATATAGGTAACTCATTCATTTGTATGATATATTACAGGTATATCACCTGGATCGTATTCGAGCCCAGAATACCTGAACCCCTTAGTTATGGCTCTATCAAATTAAGTTATTCTTCTGTATTCAAAGTTATTCCACTTTTTTTGGGTAATACTATATACCGATATGTTTTCCGGTATTTAGTGTTTTTCCGGTGGGGGATCACATGGGTAAGTGGGTAAGACGCTGGCTCGCTAGCCTGGAGGTCGGGTGTTCAAGCCCTGCATTGGCCGAGAAAGTTCATCCAGATTTTCCGGCGTGGTTCCCCCTTGTCAATGATCCCGCACGGAGGGCCTGACAAGGACAGCTGTCTAGTCCTTTGGATGAGACGAAAAACCGAGGTCCCGTGTATACATTGGAATGCACGTAAAAGATCCCTTGGCAGTTGGAATTCGATATAAGAGTAGGTGATAGTGCCGCTGCCCGTGCAAAATTTACCTCAGCACACTGTATGGCTTATGTCCGTCTTCATTAGCCCAGCATAGGAGCAGAACAGTAGGACGTTAAACCCCATATCATTTCATTTCATTTCGTTTTTTCGGTGTTTTCCGGTATTCAGTATAACATGGTGTTTTCCGGTAGTTTTCCAGTTTTTTCCGGTGTTTTCTGGTATATAGTATTGCCGTTTTTTTTATAATCATTCATTTAAACAAAATTCATTTGGAAATAACTACATGTACATGTATGCAAGATTTCCTCTGTTTTAAACAGTTTGGAAATAACTAAACATGTACCCTATTACACCTAGGCAAGATTTCCCCATCAGAAAATTAAATTTATATGCAATTAAATTATCCGTTCCATGGAAATTTATTCATTTTGTTTTAATGGCCATTCATTTAAACAATATTTTAACATTAGCAGAATGCCTGGCTTCGCTCCGGAAGTGGTAGACTAACGCCACCTGGCCTATGTTACTCCCCGGTCCGAGCTATCCCTACACGTATACCCTAAATTTCAGACTCGGGGCAGACCTAGTGTAGCCGCCAACCCCGAACAGACAGACAGACAGACAGACAAACGGCAGTCACAAATATTAGTATAGAGTAGGCTATGATTTGTTATGTTGAGGTTGATATGATGAAGTTAGTCCGAGATTTATGATAAATGTGCTTGTACTTAATGTGAGTAATTGTTAAATTTAGGTTTAACCCTGGCCTGTATATAAACATGTCATATACACTGTGTATCATCATTACTCATATACGTACCAGTAGGAATTTAAAATGACTAACTATGAACTTTTGATATACACTATACCTGTTTAAAAACAACAAACTCTTATATTTGTTGGGATGAGTTGTTTTATATCTCGACCCATGTTTTATAAAGTTGAGATGAGTTGTCTTACATTGGGATGACTTGTCCTGGGATGAGTTGTCTTTGGGATGAGTTGTCTGTATACCTTTGAAATGACTAACTATGAAATTTTGATATATACATGTACCTGTTTGAAATGAAATGAAATGGGTTTTTGTTGTACCAATGCACTAATGGAGGAAACTTTTGTCTGGACAGCAGCTCTGTATTTCTGTCTGCTCTTCATTAAACTTCAACTGTCAAGGGTTCTTGTACAACAAGACAGTTTTCCTTGTCAGATCCTCCATCATGCACCACCAACAAGGAGGAACAAGGGTAACCTCAATCATGCACCATTGACAAGGAGGAACCAGGGTAGCCTACATCTTGCACCATTGACAAGGGAGGAACCAGGGTAGCCTACATCATGCACCACTGACAAGGAGGAACCAGGGTAGCCTACATCTTGAATTTTCATTTTCATGTCATGTAAACGACTAGACAGTTTTCTGTGTCAGACCCTCCATCATGCATCTTTGACAAGGAGGAACCAGACTGAAAATGCCTGAGGAACTCTTCTCAGCTATTGCTGTGATCGAACCTGGTCCCTCCTGGTTTGTGAGCAAGCACCGTATTACTATGATATATGACCTTTCCCCAGACTCTGATACAGGTAGCTACGTGTTGATGAATGTGATTATAATCAAGTGATTTACATTTCGTTTTTTCATTGTATACATGTACACCATTGCCATACTTTACCGGACCTCATTTTACGTACATGTACATGTACAACAGTCAATAAAAACAGTGGTATTCCAATGTTGTGGAGACATGAGGTCCTGATCTAGTTATAAACACGTGTCTCGTACGAACAGCATCTGTTCTGACTACATGTATATGTTACATATGTAGTGTAGAAAATCACAACCATAATAGCGAAACAAAAATAAATGTTTTAATTCAGTTGCATGTTGAAAGTTGTTTACGTCTATTAAAAGTCTGAAAATCTAGAACTTTCTGATCGTTAGAAGAGTAAGGGGGATTATAAACCTTGTCCTAATCTTTAAAACAATAATCTACAGATTAACATCATCACTGTCACTGGCAAATTTTTTATTTAAAACCATCTTTTGACCATATGTTTACACAGCTACTTAATTTTTTTTTTATAAATCAACACTTTTTATGAGAAAAATTTCTCGGCCGTGTGCTTTATCCTTTATCGTCAGATGTGGGACAGGATGGGCACTCAAAGCACGAGATAATGATATAGACTTTATGTGATATCACAATTAATGCTTTGCATCCATGAAATTGAATCACAATGTCATTGTATTAATTCATAATAAGAATTGACGTCAAACGAGGGGTTGAATTTCTCTGTTTAAAAAGCTCAATGTGTATGTATATACGCCAAAATGACGATAGAGACCATGCGGGAGGGGGTGGGGGATACGTTTTCTCGGGAACCTGGCAAACCCCCTCCTGCAAAAATTCCTGGATCCGCCCCTGGACATAGCTTAATCCGAGCAAAACTATATTCAAATTGATTATTTAAAAAACAAAATCTAGAATATCCATGGTAGATAATCTCCTTGATTTGATTCAATCGAATTAAAACAGAGGCCCATCAAAATATTTTAAACAATATTTTACCAAACACTTACAGGTGGCGCTAGCTTGTTTATACATAGGGGGGTTGGATGGCTGAATGGTTAGCGTGCGCGCGCTGTATCATAAAGTCTGTCATTGAGTCGACTGGCGTGGTTTGGGGGTATTTAGCAGTGGGAGGAAACCGGAGGACCCGGAGAAAACCCACGAGGTTGGACAGGCGACCCTACTCCTTGTCACGTACAACCGGGGAATCAAAACCCCGCCAGTTGACTCAATGACAGACTGTATGATATAGCACGCCATTCAGCCATCCACCCCCCCCCTAGTATATTACAGCTTACAATGAAATGAAATGAAATGGGGTTTAACGTCCTACTGTTCTGCTCCGAACAGTGCTAATGAAGACTGACATACGCCATACAGTGTGCTACATGTATGAGGGAAATTTTTGCCCGGACAGCAGCACTACAGCCTACTCTTATATCAAATTCCAACTGTCAAGGGATCTTTTACTTGCATGCCAATGTGTACACAGGACCTCATTTTTTTTATGTCCCATCCAAACGACTAGAAAGCTGCCCTTGTCAGGCCTTCCGTCCTGCATCACTGACAAGGGGGAATCACGCCAGAAAATCTGGATGAGCTTTCTCGACCAATGTAAGGAACAAACATCGACCGCCCTCCAGACTAGCGAGCCAACGTCTTACCCACCCAGCCACTGTGACCCCCTACAAGTATATCTATCTTTTTCCTAGATATAACTAATAAAATAAACTGCAAGGGTTAGTGAACATGAATGTACATGTCAGAAGTTAGGTGTTTTTGTTAAGTATCAGAATGTTATGCATGAATGGTGAAGCTACTACTTTCAATTTACATTTAATCAATGAAATTACTCAGCCATAAAGTCGATATATTATCCAGGGACATCAGTAAATTTAGGCCTACTATGTTACGTTAAATAAAATGTGACTTTCTTACAACAAAATTCTCTGACTCAACACGGGGTTGGATGGCCAAATGATTAGCTCGTGCACTTTGTATCACTATGTCTGTCATTGAGTCAATTTCCCAGTTGTACGTGACAAGGAGTAGGGTCGCCTGTCCAACCTCATGGGTTTTCTCCGGGTCCTCCGGTTTCCTCCCACTGCTAAAGACCCCCTACGCGCAAGCGAATTATTGAAATAAACTTGAACCATATGTGAGCCCCGAAATGACCTAGTTTGTTTTGTTGCTTTTACAGATTTATCAAAATTGTGAATCACTAGAATAAATATATTTTCCACTTATTTATTTTTGAATTTCTGAATGTAAATAATATTAATATTTATTGATATTTTGTACTGAAGCCAATTACTGATTAAACCTTGCTTGAATATTTATGCCAGGATAGAGGGCCTGACAAGAACAGTTGTCTAGTCGTTCGGATGGCATGAAAAACCGAGTTCCCGTGTTTACACATTGGCGTATAAGTAAAAGATCCCTTGACAGTTGGAATTCGATATAAGAGTAGGCCATAGTGCCGCTGTCTGGGCAAAATTTCCCTCATAGTCATAGCACACTGTATGGCGTATGTCTGTCTGCATTAGCCCTGTCGGAGCAGAACAGTAGGACATTAAACTATTTCATTTCATTTGATTTCATTTGATTTCATTTGAATATTTATGGGGTGAGTGGAAGTCATTCTTTAAAGTTCATACTAAACTATGTGTACAGATCATTGCTTTGAAATATATAATAGAATAAAATTAGACATTTCCCTATACTGGTGGTAATTAACACCATGAAGCCATTCATAACTTAGATCAGTCTCAGTTGGGTCGATTTTAAATAACTCAATATTTTCTATGAAATTTTAAAAACAGCTGTTACTCTGGAAATAAATATAGCTGATAAGTTAATTTAATAGAAAAATGTATAACAGTGAGAATTTGTTACTTTGCCAGATGACTGGAATTGTCATTGAAATATTTGTTTGTTGAAATAAAAATGGTAGTCAAACCAGACATTTAGTAACGATTAGGAAGAGAATGTATGGGAGGTTGTGTAAGGGGGTGTCGGCGGTTAATGTCTCTTCAAATATAGCCTTGATAAACCAGACATTTAATAAGACATTAGTTTAGAAAAGGAATTGGGTCGGGGTCGGGGGGATAACTATTAGATATAGCTTTAACCATACATTTAATAAAATAACTGTAGCATAGAAAGAGAATGGAATTTTTAGTCTATATGTACAGTTATCAACACATATACAGTGTTAGGGAGGTGAATGCTGCTCTTCATTAAATTTATATTTGAACTTGTCAGACAAGTGGAGAACTTGAAAACCCCAGAATCTGTGATTCAGACCCTGGACATTCTACTCTAGTGGTAACTTGTGCTAAGGGAGTTAACTGGTTATGGTTAGGTTTATAATTAAAGATAGGTTGCCAGGCAACAAAACATACGCCCACAGCAGCTAAATCGTCCGAGCGGTCGACAAGGGTTGTCGAATATTTATTCCTTTGTAGGTAATTGGGGGTCTTTACAAGACAGTTCCATACAGATCAGATTATAAATTTTGTCGTTTTGAGGGTTTACAAGGTTCTACAAACTGAAACAAGGGTCTCAACTCTGGAAGTAATCTACAGAAATTGTTGAAATTTGACAGGCTTTTTCGTTTTACTAATTTAAATAATGCATATAAATTTCATACAGATCACATGATGACTTTTATCATTCAAACGTTCACAATCGCCATAACTCTAGAAATTATTGACGGAAATTGATGAAATTCAATAGATGCATTATTTAGATTAGTGAAACGAAGAAGCCTATTGAATTTCAGCAATTTCCGTTTATTACGTCTAGAGTAATGGCCCTTGTTTCACTTTATTGAAACTTGTGAACGCTCTAACGCCAAAAGTTATCATCCGATCTTTCTGAAATTTATTTGCATTATTAAGATTACTGAAACAAAGAAGCCTATTGAATTTCAGCAATTTCCGTTTATTACTTCTAGAGTTATGGCCCTTGTTTCACTGTATTGATCCTTGTGAACGCAAAAAGTTATCACCCGATCTTTGTGAAATTTATATGAATGATTTAAATTAGTGAAACGAAAAAGCCTATTGAATTTCAGCAATTTACAATAATTACTTCTATAGTTATTGCCCTTGTTTCACTTTATTAAACCTTGTTAATGCTCATCCGATATGTATGAAATTTATATGCATCATTTAAATTTGTGAAACAGGTCTATTGAATTTCATCAATTTCCGTCAATAATTTCTAGAGTTATGGCGATTGTGAACGTTTGAATGATAAAAGTGATCATGTGATCTGTATGAAATTTATATGAATTATTTAAATTAGTAAAACGAAAAAGCCTGTCAAATTTCAACAATTTCTGTAGATTACTTCCAGAGTTGAGACCCCTGTTTCAGTTTGTAGAACCTTGTAAACCCTCAAACGACAAAATTTATAATCTGATCTGTATGGAACTGTCTTGTAAAGGCCCCCAATTACCTACAAAGGAATAAATATGCGACAACCCTTAACGAGCGCTCGGACGATTTAGCTGCTGTGGGCGTATGTTTTTTTGTCTGGCAACCTATCTTATCATCTGTAACAATCTTATTTTAAATATTATTTTTTTTTTTTTGTATAGCGCGTTGAAAATGTGCCATGCTTTTTACTGCGTAAATTGTTATGTTTTAGAATGCGCTATATAAGAATGTATTATTATTATTATTATTATAAACGCAGTACGGTAGTCTATACTAAAATGATGGGTAAATACGAAACATGTTGACCACCTTATCGCCCAGTTGGTAAAGGAACGTGGTACGGTAGTCTATATACCGTACCGTACTAAAATGATGGGTAAATACGAAACACGTTATTAGATGATTATTGATAGAGTTATTTCCCCTGTATGAAAAGATAGAACAATATTACATGGATGTTTAACTGTTCAGTACATATTCTATAGAAGATTTAGTTTATATGTTTATATATTTAACAGGTGGGTGTTCAGTACATATTCTATAGAAGATTTAGTTAAAAAACGACTAGATGAGAGATTAATAGGAATAACACCATCTTTTATAGGTAAGTTATAATCACTGATTATAAATAATCTTTGTACAGGCGGATTATAAATAGATAAGCTGGTAGGCTTATTACAGGTACCGGACCCAGTGTTTGGGTCTTTCCCCCTTGCAGTTATTGGTGGTTCAGGAGACTTCCCCCGAGAAATATTCAAAGTTTGACAGACAGAATAACCTGTTTTTTGGCTACCGAGTATTGAATCCATAATTCTTGTCAATAACAGCACCAGTATGGTGATAGTTCTATTGAACAATTGGTAACATCAACAGATCTAAACAAATAGAATTTTATTGAAGAGTTGTGTGACTTGAAGACAGGTGTTTTTTGTTCACTGTCATATCAACTCTTGCTAGTGTTGTCGTTTTATTTCAGTATACCTGCTGTTCATTATACCTGTATACTCTATTCTATTGTTAGAAGGTAGCTTTAACACCTGTTGAATAGAGTGAATAGCGAACCTATACAGGTAATATAACAATATGATGATTGGTTCAATACGAGTCATATTGACGAGTTATCATATCAATGGCAGGGTTTGATTACTCAGTCACGCTGTCTAACTCATCAACAGTGTATATTGTCAAGTTATCATATCAATAGCAGAGTTTGGTTACTCAGTCACGCTGTCGAACTCATCCACAGTGGATCATACTCACTAGAAGACATGACAATACAGAAGCTTCTGACTGGGATTAGATCACCCAGATTCAGGAACGTCTTATTAAACATACATTATTCAACAGCTCAATTTGCCTATTGCAGGTCATTGAAAAAGATAAATGTCCAATTAATTATATTACTATGTGTCATTGATTTATTTTGGGATTTCGGCGGGGGGCATCAGCCTCACCGTTGGCTTGGCTGATCCAGAGACCATAGATAGGGGGGCGGGTGCATGGGCGTCGAAGCGCACAACAGGGGATCCGTGTGGCCACTCCAGGAAAATTCCGACAACTAGAAGCCCGGAAATGACATTTCCAGTGATGTGAGACAAGAATCCGGTTCTAAATAATGAATTATAATGAAACTTACAGTCAAAAATCCAGATAGAGGGGTCATGCGCCAGGGGGCCCCCCCTTCCCGAAACTAGATCCGCGCTTGAAATTAAATTGGCTTGGTCATAGGATGGGGTATATATATTTGAATATTCGTTGTTCAAGCTGTTTTTGATGACAGGTCGTCTCTATGACTACATGTCATTAAAACATGGTTCGCTACACGTAAGATTTTTATCTGAGGCAGTGTCAAAAGTTATGTATTTATAACTATCAGCGATCTTGTCATAGGTAGGTAGCACCTGCTGGTCCACCCATGTATGCCTGTCTTTGGTTGGTACAGAACAGTAGGACATTGAACCCCATTTCCTGCCAGACCCTTCTCTATGCTCTACTGACAAGGGGAAACGATGTTGGAACTTTTACATACATGTATATCTTCATTACCTCCATTAGTACAGAAAAGTTAGACTTAATCCCCATTTTATATCATTTCATTTCGTTTCTATTTTGTAACGTAAATAAAGCCATGAATTTCTCTTCATTATTTGTATAAACATATCATTCCACTTTGAAAATTATTTGTATACAAAATAGTTACAGTGATGAATGGATGCACACCGAGTAGACCTACTTAAAATGCTTGACTGCCTGACCCGACCTGAATTATTTAAATTGAATAACTCAACACAAACGCAATAAAACGAAACTGTTCAGCTGGAGAAAATATTAGAATAAAATTGAGCGAAAATAGTCGGATACTAACAAACTGTTAACTGAAGCTTACCACCCCCAGGACAAACTGTTGAAATTATGCAAATATTAGTTGTTAAACTTCTGGCCCAGAGACGAAAAGCAGAATTTAATGGGTTTTATTGAATTGTTATTGGTCTCTTTAAAAAACTGGGTATTTCCTCCGATGAAGGGAGTGGGGGTGGGTTAGGGGTAGGGTTAGGGTAGGGTTAGGGTTAGGGTATTTCCTCCTATGAAGGGAGTGGGGGTGGGTTAGGGTTAGGGTAGGGTTAGGGTTAGGGTATTTCCTCCGATGAAGGGAGTGGGGGTGGGTTAGGGTTAGGGTAGGGTTAGGGTTAGAGTATTTCCTCCGATGAAGGGAGTGGGGGTGGGAAAGAGAAAGACAGTGTGAGAGAGAGTTTAACATCCACTCAACACAAATCAGGTCATTTCGGGACTAACATATAGTTCAATTTTATTTCAATAATTTGCTTGTGTAGGGATCTTTAGTAGTGGGAGGAAACAAGGGTACTCTGAGAAAACCCAATAGATTGGACAGACGATCCCTACTCCTTGTCACATAGAGCTTGACTCAATAACAGACCTTATGATCCAACGCACACACGTTAACTATTCGGCTATCCAATCCCCATAAGAATCACTAGACACATGCAGACACCACCCCTGATAAGTCAGAGCCGTGTTTCAAAACTACTGAAGGTTGTTCTTGGTGCGGGTCGCGATTTAAATCCGGAATGTTCTAATCAACATTCCACTGCCCTATCATTCGATTACCCGTTCCTCAATTCGTCACAAAAAAGTAATCTAGGATTCTATGATGATGAATTGAATCCACGTCTGTAGAAAGAATGGACTAAACTTCTTTTAATTTGTGTAAATATTAAAGTTGATGTGCTTTAAGAATTGAGTGCCTATCATCTTTTAAAATATGATCATGAATTGCTTAGACATTGGTTCACAAGCCAAATTGAAAGTGAAATTATCAACAAACGGATTTCTGCTTGATCCCATCACTAATCTCATCAACCAAACTGAACTCTTTGATTCAAAATTGTCTGACTGGATCCTTTACTTTTCTTATGGCAATAAAATTTTGTTGTATTTTTGAAAATTTGTCAAATGTTTTTACCAGAATGTTCAATAATTCGAGATGTTTGCGAATTTCAAGGCCTCATTTGCAAGTTTGGGAGTACAAGTATTTTAATTATACATAAATATTCTTGTAAGATTAAAATATTATATCTTTTCGTGGGTTTTCTCCGGGTCCTCCGGTTTCCTGCCACTGCTAAAGATCCCTATGCGCAAGTGAATTATTGAAATGAAACTGAACCATGTGTTAGTCCCGAAATGACCTAGTTTGTGTCGAGTGGATGTTAAACCCCATCTCTCTCTCTCTCTCTCTCTCTCTCTCTCTCTCTCTCTCCATAGCCCAGTCAGTGCAGAAAAGTAGGATGTTATTTTATTTCTTTGATCAAGTTATATTGAAGTATTTTATTTGTAGATACTATCTTTGATCAAGTTATATTGAAAGTGTTTTAATTACGGATACTGTCTTTGATGAAGTTAAAACTTAAAGTGATTTAATTACAGATTAAGTTGTTTGATTGTTGATATAAGTTATCTATATTTATACAAGATTTATAATAAATATTGTATACAGTCAACATACTACGGGTGTACTTGTATACAGTGAATATAAGAATAAACCATGATTTCTAATAAATATACCACACATATACAGGGAATATAAGAATAAACCATGATTTATATAGGAGTAAATAAATAAACACCCCCACTTTTCTCTCCATATTGTATGATATATTGACTTTTATATTAAGATGGTTATTATATGATATATTGACTTTTATATTAAGATGGTTATTATATGATATATTGACTTTTATATTAAGATGGTTATTATATGATATATTGACTTTTATATTAAGATGGTGTCTTATTTATCAGTATGTTAGTATGTAGTGAGCTTTATCTTTAATAGGGGTTTGGATAGTTGAATGGTTAGAGCGTTCGTTCGTGTTGTATCATAAGGTCTGTCAACTGGCGTGGTTTGGATTCCACGACCCCGGATGTACGACCCCGGATGTACGTGACAAGGAATAGATAGGATCGCCTGTCCAATCTCATGGGTTTTCTCCGAGTTCCCTCCCACTGCTAAAAACCCCTATGTGCAAGCATATTATTGAAATAAAATTGAACCATATATTAGTCCCAAAATGACCTAGTTTGTGTCTAGTGGACGTTAACCCCCTCTCTCTCCATCCCTCTCTCTCTCTCTCTCTCTCTCTCTGTGTGCAGGTTAAATGTATAGCAGCCTATAGAAATAAAACAATTGACAAGATGTACATGTAACCTGGCCATAAGAACAACTAGAATCACTATATGATGTCTGACCTTCCCAGGCACCACTGACCTTGAGATAAACTAGGTCACATGTATTATTTATGGTTAAAATATGTCAACATGATGGTAATAAATGTTTTTATGAAATATTTATAAATGTCTTCCTCTTGATCTATTGTTTGTTGATGATGACATTTATACTTTATACAGGAAATATTAAAATCTGTCCTCTCTGTTGACCCCATGGTTGACCCCACGGTTGACCTCAGGGTTAGCCTACAGTTGTAAAACCAGTGAATATGGATGTCTTTTTTTTTACCAGAGTAATTGAAGTTTATATTTTTTCAATATTTTCAAACTTTGAAATGAGTAGATTGTGTATCTGGACCTGGAGGAGACTTAATCAAAATAGAGAGGAAGGGAAGAGAGAGAAGAGAGCGAGAGAGAGAGAGAGAGAGAGAGAGAGAAATGGGGTTTAACATCCACTCAACACTAACTAGGTCATTTCTGGACTAACACATGGTTCAATTTTTTTTCAATAATTTGCTTGTGTGTAGGGGTATTTAGCAGTGGGAGGAAACCCACGAACTTGGACAGGACAAATTTGCCGGACTCTTATTGGAAATAACCACCCTATAACTGCCGTGGGAATGCATCTGTACACCATTTTTTTCAGATTATCTAGTATTTTTCTAGTTCCACAGATACCAAATTTCCACTGAAACCACACCAGTTGACTCAATGACAGACCTTATGATACAGCGCGCACATGCTAACCATTCAGCCATTCAAACCTTGTCACATTCAGGGAAAATCGAAACCACGCAACCTGACGGAATGACAGACCTTATGATCCAAAGCGCACATGTTCATTCGACTTTCCACCAACCCCTTTGACTTGATCCGATGAGGCCTTCTAGATCTTGAGGCTTCAGTCTGTCAAACATACATGTATATCAGGCACTGTACATATGTTGATATCTAAACATGGAATGTGATAAAAATAACCTCCTGTTAAGATTTAGCTATGAAAAGTTGGTCTGTGGCATGTGTTTATTTTTAAAATGTCAAGAGAATTGTGGTGTTGTTATTTCTAGTTGAGACTGTGAGAATTTCCGTCATCATTTAAAGATAGGTTACCAGTCATACACCCACAGAAATTAAGTTGTCGGAGCAATTTATATATATTTATTGTTTTGGAGGTAATGATACCATTTACAAAATACTTAAAATTGAATTCTGAATGACAGTGCCACTTTGATTACAATATAAATACCAGTGTTTCCAGCTCAACGTAGAAATATTGTAAGTAATGATATCTACCATGTCCAATAATATTTGCATGGAGTTAAAATGTACAATATTTATGGCGATCTACAAAATTATTTTATCTTACTGATGAGTGGTCTACTAGAAGAACTTTATTTAAAGAGAGACAAACAACTTACATACATGTTGACTAAGTAATGGACACTTTAAATCCATGTATAATGGTGATTCCATTCTGGAATATTTGGAAAATTATGATTTGGTTTTAACATGTTTGGGGGATGGCCGAATGCTTAGTAGGAGTAGGGTCGCCTGTTCAACCTCATGGTTTTATCTGGGGCCTCTGGTTTCCTCCCACTGCTAAAGACTCCTATGGGCAAGCGAATTATTGAAATGAAACTGAACCATATGTTAGTCCTGAAATGACCTAGTTTGTGTTGAGTGAAGTTAAACCCTCTCTCTCTCTCTCCCTCTCTCTCCCTCTCTCTCTCTCTCTCTCTCTCTCTCTTTTTAACATGTTTTGTTTCGAGGCTCCAGACAATAATGACTCTATTTTAGAATATTTTTTTATACAGAATAATTTAGTTGGTACCATGTTGTTTATATGTAGGGTATAAGTAATCATGATGACCATGTGGTTTCTATAAAATACTAGTTTTTTTGTGTTATATTATCTCTAGTAGTATTATAAGTAGTTCAAGTCGTCTAAACCTGGTATAATAATCAACCCTATTATATACTTAAATTGATTCATTAACATTTAGATAATGTCTCTATCTGAACGTTGTTTGAGGGATTGAGGAAGCCCTTGCGCTAGTACTATAATATTATTCAGGGATTGAGGAAGCCCTTGCAAGAGCTATAATATCATTGAGAAATCGCTCAGACTACCTACTATATTTTGAAAGTCGAATCTGTAAAGGGAAAATCAGTCCACAAATGGTTCAATTCCATTGAGTATTTACAAAGGAATGGTGAATTTCACCACATTCGGCATTGTCTGTGCAAAATTTACCCGACAGCACACTGCATGGCATCATAAATGGTATTCACTTCATTAGCCCAGTTTGAACAGAAAATCCCATTTCATTTATTTTAGATTGTGTGGACCTTAAACGCTATTTCATTTCATTTAATTGATAGTCGTTCAGATGGGACGGAAAACCGAGGTCCCTTGTAAACTTTGCCGTGCACATAAAAGAACACTTGGTAATTTGAATTCGATATAAGAGTAGGCGGTAGCACTGCTGTCCTAGCCAAATTTCCCTCATAGCACACTGTAAGGAGTATGCCAATCTTCTTTATCTCAGTCGGAGTAGAACAGTAGGACGTTAAACCCCATTTCATTTCATTTATTTTACTTCTACCACTCTTCATCATTAGCAACAGAATGACGTTAAACCTCATCTCTGTGTGTAGATATACAACAGATTATTGTTATAATATAGATGAGATTATAATTATTATCTGATATCCTGGGGCACGTAGTATACAATAATCAAACACTGGTCTGGTATCCTGGGGTACCTGCTATAATCAAACACTGGTATCATATATCAAACTGATAGAGCAGGTCATTGTGACTAAACCGTCTATACTATTACATGATTTATGTCATTGAGAATATATAAATATTAGTAATTTTACTGAGGATCCATTGGGCAATGAGAAAGAGAGAATTTGGGTTTAACGTCCACTCCACATAAACTAGGTCATTTCGGGACTAACACATGGTTCAATTTTTTTTCAATAATTCGCTTGCACGTAGGGGTCTTTAGCAGTGGGAGGAAATCGGAGGACCCAGAGAAAACCCACGAGGTTGGACAGGCGACCCTACTCCTTGTCACGTACAAACGGGGATTCGAAACCACGCCATTTGACTCAATGACAGATCTTATGATACAACGTGCACGTGCTAACCATTCGGCCATCCAGCCACCATTGTACCCAGCTATTAAACAGAGCGACACTAAACACTCAACAAAAACACAAAATAACTGAGAAAATCGAAAATAGGAAAGACAATAACATAAAAGAATATAAGGCACAGCAAAGCAGGTGATAAAATGAAAGATGAATCTAAGTTCAGGATGAAATAAAACTGGCAAGCTACGTGAACCAACCACAGGTAGAAAGTGATAAAAGTTCAGAATGAAATGAAACTGGCCAGCTACGTGAACCAGCCACAGGTAGAAAGCTGACATTTCTCATTGGTAGAAGACTCTAATGGTAGCCATTGGTGACGAATTGTTACTTTTTATAAATGCACAGCATGTTCAATATTCTCTGTAATATTTACGTTTCATATCAGTTGTAATCTTTACTGATCTTAAAATAGCTAAAGATAAATATTTGTTTATAATTGATAAGAAGTGTAAGAGCAGCATCCAGAAGGACATATGTAATGAACTCCCCATCTGTAAATAAAGACTAACATATATAGAATGAATTTTGATTCAATAACATAAATATTCACCACACAACTAACTTGATTAGAGGGACTGTATCAGAACGAACAAGACAGTATTACTATTAGAAGAAAAGTACTGTAGTTTTAATTGAGGGTGTGATTTGGGTGCATGCATGTTTCAACTGGTTACAACAAATTATCCTGTTGTCAAGTATAGACAATAGAATTTGGTGCGCATGTACGTTTTATTACATTAATAATCACTGGGATTGTAGACAAATAATTTTAATATAAACAGATATTTACCATTCAATTAACAAGATTGATAATGACAGGCTTGTGCGTTGTTGTTAACAGGCTTGCACCCGAACAACGTCCTGGATTAAAACTACTTGATTTTAGATTATCACTTTCAGGGTTAAGGCCATTGATTACTCTAATTTGCACACTCTAGAGGCTGAAGGTCGGATATGATTGACTTAAAATTTATACGCAGTCTTTCTGTTCATGAAATGAAAAAAGCTTGTTTGATTTCTGTTATCTCAAACATCTAAAGTCATCATCTCATCAAATTTAAACTATTTTTGATAATTACTTGTTGTTGCCCTTGATATGTGTTTAGTGCCTTGTACATGTACATGTTTGTGTTCCCATCACCTACCAGAGATGGGAACTTGAGTCCCCTCAATGACCTAACTTGCGATTCGACTTGAAATATTTATTGTGACTCGAGACTTGACTCAGACTTGGCAGAAGTGACGACTCACTTAGGACTCAAGTCACGGTAAGTTGGCATAACTCTAACTTACCTTATTTGCCATGAATTACTCAGACATTTGTGAAGATTTATAACTTGACTTGGTGTTTATGTTTAAATATATGACCATGTAGAGAGCAACAGGCTAAGCCTCACTGTGGTCACGTGATCATATACATGGTCATATACGTAGGCATATTTTCCCGAGTTTTTTAGTCATAGTAATAAAGTTATGAAGTGAAGCACATGTGTTGTGTCTATGAGGACTGATCAGACACTCGCAAACCCTGAACATTACACTCGGTAATAAAGTCAACTCGACTCAGACTCTATGTATGCCATGCGGCAACTTTGAACTCTTACCTACAAAAGAATAATAATGTGACTTATTATGGGTGTATATTTGTTGCCTGGCAACCTATCTTTTTCTCTATGGTATCTAGTGCTACTGATGAGTTTCTGAGGTTTTACCATTCTTTGGTATGTCATAAGTGTACTAATTTAATTAATCTGCAATTTTTTGTCCTTTTTTTCAGAAAAATTAGAATTAAAGACATTTACAGTTGGTGATCAGACACCAAATATTAAACATGTTCGCGTTTTTGAATTTTGTGAAGGGGTCCCCGGAGGTCATAGTAACGTCACATGGGTCAACGTCAACCAGCCGCCTGCTGGAATGGACAAGATGTCCTCCTATAAAATTGTGCTGGAGACAGACTTGACGTTACACTGTGAAGATTTTAAGATGGTTTTCCGAGCTAAAGTCGGAAATAAAAAGTGAGTAAGAATGTTCAAAAACTGATGTATTTTTTTTTTATTTTTAAAAGGTATTTTAACTCACTTGATAAAATAAATCCCTAAACGTTACTATCTGCTTGGTAGGGGTCCTTGTCTAAAGGTCCAACCTAGAAGGGGAGCCATGTAGGTCCAGTGTTCAATTCTAGTGTTGGCCGAGAAATTTCATCGGTATTTTCCTACATGGTTCCTACTTGTCGATGGTGCAGGACAATGTATGGTCGTTCGAAAGGTCACAGAAAACCTAGGTCCTGTATACACATTGGAGATGGTGCAGGACAATGTATGGTCGTTCGAAAGGTCACAGAAAACCTAGGTCCTGTATACACATTGGAGTGAAAACCTAGGTCCTGTATACACATTGGAGTGAAAACCTAGGTCCTGTATACACATTGGAGTGAAAACCTAGGTCCTGTATACACATTGGAGTGAAAACCTAGGTCCTGTATACACATTGGAGTGAAAACCTAGGTCCTGTATACACATTGGAGTGAAAACCTAGGTCCTGTATACACATTGGAGTGAAAACCTAGGTCCTGTATACACATTGGAGTGAAAACCTAGGTCCTGTATACACATTGGAGTGAAAACCTAGGTCCTGTATACACATTGGAGTGCACGTAAGAAAACCTAGGTCCTGTATACACATTGGAGTGAAAACCTAGGTCCTGTATACACATTGAAGTGCACGTAAAAGAATCCTTGTCAGAATCCAATATAAGAGTTGGTCATAGGGTTAGGGTTAGGGTTAGGGTTAGGGTCCTGACAAATTTCCCTCATAGCACACTGCTTTGAGTATGCCCATCTTCATTTGCCCAGTCAGAGCTGAAGAGTAGGACATTAAACCCCATTTCATTTCATTTCTAACCCAGAAGTCATCGTTCATCAATATCCCATGCTCTTGGCAAGGAAAATTGTTGAATGGGATAAAAAATCAATGCTCGTGTATGTTATTGAAAGCGTGTTAAAAATCCTGTGACAGTTAGACAGATTAGGCCAGTGATTCTCAACCAGGGTGCCATGGCACACAGGTGTGCCTCGAGATCTTCCTAAGTGTGCCGTGAAATTTTGAACGGCACACTGTGATCCCAATTGAGTATTCACTGGTATCTACTGATAAGTTCATAGCTGTGATTTTCTATGACTAGTCTCTGTCTACGGTTATATTGCGTCTGACTTACCATGTTTTTATTTTGCAAAATTCAAATACTTTATATATATATTTAGCCAGGTGTGCCGCTATTTTTTCATATGTTCCAAAGTGTGCCGTTAGCCAAAAAAAAAGGTTGAGAATCACTGGATTAGGCTGTAATGCCACTATTGGGACAATATTTCCTTCAAAGCACACTGCATGGCACACTGTCCATCTTTATTAGTCCGACTGGTGCAGAATTCACCAATTTAGGTACAATTGACATGAAATTTGGCTTACTTGCTATTTATTTTGTTTGTTTTTCAGAGTGAGTTTAGGTTTCGATATGTCAATTGATGATTTGAATATTACTGGTACGATGCAAGCTATCGTTCATCTTAGTATGGATATACCATTTCCTCACGTCTCTAAGGCTACAATTTCATTTGTTGAGAAGTACGTATTATTTTCTCATATTTTATAGAAGCTATGTGTTCAATAGGCTGGTTGTTACATTTCTAATATTTTATTTCATGATTTCTGGAAATGTAGATCACATCACAGGAGTCTGACCTTCTATCCGTATATATATGCATACACCATACCGAACAATATATAATAAAATAAGAACAGGAATGCAATGCCCGTTGAAGCCTCGATTTTACCTGCTCTCGCTTCGACTCGTTTTTTTTACAACAATTCGTAATGTCAGGCAATCAAACCACTTTCTATTCACTCAGATATGTTTTTTCTTCAATCTAGCCCTTTGATTTGCATAAATACTCCCCACAAAATGGTAATATAGCCACTTGTTTCCAATATTTACATTATTTTCGTTCATTGACGTTTGTCATCGACTCCATGCGCTGACGTAGTGCAGCTGTCCAGGCAAAATTAACCCTCATAGCTTACTGTATGGCGTATGCCCATCTTCATTAGTCCAATCGGAGCAGAACAGTAGGATTTTAAACCCTATTTTATTTCCACTTTTACCTTTCACAGACCTGACGTGACCTTCAATATACACATGTTAAGAGCTATACAGTTGATGGAAGTACCATTATTAAAAAGCTGGATTTATAATAACGTTATGGAGGGACTTACAAAGGGTAAGTTGTTTATATTTTATTATCCAAGTTAAATACGGCCAGCAAAATCAGTCACTTGGTTCACTTCACCAAAATTGAGTTCTCTATATTTCCTGAATGCCACAACTGTATTCTTTAAAGGGACAATAACACTCTTGCTGGGTTGACAGCTCCAGAAAATAAAAAATAGCCTTATTCTAAGTACTAGATGTGTAAGTGTCCTACCTGTTGTGTAAATTATCCATTAAATCCTATTTTACTTGTCCAAAAGGTTCAAAAATATTTTTAAATCCAAGTCACATTTGAAAAGCTTTACGTCAGGCTTTTCAAATCATTTAGTTGAATTTTTCCAATGTTTTAAATTAGTTGTGTTAAGATGAAATTTGTATCATCAATTAATTGGAATATTGTAAAATAGTACAATTTGTTGACCAGAATAAAGATTGGGACATATTATTAAGTTACAACAAGAGTGGTATTGAGCCTTTAAAATGCAACAGAAATTGCTGTTCGGACTACTGGTTGTAAGATTATTTGACGTCAAATAGACGACTAATTTCAATTGTTTTAGGGAGAATCTTGATCATGTATAATTCAACATCCCTTATTATAATCAAATTTTGTGGCATTTAGAGTTCAAATAATTAAAAATGATTTAGAATGCTGAAAGAAATCATTTCAATAATTTCACCACTGACTGCTGTATATAGTCTGATCTGATGGGACAGGGATTGCATGTAATAAACAATAAAATACATGTTCATAATTTTATATCGTTTAAAATTTCAGCTATGGTGGACCCCGCCTCTGTAGACCTTCATTTCGCTAAAGCCGGACCAATCCAAGTTAATAGATCATCTATTAAGGAGAAAAAAGGTAGGTGAATGGTAAAAATAATCTGGATTATAAAAACAAGTGCTGGACAATCTGTGGTTTAACATCTACTCAACATAAACTAGGTCATTTGGGAACTAATTTAGGTTCAATATTATTTCAATAATTTGTAACCGTGCAGGGGTCTTTAAGAAGTGGGAGGAAACTGGAGGACGTGAAGAAAACCAACAAGGTTGGACAGGAAACCCTACTCCTTGTCACGTACAAGCAGGGAATCGAAACCATGACACTTGACACAATGACAGACCATATAACCAAACATACACATGATAATGATTTGGCTACCCAACCTCCCTGCAAGATGATCTGTACCGCACAGAGAAAGAAACACGCATAAGATAATCACATGCAATACACAGAGATTGACCAAAGTTTATTTCATGGATACTATTAGATCTCGACCTCTGATGATTTAAGTATTATCAAATGGACTCCTCTAAATTCTAGACAGTTGATGTATTTCTCGTAAATATAAATAGTCATCAACAGTTGGTGTATATCTCATCAACAAAAATGAAATGGGGTTTAACATCCTACTGTTCTGCTCCTAAACTGGGCTAATGAAGACGGGTATATGCCATACAGTGTGCTATAAGGGAAATTTTGCCCGGGCAGCGGCGCTACGGCCTACAGTTATATCGAATTTCAACTGCCAAGGGATCTTTTACGTGCACCCAAATGTGTACACAGGACCTTGGTTTTTTGTCCCCTCCGAACAACTAGACAGCTGTCCTTGTCAGGCCCTCCGTCCTGCATCACTGACAAGGGGAAACCACGCTGGAAAATCTGAATGAACTTTCTCGGCCGTTGCAGGAATCGAACGTCCGACCTCCAGGCTAGCGAGCCAGCGTCTTACCCACCTAGCCACGTGATCCCCTCTCATCAACAGAGGATTATGGTTGAATGTTATAATGATAATTATTGATCAATGTCTGATACTAGAACAATAAAACTTAGTCCTACTCAAGTTGGAAGAAAATTCTAAATATTAATTCATTTATTTATTTAATCTAATTTTATTTCAGCCCATGGAGTATTAACAATAAAAATAAAGGGAACACCTCATGATGAAGCTAGTTAGTATATTTTAATTTCTATTTTCATTGTTTTTTATACGAAACCTTGCTCGTGATAACCGCCCCTTTTTTTTATAAACCTTCTGCCAGTGATAACCGCCTATTTTTAAGGAATTAAATCTTCTGCCATATGTAAAGTCCATATTTTCAAGGATGGGGAGGAACCCTTTGATTTTTGATCATCCAAACGACAAGACACATTTACCGAGTTAGAAATATAGGTCTGACCCTTAACAAGTAAGAACCAAGTTTGAAAAATCTCAAGGGTTCTTCTAGGCAGCCGAATTATCTGGTCGAGAGGCAGCTATCGTTTAAACACTTCAGCTCTTCAGAAACACTTCTTTATCATAGAAAGTGTAGCAATGGTTAAGGTAATACTCACAACCATTGCTTCTGGAATATACTGACAACCAATCAGATTAAAATACAGATCTATATTTTTTGCTTCGTTTTTTTATACTTTCGATGACCTCTACTGCATGCAGATCTGACCAGTTGTAGTTGGAGGTCACGTCAGGGGTCATACAAGCGGCTTTTGACCTATGACATCAGACATTTAATTAACCAATCAGCGTTGATGTTTTTAGTGGAAGACCCACAGTTCCGTGCCAAAAACATGCTGTAACAGACCAGAACGTGGATTATATAACATCTCTTCCAGATCCAAGTGTAGTAAAGACAAGTAAAACAAAATTTTGAACTATAAAAAACGAGACGAAATAGGATCTGTGTTTTAATCAGATTAAAAGTTTTCCTGTATTATATAATAACATGTTTATATTTTATAGTTGCTGAAGATATACGATATTGTGTTTTACGTATTGGTGATAGAAAACGTGAAACAAGAGATGTTCCTGCCATCAACGAATGGGAGGACGTCTGCTCATTCTTTATCTATGATGTAGCAGATGAGAAAGTAAGTTGTCATGGTTACGTTGCTGCCATCTTTTTGGTACTATGTATTGTTTTTATGACGATGACGAGTTTAGTTCACTGTTTAACACTCTATCTGAATTATGTCATGGTTGCAGCAAATGTGTCATGGTTATGGCTATTGTGTCATGGTTACGGCAATTATGTCATGGTTTCGGCATTTATGACAATTGTAAAGTTTGGACTTGATAAATGTTGTTAGAGAATTGTCTATAACAATATGGTAGTTAGCAAGGGATGACGCATCAAGTCTTTAAATGTTATCCAGATCTAATTGGTTTGACTCATTGATGGAAGTGTTACTTACCCGCACTGATGTCTAATTGGTTTGATTCGTTCATCAGAGTCTTACTGATCCTCCCTGATGTCTTATTGATGCTACAGGAATGTGTGTGTTTGAGTTGTATTTTATGTCCACTTCCACCGAGGTGATCCCCCAGACAATAACATGTTATGTATACATGGTGCAGTATTTTACAATGTGATTAGTGAAAAAGGGATTGAAAGAATAATAAGATATTTATATATATATGTTTTCTATATCTCTATTTATATGAAACGATTCGGATAATTATCACATAATAAATAAATTGTGTAAATGTTACGTATTTCAGCTAGAAATAAAACAGAAATGTAAAAGATTATTAACGAGTACTGTGGTTGAATCTCATACGATTAAATTATCAGCACATCCATTTCGAGTACAGAGCAAGTAAGTATTTAACTAGCATTAATTAACATAGAATAGAATGGCCACCTGTTAACATATAGTAGTAGGACTCGCTAACGGAGATCCTGTGATCAATCCTGTTGTTGCCATGGTTCCCCCTTGTCATTGATACAGGTTAGAGGACCAGGTAAAGGGACAACGTATAGTTGGTCGACTGGAATAAAAGATTGATGGCCTGTGTACAGATTGGTGCCCTCTTGATAGTTGGAATTCGATGAGTAAGCCATAGTGCCGCTGCCTGGGCATAATTCCCTCCTCGCACACTGTATTATGTATGCACATCTTCATGTTTTCATTCATTAGTCAAAATTATCATCCTTTGTTATTGTTTAAAGTTTCAATTGCAAATTTTCAAGTTATATTTTTAAAACGTATTAAAATAAAGCCTTAAAATAGATGGTATCCATAAACAGTCCTACCATGTTAAAGAATAATCCTATTAATCCTATAATTCGCTATTGCCAGCTGAGAAGTTGGCAAAAATATCATTTTTAACTTCAAATTCCAACGTTTGAAAATGGCTGCCCCATGTTGTCAATAGCAAAATCGGGGGGTAATTGTGTTGTTATTTCCTGTGTCATAGATTTTTAAGGGTGGGAAATAATGTCCATGATCGTATAATAGTGATTTGATAACCTATTGAGCAAAAGACATAGAAATAATTATGTTTTGACTTTCTTAGAAAATTTGAAATTCTCGCTTTAAGGGGGTTTATTTGTTGAGACTTTACAAAAAAAATCCTCTGAGGTCCCATCTATACCTAAGATCCACCTTGATAGTTAAAAATCGAACTAAAAATAATCTGTAGTGCCACAGCCTGGACAAATTTCTTTCATAGAGGATAGATTACAGAGGTGTGAATATGTTTTTTTTTGTGTATTTTAGAGCTGAAGATACATTTACAAATAGTGATGGTTCCAAGTTGAAACTAGATTTAGAATATACAGCTTTACCTAAGATTGATCTGGAAACAGAACCAGCAAATCAACAAATTACAAACAGTAAGATGGCGTAAACTTTTACATTCAATCGTTGTTGTTTTTACTCTAATTTCAATTTCAAATCAGTTATGTTTGGTGAAATATGCAAAGAGTCCAAATTGAGTGGCAGTCTTTGGCGTTTGATTATTCCAGTCTACACCGGTAGCATTCTCATGTGGGATATGTTTAGCCTCGTGCATTGAGTCACTTCATTACAAATGGCGCTCAAAGCATTCTGGCACACTATTTGTGTGCCAATTTTAAAATTTTAATTTTGTCTTAAATCTTGGATATCAGATGCCCATCTTTTCATGGTAAGATATCAACATCAATGTCGATTTAAATCGACCAATAATTCGTTCTTGCAATGTTGAAGACTGTGTATGATATTGAGTTATAGACTTGCCTCCATTAAAGAAGTCCTGCACCATTTACATGTGATTGTTCTTACACATAGATTTATCTTTAATAATTGTTTCATTGTGGCACGTCAGCTTGGTAAATAGACCAGTATGAGATATAATGACATGCTCAGGATCGGATCTGAGTTTTATACAGATTGTAGATTAAATCTGATAAACTCCGTCCCACATTATAGATCTTGTGTATGTTAATAACAGGCCAAATGCCTACACATAAACATAAACAGTTCATACGGGCGGCTTATCTGACGGCCCCTGATTATAAAGATCTTGTAACTTTTAGGTTTAAATAATAAAATTTCTGACTGGATTATAAAGATCTTGTAACTTTTAGGTTTAAGTAATAAATTTTCAACTGAATTATAAAGATTTTGTAACTTTCAGGTTTAAATATTGAATTTTCTGACTGGAATATAACCATGATATGGCTGTGTAATAGATATTTTATTTGTTTATACTGTGTGATGTCTGTCTGGAATAAAATGGGTGTTATTTTTTATTTGTTTATACTGTTTTATGTACATGTCTGGAATATAACCATGGTATGATTGCTGTGTTTATTTTATTTATTTTGTTGCAGGTTCTGGTGTGATGTATGTTAAAATACATGGTGCTGCTAATGTCATCGCTGCTGATAGAACAGGGGCCTCAGATCCTTATTGTGTGCTCTTCTCAGATAGACGCAGGGTAAGATAGATATACTGGTTGTAAATTTACCTGTCATTCAATTGACCACCTGGAGTATATATACCTGTCTGTCAAATGTCCACCTGGTGTATATATACCTGTCAGTCAATTGTCCACCTGGAGTATATATGTGTTTGTCATAATTTAGTATTTTTAGAAATTTAAAACTAGAAAGAAAGAAATTTAGTAAAACATTTTCTTGTAAAACCACTTCAAAATACATTTATGGACTTTACGTGAATTTGAAAACTAAGGCGTCATCGTTTGATGTGTTGAGTGAGTAGAGAATGCTGCATGTAATGGTGCTGGGTTCACATCTCTCTCTCTCTGTGTTCAGACCAGTTGTTATTTTATAATTTTGATATTTATTATGCTGATAATAGAAGTATTCAGACAGGGTAAGAAAGCTGTACTACCACACACAGACTCCACAATCTTTCACTCTTTAATCTTGCATAATGTATGTTTAACTGCAGACAGCACTGTGTTTGGCCCATTTTGTTATTATTACAAGGGCAATTTTTTAATTATTTAGCTAGTTTATACGAAGAAGGCCAATCCTAATCAAAATTCAGCGAAATAATTTTTTACCAGACAACGATCAATGTGTTCGGCCATTTTATAATTATTTTAAAGGAGCTAAATCGCTAATATTTGGGATCTAGAAATTGAAACAAATGGGTTGCAACGCATATAATAATGTGATGTGAATATATTTAAACTGATTTACATTCAATTGTTTTCCGTTTTTACACCAATTTCAAATCAGTTATGTTGGGCAAAATACACGAAAAGTCTTAACTTAATGGCAATCTCTGGCATCTGGTTATTCCAGCCTACACCTATAGTATTTATTGCGCATGCTCTCCATATAAGAATATGGCATTACCGTTTGACATGACTTATGGGATATGTCTAGCCTCGTTCTTCAAGTCCGTTGTTACAAATGGCGCTGAAACGCATTATGGTACACGATTCGTGTACCAATGGTAAAATATTTATTTTGTCTTAAATATTGGATATCAGAAGCCAATCTTTTACCGGTAAGATCACAACATCAATGTTGATTTCAATTAACAATTAATTTGTGTTTTCAATGTGGAAGACTTTGGATGATATTGAGTTAAAGACTTAGCTACTTTAATTACGACTTTCATATCTTTACCTATTTTCACAAATGTCAGTACTTTGACTCTGTCAACAAGATTGCTATACAAGATTGCTATTAATGTTACATTATAAGATGGAGTTTTTGCTTTTGTTATTAAAATTTCATGCATGTATGTTGCTACCTGCCAAGAATTCTGCTTCACATTTCAAATATGGCTATTCAACTGTCCTTTGATACTTAGTGTGAAAGATTTCAATTTTCATTGTTTTTCACAAAAAGACTTTTATTTTCATCTCACATCATTTCGTTTGTCTACATCACCATTATTCTTTATGTCGTAAATTGATACAGTTTCATGCTAGGTATTCCAAACCAATTGGAATTGTTGTCTTTCAGAAACACCTATAGAAAAAAAAAGGGGGGTCATGATGGCTAAGTGGGTAAGACGCTGGCTCACTAAGCCAGGAGGTCGGGTGTTCAATCCCTGCATGGGGGGTTGGATGGCTGAATGGTTAGCACGTGCGTACTGTATCATAAAGCCTGTCATTGAGTCAACTGGTGTGGTTTCGAATCCCCGGTTGTACGTGACAAGGAGTAGGGTCGCCTGTCCAACCTCGTGAGTTTTCTCCGGGTCCTCCGGTTTCCTCCCACTGCTAAAGACCCCTACACGCAAGCGAATTATTGAAATAAAATTAAACCATATGTTAGTCCCGAAATGACCTAGTTTGTATCGAGTGGACGTTAAACCCCATTTCTCTCTCTCTCTCTCAATCCCTGCATTGGCCGAGAAAGTACATCCAGATTTTCCGGCGTGGTTCTCCCTTGTCAGTGATGCAGGCAGAACAGAGGACCTGACAAAATCAGCTGTCTAGTCATTCGGATGGGACGAAAAACAGGTCCTGTGTACACATTGCCATGCACGTAAAAGATCCCTTGACAGTTGGAATTCGATATAAGAGTAGGCCGTAGTGCCGCTGTCCGGGCAAAATTTCCCTAATAGCACACTGTATGGCGTATGCCCGTCTTCATTAGCCCAGTTCGGAGCAAAACAGTAGGATGTTAAACCCCACTTCATTTCATTTCATATAAAAAAATCCTGCTTCGTATTTATAAACTTATTTGCTCCTCTCTAAAGCAATTCGCTACGAACTTGTTTAGTTAAGATTTAAAACAAAACAAGTGGCCGTTTAGTTATCAAGACTGGAAAGAACTAAAGGTTAAACCAGTTTGACCTAATAATATTTGATTGTCTTAATAAAACAGCTGTTTTAAAATAAATCATTTCAACTTAGTTCATAAAATAAAGTCATATATTTATATTTTTATAAGGTAGGAGTTTAATAATCCTTATTGTGTGTTGGAATTCATCCATTTGATATGTCAAAATTATCTTTCCCTATAAATGGTGCCCATATGTGGAATAAACTACCAAAAACAATTAGAGAAAGTTCAGCTTTTGTTAAAAATTTAAATCGGATTTAAAAACACACTTGTTTAAATATTATTACAAACTGTAATCTTTTATAGGTATTTGATAACTGGATAGAGCAATAAAATATAACACATACTTCTGGCAAAACAGCTACTAATTTATTTGGGCGACATTTTGAAGCGTTAACGTTGAGAGAATACTCTTCAAAATGTCGCCCAAATAAATAAGTAGCTGATTTTCCATAAGTATGTGTTATAGTTTATTACAAACTGTGATGTGACATTTGTTAAGCGCTTAGAAATATGACTGGATATAATGAAGCGCTATAGAAGATGAATAATGTGATAATGTTTATTGTCGTGTGTTTGGTATATATTATATTGTTTACTATTGATGTAAAACAAGCTTGTGTCTCCGCAGATATATTTTGTTTTATTTATAATGTTGATAAAGTATATTGCTCATTATAATGGAATAAAATATTGTTTGTATTTTTATGAAGTATAATAACATTTCTTCTTGTGATGGAATGAAATATTGTTTGTATTTTAAACAAATGGTAATTCTGTTCATCAATTTGTTCTGCTTATAATTTTGTTAGTTGATGTTGTCAGTCAGCTTTAGTATTGAAGCAAGTAATTGAATCAGGCTGTGTTTTACATAAGAGAACGGAAATTTATATTTAGATTTGTATTTCTATATTTCAGATATTTACAACACCTTACATACCTGAGACAAGAAATCCACGATGGGAAACAGGTGTTGAATTCTTTGTTAGTAATGTTGCCAAGGTAATCAGATCATATCATTCTATTCTTGGTAGTTGATTGGTCAATTATTGCATGTGCCTTTTAAATAAAAAAAATAATGTTTTGGTTTTATTTTCAGACCAATTTATCGTTCTTTGTATTTGATTGGGACGGTACGAATACTATTGATGATGATTTCCTTGGATCAGCTCACTTCTCGTTATCAGAGGTAATTTAATATTCAACATATTTTATAATCAATGTAGCTTAATGTAAACTCGATCCCGGTGTTGGGATTCATCCAGATTTTCCAGTGTGGTTTCCCCTTGTCAGTGGTGCAGCAGCACAGAGAACCTGACAAGGACCTCTTTCTAGTCATTCGGATGGGACAAAAAACAGATGTCCCATGTACACATTAGCATGCACGTAAAAGATCCCTTGGCAGTTGGAATTCGATTTAAGAGTAGGCCGTAGTGCCGCTGCCCGGGCAAAATTTCCCTCATAGCACACTGTAAGGCGTATGCCCGTCTTCATTAGCCCAGTATAGGAGCAGAACAGTAGGACGTTAAACCCCATTTCATTTAACTCCAAATGATCACACTTTATTACGATTATATAATATGTTGCAGTATGAAAGTTGTGTTATAAATTATAATGGTTGTTTTGTTATAGAATGAGAGTGTGTTATTAATTATAATTGTTTTATTAGGATTATATAATATGTTGCAGTATGAGTATTGTGTTATTAATTATAATTGTTTTATTATAGGATGAGAGTTGGGTTATAAAGAAGAATCTAACATTAGGATATAATGATCCGAAGAAGGGTTACGTACAGGATAGATCATGTGGGGAGATAACTATATCTGTTATATTTAGACCAGTTCCTTCTGTTGGTAGATCAGGTAAGACGGGGGAACATGTGCGCTTTAGATCATAAGGTCTGTCAGTGAGTCGACTGGCAGGGTTTCAATTCCCCCACTTGTACATGACAAGGAGTAGGGTCGCATGTCAAACCTCATGGGTTTTCCCTGGTTTCCTAGTTTGTGCCAAGTTGACGTAAAGCCATACACTTTGTCTATAATAACTAAGTGGGGGTTGGATGGCCGAATGGTTAGCGTGTGCGTTGTAGCATACGGTCTGTGATTGAGTCAACTGGCATGGTTTCGATTCCCAGCTTGTGTGTGACAAGGAGTAGTGTTGCCTGTCCAACCTTGTGGGTTTTCTCCCACCGCTTACCAATCCTATGTGATCCGTATGTTATCCCAGAAGGAGAGGAGTTCCCTAGTCCGCAGGTGCACTAGACGGTCGCTATAAGAAATGCTATAAATATGGGTATCAATAAACCTAACCCTAACCCTAATAATAGATATCAGTGGACTAATGAACCCCCCTGAAGTGAACTAGTATGTGTCAAGTGGATGTTAAACCCCAGTCAAGTAATAGAACCAATTGTACCTCTTTATATTATGTCGTCATACTGAAATATTGTGAACAACAGTAGTCGAGTGGTAAGAGCACAGGACTATTGACTAGAATTTTCATGATTGAATCCCGTTGTTAAAGGGGAAGAATTTGGGTATTTTTTAACGTAGAGCAGACACGATACATCGTTGCATTAATGAATCGCGATTCACTGTCTCACGATTTGCGTATTTATGTTTTATTGTCGCTTCAATAAGTCGCCTGTCACTGTTGATTATCCCTGACAGCAGTGGCAATACCCAGCAGTATTTTAAAGCCCTGTTTCCACTTGTCGGGGGCAGCACCGGCATGGCATGGGAAAGTAAAATCCACCAGTGTACACACAGTTGGAATTCGATTAGTTTAAACACATAATTCCTGCATCTATTAAACTTTTAACTGAATTTTTTTTCAGAAAAATATCGAGCCTTCTTAGACAGTATTAGTAGTAATAACAACGATTATTTATATCGCGAAGATCTCATGTCACCTGCTACGTCAGTAAGTAATCTCCCCATCTTTATCTATTCCATTATTGAAGTTTTTAATGTCTGTACTTGAATTCATGAAATTATCTATAATTATACCCCATCTTGGGATTCGTTGAATCATAGATAATTGACGTGAATTGAAATGGGGAGCCACGGTGGCTTAGTTGGTAAGGTGTTGGCTCACAGCTGACCAGGAGAACCCTGGTGTTGGTCAGCATGTTTCCCCCATGTCAATGGTGCAGGTTATAGGGCATGACAAGAAATAGTATCTAGTTATTTGGATGGGATGATAAACTAAGGTCCAGAGTAAATTATTCTTGCACATAACATAACCCCCGACAGTTGGAATTTGGGTAAAACTTTCCTCATAGCCCACTGTACAGCTGATACAGAAATAGCATCTGGTTATTCGGATGGGATGAAAAACTGAGTTCCAGTGTACATAAAATACCCTTGACAGTTGTAATTTGGGCAGCCCACTGTACAGCTGATACAGAAATATAAAACATTTAACTTTAATTAAAATACTTAAATTGTGCACAGAGAAATAAATATTTAGCATGATTTCACTCCCAGCTATAAACACAAGGATAAAAATACTTCCATGGTCTAACATACTGTTAAACAAGATGATTCATGTAATGGCTGCTATTCAAATGGCTTCTTTCAATCTGTTTTTTAATGGTTTAAAGATACATTATGTAAGATTTAGATAAAGAGCTAGCCATTCTGGCTACAATAGTTCGAAAATAGATAATGTAAAATGAATAATTTGAAACTTTCATTCAAATTACTCTATTGCGAGCGAAGATATTAGCCTTTGAAGGTTTGACAATTTGTGTGAAATAATTTCAACCACCGCTGAACTGTTCTAATAGATTTAATGTTGGAGAAATGGTATCCAGTAAATATCGCTAGTCCTTATCCAGTAAATATCGCTAGTCCTTATACAGTAAATATCGCAGGCTAGCGTTGCCATAGAGAGTTGATTAAGGTCTGGATTAGTTAATTAATGTCTAATTAATAATTTAGATAATATTTCAGGCCTAAAGAAAGAACTGCAATAGGAAAGTTTTAGTTCTTGCATAATGTATTTTTAATCCATGCTAAAAATGTATACAATTGATTACTTAACTTATGATTAAGAAAACAAAATTGTCTTAGATACAGTCATACTAAATATTTCACTGAATATAATTGGTGAAGCTGGTTTATATTGATTGACTATGTTCTATTGTTTGGGATGATGTTCACGGCCTTTAATTACTGTTAATTATTAGTTGAGGAAATGATTAGAATATACACGTTCTTGTTTAAACAGTACGTAGAACATTTGATCACACTATTCATACAAGTTTAATTTCCTATCTCCAAATTCATCTTCTCACTAAGAAAGTTATATCATTATATCATTCTTTAGTTTATTTTCATTTAAATGTTGATTATTATTTTTATTAGCTTCAGGTACTAGTATATATTACATTCATCTGTCATGGTAGTTTGATATATCATAGTAGTTATAATAATAACATATTCACAGATTTAAATATATTTACTTCGCTTCTCACTTCTGCTTATCTAACTTGTATACAAATGGCTAATGTCCGCTAGAAGTCGTAACAGACAACAGAGCGTATGACCCCACATTGTCTTTTTTAGCCCTTAATAATAACGATAGTAATAATTTACGCATGCCAAAAACAGCTACATTTAATGTACATGACTAGCTTATTAATATCTGCTAGAAATGATAACAGACAACAGGGCATACATGTCATAGGCAGTTAACCTAAGATTTTTGACAGCAACCCTCACATTTTCTTCTTAAACCCTTAATGATAATTTATATTCATTTACGCATGCTGAAAACTCTACATTTAACAAGTCCCTCTATAAATAAAATCCAAAACAGTCAGTTTATAATCTTGATGAGCGAGTAAAATAACTGCTTGTAAATGAGTACCTAGCGATCTCCCTTATGCTCCCTCCCTTTTCGCCTCTTACAGGAATTTGGCCTCACAGTCACCTTTGGCCTTTTTTGGCAAATTTCTTCAGAAACACTGGTCTGTGACATTGCCTTAGGTGAAAGCGGGCATCAACCCCCAGCTCATAGTAGTAGAAATGAGTTTATATGTTGATTACAATGATGAGCAAGCAGAGTTGACAAGAGTCGCTGGCCTTTGAAAGCAACTTGAAACAATTGTCTGCTGTAAAAATTACCCAAGGCACAAAAATCAAAAATATAATTGAAACAACATTCTGCTATGTTAAAGCAAAATGAGAAATATAGGTTTGTTGGTAGTAGGGAGAGATGATAATTAAATATAGGTTTGTTGGTAGTGGGGATGATAATTAAATTTAGGTTTGTTGGTAGTGGGGAGGGATAATAATTAAATGCTATAACCCACTTGTTAGAATATTATGGTGAGCTATCAGTCCTTCAGATTATGCTTTGATAGTTTATGAAAACCATAGCTAACGGATCCTTAATAATTCTGACCAATCAGCAGGCTACTAATTCTTATAATTCAGGTCAGTAGACACCTATATTAGATTGGTGGGGGGGGGCACAGATTTCAGAATATTGCCCAGGTAGGGGGCCAAGGGGAGTAGGGTTAGGGTTAAGTTGTCGAAACCCCTGACAATTTTGAGTATCTTGATTTTTTTATATTTTGAATGCTATTGGGTGGGAATGAACATGTGCATCCCTGATCTCCCTCCCTCTCCTGTAACGTTCCCCAGGCCCCTGACAAGTGTCTACAGACCTTTGATCTCCCTTCCTCCCCTCTAACATTCCCCTGGCCTCGGACAAGTGTCTACAGACCTGTATAATTTATGTTATTAAATCCTGCTTTTTATGTCATGGTTTATTTTTTTATAAAGATTCAATATTATGCATGTATTTATCAGTTAGTTCTAAATAAAACTTATAATACCACTCATCTCTATTAACATTTCAATATATCAAACATATTTTAATACAAGGTTAGTGCCATTATAGTGAACCCCTTCAATATGATATATATATATTATAGCGCAGGTTTTTCAGTGGATCTTACTGTTATAGTCAAGCGTGTCAATATAATGTATATATATATTATAGTAGTTATAGTCAAGCCCTTAAATACAATATATTGGCAACTCTCAGTCAACCCCAATATTCAGCCTCGTAGTCTGAGCGCTTCATTATATTGGGAACTCTCAGTCAACCCCAATATTCAGCCTAATAGTCAAGTGCTTCATTATATTGGGAACTCTCAGTCAACCCCAATATTCAGCCTAATAGTCAAGTGCTTCATTATATTGAGAAATCCCAGTCAACCCCAATATTCCGCCTAATAGTCAAGTGCTTCATTATATTGGGAACTCTCAGTCAACCCCAATATTCAGCCTCGTAGTCCGAGCGCTTCATTATATTGGGAACTCTCAGTCAACCCCAATATTCAGCCTAATAGTCAAGTGCTTCATTATATTGGGAACTCTCAGTCAACCCCAATATTCAGCCTCGTAGTCCGAGCGCTTCATTATATTGGGAACTCTCAGTCAACCCCAATATTCAGCCTAATAGTCCGAGTGCTTCATTATATTGAGAACTAAGAGTGGACCTGACAGTGTTATTGTGAAGCCCTTTAGTATGATATATAGGGTACTTTCAGTTGACCCCAACAGCAGTGTTATAGTGAAGCCTTCCAGTATAATATATAGGCAACTCTCAGTCAACCCCAAGCCTCAGTGTAGATACTCTATGTGTTGTAAAAATGTCATCTTGTAAAAGCTATCTATTTACCATTATACTGTAACCCTCATATCATATAATTCAATACATACGATGTTATAGCTATATATTTAATTCAATAATTTATAATGGTCGTTATTATATGTATATATCTATATTATTTCATGGTAATTCCATATCATATTTATTATTTACCCAAACGATAATTTAGAACATATGATGTGGTGCAGAAAAGATATTACAACATCAAATAGGCTTACTGGACAACTCAAAAAATTTTGCATAAATTTATATAATATAAATAAATGATAAGCATGAAATATTTCAGTGATTGTCTGAACACTGCTGGAATATATCAAACTTTTGCATGAAAATGATAGTGTTATTGTGTTCAATTATGACCCCCCCCCCCCCCACCCCCCATCATGTTAACCACTGAACAATATGGATCACTTTTGCTGTAATCGTTAATGGTTGTTGTATTGGTGAACACCACTTCACAAGTTGTGAAGTTAATGTGAACACAGAGTGGAACCTGTAAACACTAGGGCCCCGTTTCTCGAAATCTTTACTAAAGATAAAATCCAAATTTTAGTAGATACTTCAATTTTGATTGGCTAAGCACTAAAATCAACCTAATATTATCCAATCAAATTACTAAAATTTGGATTTTATCTTAGTTAAAATTTTGTGAAATAGGCCCCAGGACTGTTGATCACTAACAAATTGTATACTCCTTGTGTGGTATTGAGCAATTGAGCACCTTACAAACAACATTTATATGGAATGCAATAACTGGCTATAAATACAGCACAATGTTCTCATAAGTTTTCTCTTATCATTTTGAAACACAGATGTTAAAACTTTGTGATTGTATTCCATATAAATGGAAAGTAAGTTTTTAATATGGAATCCAATAACTGGCTATAAATGTATCCCAATGTTTTCATAAGTTTTCTCTTATCATTTTCAAACACAGATGTTAAAATTTGTGGTTGTATTCCATATAAATGGTCTGTAAGTTTTTAAATTGTGCCAACTTTCTGACAGTGAACACAGTAATTACAAGTAGTAACGATTATAGTATATAATGTCTATATAGTTTTATATGTATTGTACAAGTCTATGTATATTGTACAAGTCAATGTCTATATAGTTTTATATGTATTGTACAAGTTTATTTATAGCATGAAGCATGATGAAATATACCAGCACACTAATTTTATTACTTTTTTTACAGCAGGTACCGAGGGAGGGTCACCAACAGTAGAATATAATTTTACAATTAGATGTTTTAAATTTATTAGATTATTTTAAGGGATCTAGTCACAGGGACTATGGTCTGTGAATCAATGATAGATTTTTATAAATTAAAGGCTCAATACCACTCTTGTTGTAACTGAATAATATGTCCCAATCTTTATTCTGATCAACAAATTGTACTATTTTACAATATTCCAATTAATTGATTATACAAATTTCATCTTAACACACCTAATTTAAAAAATTGGAAAAATTCAACTAAATGATTTGAAAAGCCTGACGTAAAGCTTTTCAAATGTGACTTGGATTTAAAAATATTTTTGAACCCTTTGGATAAGTAAAATAGGATTTAATGGATAATTTACACAACAGGTAGGACACTAACACATCTAGTACTTAAAATAAGGCTATTTTTTATTTTCTGGAGCTGTCAACCCAGCAAGAGTGTTATTGTCCCTTTAATGATATCAGAATATCGGTAGAACAATGCTTTCATGGCAACACATGTGGCCAAAATTAGTCGAGTACAGTTGGGACTTGTAATGTAATATTTGTTTGTATTAATGATTGTTATGAATGGTGGTTTGCATGAAAGGTTTATTTTGTATAGCATCATATTCTAGTTAAGTCATTTCATCCAATAATTTTGTTATCATAGAGTGCCGTGTATGGAAAACCTCAGTCATTCCCTGGGAGTGAGGTATCAGTAAAATCGAGATTTTATTTTCGTTTAGTTTCACCCTATCTTTTATTGATGGTTGTAGCTTCTTTTTGCATGGTAGAATAGCGGAATGCAATGGAATGGAAAATCTATCTTTTTTTTAAAAAAAAATCTTTTTTATTCTGATGTAAATATTGTTGTTGTTTTGTGTCCCTATTAGGTGAAATATTGTATGAAGGTAACAAAATATAATCTAGTATAAAACAGTTCTTCTCCTTCATGTGTTTTGTAGTCTTGATTACTCCAGAACAAACTCGCTCTCTATTTTAACTGTAATAAATATTGGTCTGGATAATAGAATAGCATCGATTGTATATGCAAGGTCAAACAGATTTCACTTTACCGTTTTTGGGGAGAAAAAAAATGGAAAAGTAACCTTCACATTGTCGTGCATGTAAAAGAACCCATGTCATTTAGAATTCGATATAAGAGTAGGCCATAGTGCCGCTGTCCGGGCTATATTTCCCTCATTGCACACTACATGGTATATCTCCGTCTCTTCATTATCCCAGTTGGTGTGAAAAGTAAGTCGTTAAACCCCATTTCTTTTCACAATATTTTAGTTTGCAACGCATTCAGATTCCCTCAAATGACAACTGTCAGCTTTAACTGGTGGATTGAGATATTTTCCATTCAGTCATTGTGTATACAAGAACAGCCAATGGCCCAGGGATTCTGTTTTAAAATTTTACGTGTTGGAAATTTTTGGGGTTAAGTCAATAAGCTTCCATTCCCTTCAATACATTTCAGCTACAAACATTTCTTGTGTTGTATTCTGAATAATGGATGTTATTTTGTCCAAACTAATATTTATTGCAGTTAAATCAGAGAAAATTTGGCATGGAGCAATCATAACAATCTGTGTCCCTATTCACTATTTAAATTTACACTATCTTTTTATATCTCAAATCTTTAGTTTTAGATCTAAGATGAAGAAATTCTAAATAAACAATGACATCGTTTAAAAATGACAATAACAGTGTTTTTATATTTCAACTAGCCTTGTTTTAGATCTTTATAACACTATTAGTGGATATTTGGTGACTGGTTTAGCAAAGTTTGTCAATTCACAATTAGATTGAATTTTATTGGGGAGAGCGTTTAGTTTTTAGTTTTTAGTTTTTTTTAGATGTGCTTCATGTTATTAAAGATATTTTAGATGAATTTATAAAAGCTTTGGCTTGTTTTCAAATTAGTATAATATATACTCATATGTCTTGCTCAAAATAAAAATATTATTTAAACCCTATTTTTAAAAATTGTTAGGAAAGTTAGTAACTAATATTGGTTTGGTATTTTATTAATTACGTTACAGCTGATTGGATAGAAACTTATTTCACGATTATCACACGTAGTTGAATTTCAAATGTAATATTTTTATATTGTAATATATTTTCACCTCTGTCCATCGGTCAGTCCGTCGTCCACAATTGGTTGTGGACTCTCTAGAGGTTCAATTTCATAATGCTGTCCATTGGTCAGTCCGTCGCCCACAATTGATTGTGGACGCTCTTGAGGCTCAATTTATCACCAGAAATTTATACAAAGTGTTTATGTTCTTGAGATGAAGTCTCCTATTGATTTGCAGCATTTTCCAGTAATTGCTGTTAGAGTTATGGCCCTTTATCAATTGTAAAATTCTTGTGGAAGCTTCTAGAGGCTAAAGTTGTTACCAGAAATTTATACACAATATGTTTGTTCATGAGACGAAGACGACTATTGATTTTCAGTGTTTTCTGATAATTACTCTTAGAGGTATGGCCCTTGATCAATTTTGTAAAATTCTTTTGGGCGCTTATGGAAGCTAAATTGACGCCATATTTATGTTCATGAAGCGTATTGATTTTCAAGGAGTGTTTGGTGGCTGAGTGGTTTTGATTCCCTGCTTTAATGTGACAAGGAGTTGGATCACCTGTCCAACCTTGTGGGTTTTCTCTGGGTCCTCCGGTTTTCTCCCACTGCTAAAGAATCGCATGCACAAGCGAATTATTGAAATAAAATTGAACCATATGTTAGTCCCAAAATAACCCAGTTTGCGTTGATTGAACGTCAAACCCCATTTATCTGTCTCTCATTGTTTTTTAACGATTTCCCAAAATTAAATTTATCATCTGATTACCAATACGTATTAATTTTGTATGATAAAAGTCAACGCTACGACATGACTTGCTAATCTTGATGAGATTTTGAGGTCTTGTAAAATGCTCCCATTACCTACAAAAGAATAAAGATACAATCTGATTATAATACAGATCTATATTTTCTTTCGTTTTTTTATACTTACGATGGCCTCTACTACATGAAGACCTGACCCTATGACATCAGACATTTGATTAACCGATCAGCATTGATGTTACTAGTGGATTACCCACTGTTCCGTGCAAAACACGCCTAAAACTCGCCGTAACAGACCGTTTCATTGGCTAATCCCTCACATCATTCTGAACATGTCGGTGATAACAACTCTTCTAGATCCTAGTGTATTAAACAGAATCCAACAAATTTTTGAACTATAAAAAACGAAACGAAATAGGATCTGTGTTTTAATCAGATGGAATAAAAATACAACAACGCATATAAATTACTCGGACAACTTAGCTGTTGTGGACATTTTTCTAATTACAAAAAATCTGATCAGAAAAAAAAATATTTTTTCACTTTTATCACAAGTAGTTGGGATATGAACTTCTATTAGATTAATTAACATAATTTCAATAATAATAGTTTCGTCTGTGTGTACTCTTTTTCTAAGATTTAATTCCATTATCTCTAGTTCCCATTTATATAAATCTATTGAACAGTCAAACATTCGTAGTTTCTTTTTTCAATCCTATCTGTATGAATATTTAACTCAAATTCTGATTCTTTAAAAATAATTATTCTTAAAATATTTAAATTGAAATGAAAAAAATAAATTAAATGAAGGTATGTCATGTATACACTCATTAATTTTATTTTGAATTTTGTGTCTTTTAAAAACTTTATTCTTGAGTCTAATTCTTTTAAAAATAATGTATAAAAATATTTTAATTGAAATGAAAAAATTATGAAAACTGAATATAATTTATTCTTAAAATATTTTAATTAAAAAGGAAAAAAAACAAAACCAATGCTGTGATATATAATTTATAAGAGATTTAAAATAAAAAAAAAGCTTTATAATACTATATAAGGCTATGAAATGCATAAAAATGATTTGAATATTAAATTAAATAACATTTGTTAGCTGTGCTAGATGACAGATAACTAAGAACAGTTATTAAACTAGTAACAAATATAGTTTTAAATGCCTGATACGTACCATTGCATCAGAGAATACCTTTATTTCCCATGTGGTACCTGCATGTTGTGTGGTGGTATTTCGTGGTTTTGTAAACATTGTATAAATGTTTGTATTTAAATATGTATATATTGTTTGTTATATTTTATTTAGGGACCATTGAAAGCACCAAGTCATGCCCGTTATATGGACACCTACCTTGAAGGTATTGTATCTCATACAGACATCTGTATGTATTTAAATAAAATCAAAGATGTTCCCCCCTCACGCTTCATTACAATTCACCACCATATATTTATATCAATTTAACGAGCATGACCCTGTGAATCTTTTAGATCACCAAATTTGTGCCCCAGGCAAATTTGGGTCCCAGGTGAAGCTGGGTATCCTACTAGTAATTAATATAGTGGTTTTTTTACCTGGAACTGGTCTCGAAGCATTACTCATCTTGTTCTTCTAGCGGGTGATGCTGTGTGAACATGCAAATGCTCCTCCAATTTAAGTACAATCAACACGAAACCTAGTATCCTTGTTCCTTGTACAACTGCACATCATTTGGCAGACCTCAATTTTTAATATGATATCACAATTCCAAGATGGTGGGCAGCAACGATGTCGTACTCTGTTCCAAGTCCATATAGTACTATGTTCAAATATTTTTGTCGGCGTAACATAAAGGATAGAATGACTAGCAGTATTTTTGTGTGGTTTGATAACTTTATAGAATTACTAGAGGTATAGTCATAAACAAGAAGTATTACAACTAACGGTTGACCCAGTGTAACACGGGTCTAGTCATGAACCGAAAGTTGTATCACTCCAAAACTGAAAGTGGTAGGCCATCACCACCTGGTTTATGTTACTCCCTGTTCCAAGCTACCCCTATACACCAAGTTTCAGCCTCAGGACAACCCTGAACCCTGAACAGACAGACTAACAAATGACAGTCACAAATATTAGTATAGATTATTTCTTTCACCTGTAAAATAAATCTAGGGTTAGGGTTAGGATATTAGTATAGATTATCTCTTTCACCTGTAAAATAAATCTCTTTCACCTGTAAAATAAATCTCTTTAATTGAAAGTTACGTTAGATTTAATGATGTCTAATTGTTGGATAGAAAGCATGGACCACTTAACGTCTGTGGATTTCCACACATTTCACAGAAAAAAGTTTTATATTTCAAGTTTCACTGTATGTTAACAAATTGTTTTCCTGAAGAATTCCTATTTTTCATTTTTTCAGGAAAGACAATTGTAGAGTTAACTATTCTTCAAGGAAAAGATTTAGTGTCAATGGATAGAAATGGTAGGTCGTATTTACTTGTATTATTTACATATATTATTTTATAGGTTTATTTACTTGTATTATTTTAAATTCTTTAAATAGATACCAGAATAACGAGAACTCAACGAGAACTCAACAAAGAAGAGATTCATACACCAGTAATCATTGAAATATAAATAAAATGGAAAGGGTTTCACACAAGAACAATCGAATTCAATACTTTATTTTTATCTAAATCAGATAGGTTTAGCTCCTACCTTGTAGCAAGAATAATAATTAATAATTTTAATAATAATAATTTATCATTTATATAGCGCCGTATATCCAACACAAGTGTTGCTCAGTGGTGCTTTACAAACACAATTTGTAAAATCGAAAAATAATAAAATACACAAACATACCACATTTTACACAGAGAGACAAGCGATTGTAGCACATATAAAACACTTAAATATACATTATGCAACAGATAAAGATACATTGTGGGAGATAAGATAAAGAGATGGCAGTGCTCGCTATAATAGTTAAAAACTAGATAGTGTAAAGGTAATTTGCTGAAAATTTCAGTCAAATTGATCCACTATGAGCCGAGAAAGAAGCGGGTGAAATTTTTGCATAGTCTCAGTCATCATTACTAAAATCATTAATATAAACAGCATAGTCTCGATTATCCACTTTTTTTTATTTAATTATTAATTATCAACGGCCATTAGCGGCCTATAGGAATCTAATCCAGCCAACATCGAAGGCTAGCCTTGACATCGAGAGTTTATTATGGTCTGGATAAGTTAATTAATGTCTAATTGATAATTTAGATAACATTTCAGGCCTAAAGAAAGACTTGTAATAAGCAGATTTTGCTCTTGCATAATGCATGTTTAATATATAAATCAACACTATGCCTCATCACTATGTATAATAGAATAATACTTCAATTAATATCAATTCAACATTTTATATTGACATCAAATCACAGAAGATTAACTTCTCTTGTCACAAAAGGTTGACAGCAAGATGAATTTATACATAAATAAGTAAAAATTACTTCCAGTTAAAAAAATCAACGACTTTAACTTGTTCATTCTGCTATACAGGAAATGATAAACTGGATGTCTACTGACTGTTTCTCCAGCATCTTCAGATATTTTAATGTATATTTAAATAAGTACATACATTATTAACATCTGATGACGTCTATAGAGGGCAGATATAATGAAGTAAAATGGTTAATTTTTTTACCAGGACATATTTTTTATTTATTTATGTAAATAGATAAATATACATCAGTCATACAGTTTTATACAAATGTACAATAAATTTAGATTACCTTGACAATGGATTATATAAATGATAGATTACCATGACAATAATATCAGGGGAAATACAACAATATGATAATAATATTATATAATTGTTTTTTTGTTTATATAGTACTCGGCGAAGGTAATTAGCATGATATGTGTTGAGAATTTTAAATTATTATAACTTACATTACGATTGATTAATATTTATATTTTATGGACTGAAATTACTTTTTGGTGGGATCGTTGTTTGTTTTTTATTGTGTGGTCTGACCTTTTTGCGGTGATTTATTGGGAATATAGGGCCTTTAAAGCCACTGCTCGTCATTTCATTTGTCAGACAATATCTTCTTTAGCACAGAGTATCGCCTGTCCAACCTTGTGGGTTTTCTGCGGGTCCTCCGGTTTCCTCCCACTGCTAAAGACTCCTACGCGCAAGCAAATTATTGAAATAAAATTGAACCATGTGTTAGTCCCAAAATGACCTAGTTTGTGTCGAGTGGACGTTAAACCGAATTTCTCTCTCTCTCTATACTTTGGCACTGAGATGTACACAAATTGATTGTTTAACTTTTAAAGAGGCATTATGTAAAATTTAGAAAAAACATCTGACAGTTTTCGCTATAATAGTTTAAAAATAGAAAATGAAAAGGGAATTTATTGAAAATTATCTAATTCTGAGTGAATTTATAACTGTTCGAAGCATAGCATAGTCATGATTTAAATTGCTTCTGTGGTTACGATAATGAACAAAGTCTTGATTATCCATTTTTGAATTAAATCATTGAATGATGATCGTGTTTCAATCCGTTGAAAATCACAATCATCCAATGATCTAGAGAGTTGATTATGGGTTTGTCATGTGAATAAATGTTTAATTAATAGTTTAAATAATATTTGAGGCGAAAATAAAGATTTGCAATAGGCAGCTTTAGCTCTTGCATAATGCATCCTTAATTAAAGGAAGTATTTTCATGGTTTGGATTCAGTCTGATTAAAAAGAGGCCCATCAAAATATTTAAACGAAAATCACAGGTGGTAGCACTGTCTTGTTTTGACTATATCCTATATATCGTCAGTGGCGGCGCCAGGGGGGGGCAAGGGGGGGTATTTGCCCCCCCATTAATCTGGTCTGCCCTCTGTTTGCCCCCCCAATAATTTTAGAAAATAAAAAAAAAGTATTTGTGAAACGTTTCGGTAATCAATACCTTCTACGGTGAATAAATCCCACATCCCCACTCAGTCATAAACTTGCATGTTGTAGAGCATTTCCGACAGTCTATTTTTCAAAATTTTCTTGGCGAGGTCCCCAATGGACTCGCTACTTTGGCGCTCACAAGGGGAATTCGTTGAGGTTCGCAAGTCCGTTCATTTGACATTTTGTTCTCTAGTTGGTTAAACTAGTGATCAGGCGACGAAAGGTATCCTGGCAGATCTATTTATCTCGACGATCGGTGCCTGATATAATACTGTAAGAAAGCATTTCCGGCAGTCTATTTTTCAAAATTTTCTGGGGGAGGACTCCCTACTTTGACGCTCATGAGTGGGTTTCGTCGTGATTCGCAAGTCCGTTCGTTTGACACTTTACCTCATCGATCAGTGCCTGAAATACTGCCAGGCTGCATTTCCGACAACCTGTTTTTCAAAATTTTCTGGGGGATGCCCCCTACCCCTAGTTGAAGCTCAAGCCTTTGCCCCCTTAACCTTGGACTTTGCCCCAGCTTTGCCCCTCCAATCACCGACGGCTGGCGCCGCCACTGTATATCGTCTATATTATTTGAGACCAGGACAGTTATGCAGGAAGAGGGCCTGGCAAGGGGCAATGTATGGTTTTTCGGATGGGACAAAAAAACAAGGTTTCATGTACACATTGGTTTGCACATAAAAGATATCTTGGCAGTTGGAATTTGATATAAGAGTAGGCCGTAGTGTCGCTGTCAGGGCAAAATTTCCCTCACAGCACACTGTATGGCGTATGCCCGTCTTCGTTAGCCCAGTCGAAGCAGAACAGTAGGACGTTCAACTCCATTTCATTTCATTTATTTGAGACCGAATGTTGTGAAATTTTCATTTGTATTTGTAAATATTGAATGGAATTATGCCAGACTGATATTCCTTGTAGGTAATCAGAGATTTTAGGTGGTTTCAGTGCCGTGGTTATAAATTTGTGATGTGATTAGATAATATTAAACAAACCAGAATAGCTGCATGCTTATTTGCATGGATTGTTTCAACTTGAGTTTCAAATTTATTAAATTTCATTTTAGTACTAAACATCCGAGACTATAATGAAAACCCCTACAAGGTTAGACTGAAAACCCCTACAAGGTTAGACGAGGGTAACGTTACAAGCTTAGTATCCAACCAGGCCTTGTGATCATCCAACCAGGCCTTGTGATCATCTATACAAGTCATGTACAGGCTAGGCATCTTGTAATAATAACAAGCCTTGTGAATGATCATCTATACAAGCCATGTACAGGCTAGGCATCAAACTGGTAATTTGAACAGTTAACAAGCCTTGTGAGTGATCATCTATACAAACCACGTACAGGCTAGGCAGCAAACCAGTGATTTCTAATAATAACAGGCCTTGAGATCCACAGCACATGTGTTGAACAATTCAGCCTCCCCGATGCAACACGTCTTTATCCAATAAAGCAATGAGTAGTCAGATAAATTGATATGGTTGTGTATCCTTGACCAACACAGACGGATTATCTGGCTTGATTTGTCAGATAGTACCTGAATTTAATATTTTATAGAATTAAACCTTTTTATTGGTAGTTAAAATCAGTGATTTAAAGGCTTGGCCAATGAAACAGCTGTATTCTTAATATTTTCATAAATAAGTCCCTGTGGTGATAGTGATCAAGTGAAAGTAAACTTATTTCAACTGATAGTATATTTTAATCATGATAACTTCCGTATATATTTAGTAACTTATGGTAAACAGCTACTTATATATTTATTCTTATTCTTCGCAATGTTGCCTAAATATTTTAGTAAAGTTTATCCATATAACTATGTGGTCTTGTATTTTGAAATAACTAGATTTTTTTTTTTTTATTTGAACCTAACAAGATTTATTTTCTTTTATAATTTCACCCTAACAATATTTGTATTATTTTTCAGGATTCAGTGATCCATTTTGTGTTGTTTTGTTGGACAAGAAGAAAGTTTTTACAACTGGTGTCAAGAAGAAGACATTATTTCCTAAATGGAATGAAACAGTCACTTTAGAATATCCAACAGAAAATTCGGAAATGGAAATTGTAAGTGCATGTTTTTATATTTTGAAATAGTCGGACAGATTCTTAAACATACATTATGCAAGAGCAAAATCGGCCTATTGTAGGTCTTTCTTTAGGCCTGAAATGTTATAAAAACTATTAATTAGGCATTAATTAACTTATCCAGACCATAATCAGCTCTCGATGTCAAGGCTTGCCTGCGATATTTGTTGGATTACAGTCCCATTTGCTGCAAAACTTTCCTTCGTGATTAACGATTAAATGGATAATCAAGACTATTAGTTTTGTCTTATCGACTTCAGTAATGATGATCGAGGCTAAGCGGAACTTTCATCCGCTTAGTTCTTGGTTCATAGTGGATCAATTTGACTGAAATTTTCAGCAAGTTGCCTTTACATCATGTGGACGTATATTGTCGTCGCCCCTGTCCGTCCGTCCACAATTGTTTGTGAACAGTCTACAGGTCACAATTTTTATCCGATTTCAATGAAACTTGAAATATAGGTTTATCACCCTAAGATCTCAGTTCCTTTCGATATTGGCATCTATCGGACTGTAACTTCATGTACGAAAAATCATGTTTTTGGCTTGTGAACACTGTAGAGGTCACAATTTTTATCCGATTTTGTTGAAACTTGAAATGTAAGTTTATAACCCAAAGATCTTGGTTCATGTCGATATTCTCGCATATCAGACCGTAACTTCCTGAATTATGGCCCCATGATTGTATGTAAAGATGCGATTTTTGGCTTGTGGACCCTATAGAGGTCATAATTTTTATCCGATTTAAAAAAACGTATTAATATATCACCGTTAAACCCTAAGGACGGTTGAGTTCGAATTTCGTGAAAATCGGCCCAAAACTGACAGACAAAATGGCCACCGTTCGTTCTCAAATAGCGTAAAAATATGGTATATCAAGGTTGTGGACCCTATAGAGGTCACAATTTTTATCCGATTTTGTTGAAACTTGAAATGTAATTTTATAACACAAAGATCTTGGTTCCTTTCGATATTCGCGCATATCGGACCGTAAATTCATGAATTAAGGCCCCTGATTGTACCCAAAAACGTGGACCCTATAGAGGTCATAATTTTTATCCGATTTAAAAAACCGTTCGTTCTCAAATAGCGTAAAAATATGGTATATCAAGGTTGTGGACCCTATAGAGGTCACAATTTTTATTCGATTTTGTTGAAACTTGACATGTAAGTTTATAACCCAAAGATCTCAGTTCCTTTCGATATTCGCGCATATCGGACCGTAACTTCCTGAATTATGGCCCCTGATTGTACGAAAAATCACATTTTTAGCTTTAAAAAATCATATTATTATATCACCGATACACCCTAAGGACGACTGAGTTCGAATTGCGTGAAAATCGACCAAAAACTGACAGATAAAATGGCCGCCCTTCGTTCTCAAATAGCGTAAAAATATGGTATATCAGAGGTTACAATTTTTATTCGATTTTGTTGAAACTTGAAATGTAAGTTTATAACCCAAAGATCTTGGTTCCTTTCGATATTCACGCATATCGGACCGTAACTTCATGAATTATGGCCCCTGATTGTACGCAAAATCGCGTTTTTTGGCTTGTGGACCCTATAGAGGTCATAATTTTTATCCGATTTAAAAAAACGTATTATTATATCAGCGTTACACCCTAAGGACGACTGAGTTCGAATTTCGTGAAAATCAGCCCAAAACTGACAGACAAAATGGCCGCCCCTCGTTCTCAAATTGCATAAAAATATGGTATATCAAGGTTGTGGACCCTATAGAGGTCACAATTTTTATCCGATTTAGTTGAAACTTGAAATGTAAGTTTATAACTCAAAGATCTTGGTTTCTTTCGATATTTGCGCATATTGAATTGTAATTTCCTGAATTATGGCCCTTGATTGTAGGAAAAATCACTTTCGTTTTAGCTTGTTTTCTATCCATCTCTCGAAAATGTGGGCGTATCCTGCCTGGCAGCCGCTGGTTAACTATTATAGTGAGAACTGCCAACTCGTTATCTAATCTCCCATAATGTATCTTTAATTTGCTCTGTATTTTTACCCTGTGGTGCTTGGACCATACATGGACAAATTGCCATTTTCTCGTTCTCTTCATATCTTAAGGACAGATCATTTGTGACCGAACTGAACCGTTCATGGCCGTAACTTGACGAAGCTAGCTGAAAACCATGGACATGTTCTAGATGGAGATTTAATGGTCTACAGTAATTTTACATAATTTGGTTATTTTGAAACAAATATACAAAGATTTTTAATTCTATAGTTACAGTGCACTGCAAGGGAGGAGAATTTAATATTTTTTATATTTCCATGGAAATAAATTTGATGTAGTTTTATTAATTTCAAGGACGTAGAATGTTGATCACTGAGTCTTCTTGTTTACGGTTCAGATCTGTTTGTTGTTGGTAAGTGTATAGTTTAGAGTTGTCTCCCCTTCTCAATGTATTGTAATGTTTTAATTACAGGATGTATATGACAAGGATATACTGGGTAAAGATTTTATGGGGAAATTATTTGTAGAACTCGACAAGTTGAAGGAACTTTCACTGAAGGTAAAATATGTTTAATTTTATTTCACGCTTTATAAAATTCAAAATATTTCTGTCTATTTATAGTCTTTTGGAAATATCAAAATCAAAATTTAAATGGAGTTTAATACCTAGCTACTAATTTGATATTTTACGATGATAAAACTCGATACTTACCAGTTTATTAGTCTCTATAACTAAATTTGATATTATAAAGCTGTTGGTTATTGTATCTTATGTAGCCGAATGCAGTTATTTCTTCAACTTCAGACTTCGTTGTCATCACGAGAAAACATTGTTAAACATGCATTGGGTGCACTGAGTGTTCAAGTACTTCAGCATTGTGTTAGATAGAAATTTTGAACCGACGTTGGATTATATACGTTCTTTTACTTGGAATGATTACCTCAACTAAATTGTTTATTTACAAAATAAGCCTATAAGGATTGAAGCCGAAGGTATTATTGCAATGATTGACTCTTTGATGGGTTTCTTAATCAACGAGTAATAATTAACCCATTGTAATTTAGCCGAAAGTAGATTGATTTATGATATCTAGTGGCCGGTTCATCGTTTTACCAATCAGCTTGATTGAACATCATAAGCTTAATCCGACAAAAAACAGTCGATTAAGATCCTTGGTGCACTCCTTTTAGAAATTAAAATATTTGGTAAAAAAATGTGCGGTATATAGACTGATACTAGTGTATATGATTCTAATAACTATAGGGTGCTTATCCACCAGACATCGAGCAGTTCACAATTCATGATTTAGATATGAACTTTGGTTGTTTCTCTGTCAAGATGACATCCATAAAACATTTAAATCAGATAATAATACAATCCTCTTGACGTAAATTTAAATTAATATTAGACAGAAAGGACATTTTATCTAGCCTTATTAAACACTCATCAAACGTAACTCTGATAAAATTGGCTAATTCTTGACAATGGATGAAGTTAGAAACTGATTATTTTATATCTTTATGATGGTATGGATTCAATCTATTGTTGATTTGAATCAAATATCATGATGAATCTAAGTGATCAGGGGCCAGTATGTTAATAAGTCATTAACAGTTAACGGAGCTTTAAGCAACCGGCCCCAGGGCTATCCAAAAACTAGCTCCTATGAGATATAAGCAAAATTTAAAAACAGAATAATAGTAAGACAATACTGTTCCATACTTTTTTTTTGTAAAACTCTAATAATAACAGACTACTATGATAGATATTTATATCTGTTTCCACCTAGGGTCATAACATTTTACTTGTATATTTTACAGGGAACATCAGAGTGGTTTTCATTGGATCGAGCTAAATCTGGTAAAATACAGTTACGATGTTCGGTGATATCTAAAGATATGGTAGTAAGTGGTTGTATTGATTTGATTATTGTAGTTTGTGTGTAGAACTTGTATTGATAGATTGGATTATTGTAGTTTGTGTGTAGGTAGTATGATACCGTAAAACAACAAATTAATGTGAGCTAGAAATTATTGCTTTAGGTGAGACCTGTCACCAATTACTGGTAATAATTTCATGAAGTAATAATTTCATGATGTATTATTAACAAAGCATTAATTTTTAAAGCATTAATTTGATGTGTTACAGTATCCTAGTTAGATTAGTATGATATATTATTATGGTTTAAATTCTGTCAAGCATGGAAATATTACGTGCATGATTTACCTCTTTTTTCATCCCCTTCAGACAATACCCAATCATACAGGTTTTTGGAAATAGTATTTTGTTTTGCATTAATCTCATTTTTTTTTTAATCCATTTTCTTTTTTCAGTCTTTATATTTTATCACTTGACATGGTAGCACACTAGATTTATTTTAAGTAATGTTTTTGACTATTTTTATTGTGTATCTATTTCTTTCTGTACAGAGTTCTCACTTCAGTATTATTTTCCAGTCTTGACCAACAAGACTTGTCATAAAACTATAGATAAATTTTAACTTTTATGTGTAAAAATACCTAAAAATATTTTTTCAAAAATGGGTTTATGCTAGAAATTGTCTTATTCTTTGGCAAAGATATCATGACATCTGTGGTAAAGAAGATTTGTTAAGAATTGGCCGTGAAGTGAAGGCTCTGTTTCTGTATCATTGATATGATCTTGTAGTGTAGTGTTTATTTTTAACTTTAGTTTTTTTTATTTCATGTAGATGTGTATATTATTTTTTTTCATTAGAATAAAGACATATCATTTGATGTTACATCAAATAGTGAGGTATTTGATTCATCAATGGAACAAACTCCTCAAAAACAGGTTTGTCATCATGGTTCATTTAAACACTTTATCTTTCATGTTAAACCTCATTTCATTCATTCATTTGACGTAGTGGTGTGAAATGATAATAAATAAATAATATTAACAATATTTCATTACGCAAGGGAGTCCGTAGCTCTCTAACCAGGGTTCAATCTCGTGATTTTCCGGCATGCCCTCATCAATGTAGCTGGACAGAGGGCTTGGGCAGGGAATAGTATCTAGTTGAGGTCCTGTGTACATGTTAGCATGCACGTAAAAGATCCCTTGATAGGTGGAATTCAACTGATGTCTAGGTTTAATTTAACTCTTAGCACACTGTATGGCGTATGCCCGTCTTCATTAGCCCAGGTTAGGAGCAGAACAGTAAGACATTAAACCCCCATTTTATTCATTGCTTAACTATTCAGTTGACTCAGAAATAACATAGACGCCAGAAAATTTTACCATTTTGGGTTGTTGATGATATATACAATATAACCGTGTTTTCACTTTAGATTTAAAAACTGACAAATATTTCCTGCTCCTTCTAGAGAGTATAACGTACATCTTCAATGATTTGTTTAGCGTAAAAATTTAAAACAACTATTACTTTTCAAGTTTCTGGTGGATATGCATGATTTTATAAATTATACAGGAACTTTCTTCAAGTTAACCAACCTCTTCAATATTAGGAATATTTTTTTAACACGTGACCCAATTATATGGATTACAAGTTACTTAAAAGTTTATTTCTGGTGACGTTTCGACAAGGGTTCTCTTGTCTTTATCGAGCCAAGGCGAGAGGAGAGAAGCCCTTGTAAAAATGTCACCAGAAATAAACTTCTAGGTAACTTTTATTCCATATAATTGGGTCATGTGTTATTTTATTCAGTTAATAAATGCCGGTAAAACAATGAATATTTTTTATTCAGTCTCAGATACCAACCATGTCAACAGATAATGGCCACATGATTAATGCCCAAAATGATTCGGACGCCCCGCAGTTAAATCGTAAACAGTCTGCTACACTAGACGTCGGCCCGAATGTACAGTTACGTCGATCTGGATCAGATATAAACGTGAATAACAATACTTCCCGATCACGACCAACACAGAGTTTCAATGAACATGATACACAGAGTATGGGAAGACGAGGATTCACTGGTGGAATGCGATCAGCTGGCTCGTAAGATAACTGTCACTTTTGTATGGTAGTCCTTCGTATGGGACAAAAAACTGAGGTCCTCCGTACACATTGCCTTGCACGTAAAAGATCCTTTGACAATTAGAATTCAATATAAGAGTAGGCCATGGTACAGCTGTCGGGCAAAATTTTCCTCATAGCACACTGTATGGCGTACGCCCGTCTTCATTAGCCCAGTTCGGAGCAGAACAGTAGGACGTAAACCCCTTTTCATTTCTAAACAAGTCATGCTTGTGATCAAAGGCTCATGTCTAGTGTTATTTTGGATCTGTTTCTTTTTTTAATTAAACTGTTAAATAATCAGTTAGTTTGTACATATTAGCATGGATTATGTTGGGAGAATTTTTAAATTTTCCGACAAATACAAATCATGCTTTGTTACTCTAAGTTGATATTTATTTATTGTTGTATTTCAGCGTTAATTCTATTGCATTTGGTGGAAGGGGAGATAATCTATCAGTTGGTAAGATATCAATCAGTCCACCCATAAATCAAATCATATTTCTCTTCATTTATTTATTTCTACTGGACATGAAAAACAAAACTTGATAACAGATTTATCCATATCCAAAGATGTATTATTGAAATGGGAGACTCATAATGTTCTTGATAATTGAATTTCCAAACTGAAAAGAAATATTATTAAAACAAATTTTATAGGAGATCCATGTTGTTTTTTTACTAACATTTCCGATCATATAAATTCATGTTGTTCGTCATAGACGAAAAATCATTTAAAGATACATTATGGGAGATAAAATAAAGAGATGGCAGTTCTCGCTATAATAGTTAAAAACTAGATAGTGTAAAGGTAATTTGCTGAAAAACTCAGTCAAGTTGATCCACTATGAGCCGAGAAAGAAGCGGGTGAAATTTTTGCATAGTCTTGGTCATCATTACTAAAATCATTAATATAAACAGCATAGTCTCGATTATCCACTTTTATTGATTTAATTATCAATTGCCGTTAGCGGCATATAGGAATCTAATCCAGCCAACATCGAAGGCTAGCCTTGACATTGAGAGTTTATTATATGTCTAATTGATAATTTAGATAACATTTCAGGCCTAAGAAAGACTTGTAATAAGCAGATTTTACTCTTGCATAATGCATGTTTAACGCAAATTTATTGACTAATTGCTATTATAGAATAGAAGAGTATAACTTATATGCCTTATCCAAAAATGGATTTAGTCTTTAGGAGTCTATTTTTGATTGGATATTTAGGCTTTAGCCACTTTAGGAATATATTTTTGATTGAAAAAATAATTGAAAATCTACATGAAGAAAAATCTGTTTATCTTGAAGCTAGCTTGTGCAGCACAGTTTATTTAGTTTATTTCCTAATATCCAAATTTTGTTTTTGTCCTCTTTTTTTTTTAAGAATACGTGTAATAATTTCCTATTAGTGAATCCCGCTTGAGGTTTTAGGTGAATCCCCCTTTAGGTTTATCGGTTTAAGAATTTTATAACCATTAGTAATGCCTCCTATTTGTTTCCCATCAACTCCCCTGTGTTGTCTTTATGTTCAGAGAATTTATAAAGATGTTTGTCGAGTCTAGTGTTATTTTAATATCTCTAAGGTTTCAGTAGCGCAATTACCTCAGTCTAATTTGAATATCTCCAAGGTTACGGTATAGTGCAATTACCTCAGTCTAATTTAAATATCTCCAAGGTTCCGGTATAGTGCAATTACCTCAGTCTAATTTGAATATCTCCAAGGTTACGGTATAGTCCAATTACCTGAAATCCAACATCTCGGCTTTAGATGTATTAGGCAAAAAACATCTCACAAATTTTTGTTTACTGACCATCAAAGTTTTAGTTTTTTTAGCCCACACCCCTGTTATACAGTTCTATTGGATTTGAGGCTTCATGAAGATCAAAACATCTAATTCGCTGTCATCCTTGTTTCTGTAACCTATTTTATTTAACAAATGGTCATGGATCATTGTTAGAATCAGGGGGAATGGTTTTATTGATAAGCTTACATAGTGGAAACAGGGGGAATGGTTTTATTGATAAGCTTACATAGTGGAAACAGGGGGAATGGTTAGTAGTTCAATTGGTTGCTTCGAGTAATAATTAATGAGAATTGATGACAATTAATAATTAACTCCTTTAATAATCCATTTCTGACTGGACAGGCGCCATAACCTGGAAACCTGGACTGTATATTGGACTGGACAGGTGCTTCATTATTTGTAACCTGCCTACCCTCCATTAAAAATATTCCATAAAATTATAATTAAAAATAATTATTTATTCATGCAGCATTCTAAAATATTTTTGCACCCTGCTTACAGTAGATTTTGTTTACTTTTGCTTTGTTTAGAAAAATCAAAGTTGAATGATGGTAAGATACCATACAAGTGATATTTCTCTATAACAATAATACGTTCGTATCTGTCTAATTAAAACCATTTTCATTATGTTTAGTTCAATGGTCACAGAAGTTTCAGTCTAGTTGCTTCTGAATTACTGGATGATTTTCCACAAGACTAAAGCTTTGCCTGTATTTAAATCACAGTTGAATACTCTGAGAATTAGACTCTCTGTTTAATGTGTATATAAAAATTCTTTAATTGCGCTTTGAACAGGCTTTTAGATGGATTTATTTCGTACGATCAGAAATATAATAGAACAATATAATATGGTTTTAATTAGACAATTTTATCATGCTGCTTGTGTATATTACACGTCATCTCATCTCCTTGTTTGTTTTTTTATTTTATTCCTGCTTACAGTCATATTTTATTTCTAGTCAATTTGGTTTTATTTTATAACGTGTATAAATATTTTATTTTAATTTCAATAGTTTGTCAATTTCAGTTCAAAATATATCAGTAATTCCAATTTATCCATCATTAAACTTATCTTGCAATCTGATTAAAACACAGATCTGGAAAAGGTGTTAAGTAACCCGCGTTCTGGTTGAGGGATTAGGTAATGAAATTCTCTGTTGTGGCCAGTTCTTGGCATGCGGAGCATGAAACTGTTGGTAAACATTCTCAGCAAAGACAAAGTGAAATACCCACTTGAAACATCAACACTGATTGGATAATCAAGTGTCATAGGGCCAAAAGCCACTTTCATTGCCCCTGACATGACCTCCCACTACAATTGGTCAGATCTTCATGTAGTGTAGGCCATCAAAAGTATGAAAAAATGAAACGAAAAATAGATCTGTGTTTTAATCAGATTGACTTATCTTGCAATTCAAGTCGCTAATTGTTAATTGAAGGATTGTTAATTCTTTACAAACTATAACATCGTTAATTGAAGGATTGTTAATTCTTTACAAACTATAACATCGTTAATATCAGTAAAAAAAAAGATGGCTTAATTTCCTTCAAAGTACCTATATCTTTAGAATTAAAGTATTCAATTTTAATGGCTGATGTCATTTAATCACATAACAGAATTTAGTGCTATATTAATTTTAACCTTGCACTTTGCTTGTACTATCCAGCTGTACAATATCCAAACGGACTTAAATCTGGATGGACAGAAATATAATATAGAACAAACAGTCCAGTATGCCCCTTTGACACCTTTCTGATTTTTGTGTACGAATCTCCACGACACACAATTAAATTAACTGTGCTAATTGGCTTTCTCGCGTATGAATATCCGTGAATGCCCATTTGTATTAGTACAGTCCAGTACAGCAGATCTACAATGCAGTACGACAGAGAGGAAACAGGTTATAAAACTTTCGTAGAATGGTATAAGCGCATGTCGATCAATCATGCACTGTAAATTTCAGTACAAATATCCACTATTGTCTGAAATTTTCACATTGTAGCAAATCTGGGTGTGACAGAGATGTTTAACTTGAGAGACAGTACCTACACAATAGAATAGATACAATTCAGTTCTGTTGTATGGGAGGGGGTAAGCAAATTGACTTATTGACGAACACAAGAATAAAACATGAATCAAAGTGAAGAATGAAATTACAGGCATAAAATCACATCAACATCAAATCTGATCAATTTAAATGTCACATGTGCATTGCAAGCTTTTGCTAACACATTTATTCCCTAAAGATATTTTATAAATAATACATTTACGAATGAAATACTCAATATGTTGCATTAAGTTATATTTATAGCACGGCTTTCATGAGTTAAGGAAAAGAACAAAGAACAAAGGAAGATTTCCCATCAATGTTACAAATAAACCTGTTGAATGTTGCTAAGTGTGCATTACAAGCCTTTGTTAAAACATTTATTCTTTAAAGATTTTCTAGAAGTATCGATAATCTATTTGAGAATTAACTGAACAATATCATGCATTAAATAAATCACCCTGTCATAATAAATAAATATTTTTAAATTGATTGCCATTATTATTAAGTGTGCATTTATGTAGTGTTTTTATTTTGTCTTTTGCTTTCTGTTATGTTTTTTTTTTTTTGTTGTAGCTTAGAATTCCGTGATTTGTTAATTTATTATATATATACCATACCATCTTAGAATTCCATCATTTGTTAATTTATTTATATTACATCAACACCATCTTAGAATTCCGTCATTTGTTAATTTATTATATATATACCATACCATCTTAGAATTCCATCATTTGTTAATTTATTATATAAACACCATTTTAGAATTTATTTGTTTAGTTTGAAGGTCAGCACACATCACAGATTTATTTGTTAATGGATTAGTGAGTATGGTAATACAGGCCTCATTCACGAGAGCTTAAACTAGCCTTGTCATTGGCTAAAACCATCAAATTTGTACTAGTATTTTGATCCTTAACCAATGAAATGGCTGCATCCCGAACATGGAAATCCCGGGTTTGATCTTTGTATTGGCAGATAAAGTTTGTCAGGATTTTCTACCTTGATTTTCTCTTGTCATTGACGTACAGGATGGGAAAAGGTTCACCCACGTACTCAGATCATTGGCGTGCATGTAAAAGATCCCTTGACAGTTGGAATTCGATGAAGAGTATGCGAGAATGCTGCTGTCTGGGCAAAATGTCCCTCATAGCATTTGCCTGTATTAGTGCAGCAAAAGAGAATGTTAGTGAATTATGATTGCTGGTTCATAGCTCATCCTGTATAGCCAATCTGAAACCTTGACCGACTGCGAACAAACAAATTATTAAAATATACCATGTGACTCAATGAGTAAGGCACAGGCTCGCTAATCAGGAGGTCCAGCTTACATTCCCTTGTTAACCAAGAATCGTGGCTTCCACACGTCAATGGACCTGGCAAGAAACAGCAAATAGTTATTTGGCTGGTATGAATTAAGAGGTTCAGTGTAGCACCGCTGTCCAGGTAAACTCTCCCTCATAGTACAGTGTATCAGCATGGTGTATACCTGTCCAGGTAAACTCTCCCTCATAGTACAGTGTATCAGCATGGTGTATACCTGTCCAGGCAAACTCTCCCTCATAGTACAGTGTATCAGCATGGTGTATACCTGTCCAGGTAAACTCTCCCTCATAGTACAGTATATCAGCATGGTGTATACCTGTCCAGGTAAACTCTCCCTCATGGTACAGTGTATCAGCATGGTGTATACCTGTCATCAGTGTTTATACAGAATAGTAGGACGTTAAACCCAATTTTATTCCGATTTCGGGGCTTGGATGGCCGAATGGTTAGCATGTGCCAGTTGTATCATAAGGTCTGTCTTTCAATCAACTGGTGTGGTTTCGATTACCCGATTGTACGTGACAAGGAGTAGAGTCGCCTGTCCAACCTCGTGGGTTTTCTCCGGTTTCTCCAGTTTCCTCCCACTGCTAAAGACCCCTAGGCACAAGCGAATTATTGAAATAAAAATTGAACCATGTGTTAGTCCCCAAATGACCTGGTTTGTGTTGAATGGACGTTAAACTCCATCCCTCTCTCTCATTTCTATTTCAATGGTGTGTGCAGACTTGTAGTAGTTGTCTTGTCGGGGTTAAAGATATTTATATATATATATGGTCAATATTTATATAATCATGTAATATCAACCATCAAATCTAGAATGGTTAATATAATTCATTTTTATTGTTTAAAATTCACTCTTTATTTCTTTTTTAATTAAGAAATATTTCAGAAATAAATCAATGCATGACTCAATTTTAATATTTTTTCATCTTGTATATTTGTTTACTTTGATATATAGCAGACAGACTGATCCACAGGCACTTAAAGGGATTAAAATAAAACGTCTTACTACTGCTATATATTATATCTGTAGTAAGAAGTTTTATTTTAATCCCTTCAAGTGCCTGTGGATGAGTCCTACTTAAATATCTAAAATATCATCCACCAAGGGTTTTAACCTTGATCGAATATATACAGGCTGTAGAATACAATTACTTTGACTAAAGGCTTCTCTCTAGTCTTTATTGGGGGGTTGGGTGGCTGAATGGTTAACGCGTGTGTGTTGGATTAAAATGTCTGTCATTGATAAGTTCATTAAATGTAATATGCTTGCCAGGTTGCAATCTATACTAGTTATATATAAAGGTCAAGGTCAATACAATGCACAAAGTTTTATGTTTTATTAAAACGTGCCAAACGGCCTGCCATATCACTAAACAAACAATCAAAATGTTCGACACTTTATTGTGGGACCCAAGTGTATTAAGTAAACATAACGCGTAAAATTATGGATAGGCACAGAGCTTTACACTCAAAAAATTAATTTACATGTTGTTAATGGTTACGTTCACTGGGGCTTTATTTATCAAATCTTAAACTAAGAATAGAGCTGTTTCATTGGCTGAGAGCTAAATTCTGCGCTATGAATGGAAATGATGGATTCTTGAAATATTTAGTATAAGTACTAATGAATAAAACCTGTGCTTTGTTAAAGATACATTATGGGAGATTAGATAAAGAGCTGACAGTTCTCGCTATAACAGTTAAAAAATAGATCACGTAAAGAGAATATGCTGAAAATTTCAGTCAAGTTGCTCCACTCTGAACCGAGATATTAGCGATTGAATTTTAGGCCTAGTCTTGATCATCTTTACTAAAGTCGGTACAATAAAAAACATAGTCTCGAATATCCATTTTGACATTAAATCAACCATCAAAAAATATACAGTATTCAAATCCAGTAAATATATCAGGCTTGCGATTGTATTGAGAGTTGATTATGGTCTGGATACGTTAATTAATAGTTTATATAACATTTCAGGTCTAAAGAAAGATCTGCAATAGGCAGATTTAGCTCTTGCATAATGTATGTTTAATTGTTTCTTTAATTTTGTGCAACCTCGTGGGTTTTCTCCGGGTCCTCCAGTTTCCTCCCACTGCCAAAGACACGGCTACGCGCAATTGAATTATTGAAATAAAATTGAACCATATGTCAGTGCTGAAATGACCTAGTTTGTGTCGAGTGGGCATTAAACCCCATCTCTCTCTCTCTCCCTCTATTTAATTTGATATTTATTATTTTGGTGATAAAATCTTTGTACTTTGTTGTTAATTACAGGTAGCTCTATAGCAGGTGATAAAGTATACAGTGTCAAAGGTCAAGTTCTACAGGCTAAAGGTTTAGTTAGAATGACCAGTGAAATTTATTGTAAAGTAAGAGTGGATCAGTAAGTTTATGACATTTGTTTGTTTTTATTTGGCTACAATCAAGATATTCTGATTGTCTAATCGATTTTAAAATGGACGTATTTAACACCTGTTTCCACCAAGGTCATATCGTAGATCAAGATATTATTACGTGAAAATATTTAGAAAATATATTGTCATCAGAATTAAAGTAGCTAACTCAATATCATCCAAAGTCTTCGACATTGAAAACACAAATTATTTGTAAATTTAAATCAACATTGATGTTGTGATCTTACCTCGAAAAGATGGGCTTCTCATATCCAATATTTAAGACAACATAAACATTTTACCATTGGTACACAAAGTGTGTACCATAATGCGTTTCAGCGCTATTTATAACAAGGGACTCGAAGAACGAGGCTAGACATATTCAACAAGTCATTCAAACGGTGACGTCATATTCTTATCTAGAAAGCATGCGCAATTAATACTATAGGTGTAGGCTGGAATAACCAGATGCTAGAGATTGCCATTCGATTGAGACTTCTGGCGTGTTTCGCCGAACATAACTGATTAGAAATTACAGTAAAAACAGAAACGATTGAATGTAAATCAGTTAATATATATTCATATTACATTATTATATATGTTACGACCCATTTGTGTCAATTTCTCGGTTCCAAATATTAGCGATTTAGCTCCTTTAACTCATTAATTGCTGATATAATGAGTTGTCATGTGTTGTTACACTCGCCTGCCAGGACAGCCGGCATCCACAAACAATTATAGACGCTAAAATTATCGTACAATTGACTTTATATATACACAGTAAAATGTACACACAATGTTTAAGTTGATGAAGAGGAAGCCAGTTAAAGTCAGTTCAGTATTTGGTTTCGAATCCCCGGTTGTACGTGGCAAGGAGTAGGGTCGCCTGTCCAAACTCGTGGGTTTTCTCCGGGTCCTCCAGTTTCCTCCCACTGCTAAAGACCCCTACGCGCAAGCGAATTATTGAAATAAAATTAAAAAACCATATGTTAGTCCCGAAATGACCTAGTTTGTGTCGAGTGGACGTTAAACCCCATTTCTCTCTCTCAGTTCAGTATTCTAGATTAGTTAAAATATTATGAATTTGTTTTCTTGAAATTAATATGGTATAATTTAAGGTGTGGAATATAAATATTGTTTTATTTCAGGCCAGGAAATAGAATCTCATTATTTTCAAGTACTCGTGTAATAGCTAAATCTCCGATGGTGAAATCATCATACCCAACATTTAATCTCCCGTTTGAGGCAAGTACAAATCTACATAAAGTACCTGTTATGTTTAAAAAACTGGATGTTAAAAGTTTAGACTAGATTTTCCAGTCAGCCCAACCTTATCTCTGTTATAGTCTGGTGTCACTGGACCCAGTTACAGGATATTAGACTGGTATTTGATTGGCTTACGTCAAGTGTTTGTTTGTAACTTTTTTTTTATGTTAATATTTTCTTTCACGTTTAGAGTTTGCTAAAACAAAAATTATATCAAAAATACAAAAATATTATTGATGAAAAGAAACACATATTATGTATGTCAGAAAAGAGCTGGGCCCAAAAAATATTCGCATGCGTGTTCCTTGGATTTTCCGGCGTGGTTCCCCCTTGTCAGTGATGCAGGACGGAGGGCCTGACAAGGACAGCTGTCTAGTCGTTCAGATGGGATGAAAAACCGAGGTCCCATGTACACATTGGCATGCACTTAAAAGACCCCTTGACAGTTGGAATTCGATATAAGAGTAGACCGTAGTGCCGCTGTCCGGGCAAAATTTCCCTCATAGCACACTGTATGATGCCCATCTTCATTAGCCCAGCATAGGAGCAGAACAGTAGGACGTTAAACTCCATTTCATTTTATTTCATTTTATTTCATTTGTTCCTTGGACAATTGTGGATTGATTGACAGACCACGATTCTTTATATGACATCACAATTCCAAGATGGCTTTGATGACATCATACTCATCCATAGTACAATGGTACATGTTTTGACTTCAAGGGGGATGCCGTCCACTGAATAACGTCCACAGTCTGAAAAAAACGATATGTTTAATGCCATGTTTAATGTGTTTCGTATTATGTAGATTGATCGAGGTCATGGTATATGTGTTTTTGTATTATATAGATTGATAGAGGTCATGGAATATCATCAGATGCCACGATAATATTTGATATCAAGAGATCCAGTAAAGAACATCTAGCAACTAGAGCATTCACTTTACGACATTTACTAGCAGGTAGTATTTCTCTACTTTCATTTTTATACGGCCACATTTACAAGCAGCTAGTATTTCTTTACTGTCATTTTTATACGGCCACATTTACTAGCAGGTAATATCACTCTACTTTCATTTTTATACGCCCACATTTACTAGCAGGTAATATTTCTCTACTTTCGTTTCTATTCGCCCACATTTCAGTGTAGGAGTATTATGTCGTCAATCATGTCCAACTGTGCTTCCGTCAACCCTAGATTACCACTCGTCAGGGCAGGTATTTCACCTGTGTATTTTATAGATAGGTGTGTTTGGATGGCTGTAATAAAATATGATATTATTGTATTTGTTAGACATATTTTTACCTCTACCTGGCCGGTCACCTCTGGCTTGCGGTTGTGGATTTTCAATCTCTGGTGTGAGCGTATGTGGCTTGGAGATAGGGGCGCCTTCTTAACCTCGTGGGTTTACTCCAGGTACTCCGGTTTCCTCCTACAGGAAATGAAAAAAAAAAACGCAACTTGTCTGCGATATCATCTTTGGTGGAAGCTGACGTTAAATACTAAGAACAACTATATAAACATAGTTTGTTAATGTTATCGTCGGTGTGACAAGAAGACCAGCCATAGTCACAGTCACACTACAGAACATTTAGATTGGTGGGACTCAGGATAGCCTATAGGATCATATTATAACATGGCATGAAAAATCAAGGTTCTTTAATCTTAGAGCAACACATATAGAACAAAAATTGAAGAACACTAACCTAGATAACAAATTGTGGTACCATAAATTTATCTTGTTGTCAAGTTCTATGCAGCATTCATGTCGTTTCGTTTCGTTAAAACTATTTGTTTTCTGTTGTATATTTACAGTTATAAGCAGCATTCATTTCATGTTGTTAATTAAAACTATTTGTTTTGTATTGTATATTTACAGTTATAAACAGCATTCATTTCATGTCGTTAATTAAAACTATTTGTTTTGTATTCTGTATTTATAGAGGCTGATGATGAAGGAACAGTGAGAACAACTTTACTTCTCCAGAATAACATAGAAATAGATATAGTTATATCACATGGAAAACCCAGTCCACATCGTAAACGACTTATTAATAATTTATCTTTCCGTAAAGACAAACATCTCTAGTGGCTTCAGTATTAAATATAGTAAAACATGAAATTAATGCCCTTTAAAATTAATGCCCTTTAAAATTAATGCCCTTTAAAATTAATACGTGCCAAAAAGGGCTGATAATAAACGTGTCTTGAAATTGATGTGACTCGTCAGGTCTAGTTCTTTCATAAATACCATTATCAACAGATTAATTTATTACAATTATTTTTTACAACGTATAAGTCGATTTTTTTTTTAGGCGGAAGTCATGACTTCATCTGATACTATATATTGACGTATATATACCTCATAGAATATAGTGTATAATTTATTTTAAACAGTGTTATATTTGACTATATTGATAAGTTAGTGGCTTATTAATAATGGCGAGGTCACACTAGAAGGCATTAATTTCTTGTTTTACCTAGTGTATTCGGGCCTTATATATATGTTAATAAAGATAATTATACAGCAATATACATGTATATACGAAACAGGCTGCTTTTATTATACAGCAATATACATGTATATACAAAACAGATAATTATACAGCAATATACATGTATATACAGCAATATACATGTATATACGAAACAGGCTGCTTTTATTAAACATGATATACATCTTAACAACAACTAAAAAAAGATGTTTTATATTTTTGTATTTAAGTATCTTTTTTAAGAAATCTTCATTATCACTGTCACTGTCAGTTGTAATACTTTTCATTATCTTTTTCAATTGTAATGGTTTTCATTATCACTTTCAATTGTAATGGATTTATTTTATATTTTTTGTAAAATTGTAATTATCCCTTTAAATTGTAGTGATTTTCATTATCTGTTTCAATTGAAATGCATTCTGTTATGTTTCAATTGTAATTTGTCTGTTATCCCTTTCAATTGTAATGGATTTCGTTATGTTTTTCAATTGTAATGGATTTCGTTATGTTTTTCAATTGTAATGGATTCCATTATGTTTTTCAATTGTAATGGATTTTGTTATGTTTTTCAATTGTAATGCTTTCTGTTGTAGTCTTATCTTTTTGAACTCTAATTCATGGTTTCTGATTTTCCAATTTATTTATAAGGTTTAGTGCTATAAATTATTTATTATGGAATTATCTGTTTGGTTGTTGATTTTATTGTGAATTCTAGTTTTTCTGATTAAATATATCCACTGTACACATATAAATAGGTTTTTTTTGTGTGTTGTGATTTCAAATTTATGTTAATGACTACGTAATAGTTAAAATTATATCGACAACCTCAACGTCGTGTCGTTATTATTTTTTAACAAAAACAAAAAAACATGTCCATTACCTCCAAGTAGTAGTGAAGACCAATGTTTCCTTGTGTGTGCACATAGCTTAAACCACAAAATTTACCTCAAAATATTATTTTTTTAACAACAAAAAAGTTAAAATAATTTGTGTTCAAGACCATAAAGTAGTTTTAAAAATTGATTCAGGGACCAAATGTGACAAAGAAGAAAGTTTTTTTCTCTAACCCTACTTTTTTCTTCCAAGTTTTAGGCAAATATCTATATTTTAAAAAATGATATTTTTTTTATCTCAGTAAAATAAATTTTGAATAAGTTTCTTTACTTTGAAATGTGTCGAATAAATGATCTAAGTACATTATGATACACAGAGATTTATGTTAATTAGAGACTCAAACAAAACAGATCGTTGATAATCAATTGACTGAAGCTGCCTCAAATAGTGAGCTTCACAGGGCTCTGGTTTCAGTCATATTTGCCTGTTTTGACTGACTGTAAAATTGACTGAAGAACTTTACATGCCATAAAGTTGCAAACTTTGAAAGAATTTAAACGGAATAAAAACAGTTAAATTGTGTAGGTTTTTTTGTGTATAAACACTTGAAAATATATTAAAGAATTATGATAATGATAAAAATTATTGGAAAATGATAAAAATTCTTTGGAAAAAAATATCTTGCTAATACATTAAAAAAAAATGTTCAGCAACATTTGGTATTTTCTCCATTGAAAAGAATTACCCTTCTGATTTGTAAAAGATGGATCCTTTTTCCAATCTGCTTGATATAAACGGGATCTTTCATGTGGTCCTGAAATTAATATTTGTAATATGTCTGAAATCAATTGATGTCTTATGATCAGATCTTTGTGATGAGTCTCTAATTACCCCTTATATTACCTTTGTATTTCATTAACCCTTTAGTGCCAGCCTGACGCCTCAAACCTCTTTAATCATGTGAATTATTTAAGGACTCTATACTAGTTCTGGGCCTCCTTGTCTTCGATATCACCCAAGGAGAAAGCAGACATTCTGGACCTGAGTCAGTTCACTGTTGTCAAGGGAACAGTAGTTTCGAGTGGTTATGAAAATGATCCACGAAACTCAGTGTAACAAAAAGATCACTTTTTTCTCATTTTTTCAGGGACTAGAGTAGTTCTAAAGGGTTAATTAAGGTGATAATAAAATGAATTTTAAAGGGGAAAATGATTGGAATAATTTAGAAATGTAATACTGCCTTTACTGATAAATGTTTGTTTATATATATGTGTGTTTAACGTTTGCTGTATAATTCATATAAATTTTAATGAAAATTTATGTTGCTGCTGCTTATATTATTTATGTAAAAATATTTTAGAACAGATGATGAAATAGATTTTTGTGTGCTTTATTGCCGCTCAAATTCATGATGGTTGGTTTGACAAATGATTTTGTTATCTAGATTGAACTGGACATGAAATAATCAAGGTTGGGCAATCCAGGAGAAACAAATTTTGCTTGTTAGGATCTAGAAATGTTCAAATGTTGATAATGGAAAAATACTGACATACCAAATATATTGCAATATATCAGTATTTTTACATCCCTTCAACTATCTGTAAATTACACATTATATTTTATATTTGAACCTATTTGAGTTTAATTCATTCTAAGCTGTGTGGCTGATTGTCTTTTCGTATTTTCATCAACAAACATTGTGTACTGGCAAGTTGTGTTGAGAGTTGACGTCCTTGTATCGTTGATGTCACGTTGATTGTAACGTGTGTATTTAAATCATTATTCTTATCATTCAACAGAGACCTTGTGACTGTTTTCATTGAACTGTTTTAGAAACTGTCAAGGGCTCCTGTTTCACTTGTATTTTACCAGTCTCGACTGACAGGCAGGGAAATTGACCAGCTAAAGAACTAACCTATCAGTCAAATTACAATTTTAAACAATTTAAATTAAAACACAATAAACACAGGGTAAATTTGAAAAAAAAAAAATAGATATTTAGATAACATTTAAAAAAATACCAATAAAATGGGATAATTGAAATTGAAAAATATTTCTTTCTGATCGTAAACAAAATATATCAAAAGTTGTCCAACTGGTAAAATTTTGAACTGAAAGCCCTTGACTTGACGCTACCTAAATTCCTGTGTCGTAAAACAAGGACAGCTGATTCCTGTGACTTGTGAAACTTAGTTCATTGACTTTAGCTACATTAATGTTTTATAAACTATGGACAACTTTCAAAAAAGTTTTTATTTATTTTCAAACAAGTTCACCAAAAAATTATGCACAACTTTCAAACTCATTATAAATTATTTTATAAACGAATTCACCTAGAAAATTAGGCACTTTATTATTTATTCACCAAGAAAGTAAGTACAACTGTCAATAAGTACGTTATTATTTATTCTACCGACATGTTGACCACCAAGAAAGTTTGTACAACTATCAACAAGCACGTTATTATTTGTCTGTCTTGCCACCAGCATGAATTGTTTATAGTTAGTTTTGTACATATTTTGTTTTTAATTATATAATATATTATATACACCTGTAGATTAATTGTAGATAATTAGATTAGTTTAATATATGTAAGTTAGATAGAAGGGAGTTATATGGAAACTTTGTCATCATATAGTTCAAGTTTATTTCAATAATTCAATTGCATGTAGCGGTCTTTAGCAGTGCAAGGAAACTGGAGGTTGGACGGGCGACCCTACTCCTTGTCGCGTACTGGTGTGGGGTCGAACTCATGCCGCTTGACTTAATAGACGACCATATGATATATATATAACTTTAGACCATTTAACTCCCTTGTTAGGTAAAATGTGAGTTTCAATGTTTAATCGTATCCTGATCACTTTCTAAGGTTGTCTCTTGATTTTATGTATTGGTCGAAAACTATTAATAACATGATTTGAATTTACAATACTTTGATTAATTTGCTGCTTAATGATAAATTTCAAATATCATACAATAAAAGGCAGCTTAATTCATATACGGCTTTGTAAAATAAACTATATATACAGTCAGTTGTTATAACATATCATCATGTCTATTAGCTTGATAATCTTCTCACCAAAGAAATTACAGGGTTTAGAGAACACCTGGCTCCCGAGTTCACAAAATTTGGTCGCCGTATTTTAACTAAAATATATCCCTTTATAAAACTTTTGTTGTTTTAATGTATCAAATACATCAATAAGAAGTTATGAGCAAAGTTATGTGTTTCTGAATCAAAGATATTTCTCATAGACAGTGATTGAAAGTTGAGTAAATTATTAAGTCTGAGAATGGTTTGTGAACTCGAGGCCTGGAAAACAAGGCTCATGTTACAGTCGTATTCTACAAGTCTTGACTGATTGGCGAAACTACTAACAATACATGTATATATGAACATTGGACTAATAACCCTAACCCTGTCGTATTCTACAAGTCTTGACTGACTAGCGAACCTACTGACAATATATATGAATATTGGAATAATACCTGAAACTGTCAGATTCTTTTTTGAAAAAATTATCTCCAGTAACTAAAATAAACCTCCAAAATTGACCGACTGACAAAAGTTTGAAGTGAAACCCCTGCTTCACACCAATCACACCGCAACCATAGATAATCTTTGACGTGTTTCTTTAAAAAGAAATCCTGCCAATTGTAGAGTTAGTTAGTTATTCAGCCATTCTGTATTTGCCTTGTTACATCACATTTTATAGTTTATTATTAAATAGATCAGGGCATTATTCTAACCACATTTTACTTTTTTTTTTTCAAATTTAGAAAGTAGTCAGTGTTATGAAGTGCTGTTATTTTATTTTTGTTAAGAGTTAGAAAAATACAACATGAATTAAAATACAGAATATGGAAACTTAAAATACTTTTAAAATTCTCATGGTTGATTGGCCGAGAACTAAAAGTATAGCGCAAATTTTAGTTGTTAAACCATTTTTTGACTGATATTCCGTTTAGAGGTTCAACTTTTACAATATTGTAGTAGAGGGTTCAAAATCCCTCAAATGGCATTCAGAGACTTTAACGAAGAGGTGCACTTTTAAGACCCATTTTTTGATTGATATCTCCTTTTAAAGATTCAACTTGACAACCCCTCAAATTACGATTAGAGACATTATTAGATATTGTTAGAATGTTAATTCACCTAAAATAATGCTTTTTACATTTTATAAATTATATTTACAATACCAGACATTTAACCACATGGCATATCATATTTTGTGTAGTGTCTTCGTTGTTATTTACAATATCAGACATTAAACCACATGGCATTTCGTATTCTGTGTAGTCTATTCATTGTTATTTTATATATTTAAAGATTGCGGATTTCTTTTTTCTCTTGTAATTTTGGTTTTCTTTATCTTGACATCTCATTTCTCATTTTATTGACCTTAATTTACAATCTGAATAAAATAAAAACAACTTATTTCTACTGAGTTTGAATTTCTATATCAGTGGTGACTGGTGACCCCAGGATTTTCCAGAAAGGGATGAGGGGTGCTTGTCTTCATCACGTCCCACATGCGGCACTGACAAGCAAAACCATCCTGAATAAGGAAATCAAGAGAAATAACTGAATCTCTGCATCCATCAGAAAGGGGAAAATTGGATCATAATGCTTGGATATGGCTAGCTTTGAACGAAAAATATTTATATACATTAATATTTGAATTTTGAACGATTGGGGAGCAATTTGTATGAAGATAATCCCATAAGTTTTAAATTACAGCATCTTTGTGTTTTATTTTTCTATTTTATTGGTGTGGGGCATGGTAGTCAAGTGGTAAGGGCACTTATTGATCCGGGTTCGGATTCCCATGTTGCCCAGGCCTTTGAGTCGGACAAAAAACTATGGTGCACATCAAAGAAACATTGATAGCTGCATTTTGGAAATAGAAAATAATAGCCATGTCAATTTCAAAACAACACAAGTAAAATCCATTCCTATCCTTTTACATGTATATTGATATTGGATAGAATGTGCAAGGTGTGCACTGGGTCAGGTCTAAATATTAAGGTCACCTGCAGATTTCGTCATGGTCACAAGCTGTAAATATTCAATCACCACAGAATTTGCATGTGGGGTTGGGCCCTGTAGATCACTAGCCAGGGGATGACGGTGTTGGTTGAAAAAGGTCCTCAAGATTCACAGGGTGGTTTCCACTTGTCAGTGGTGCTAAAAGGCACGTCTGGAAAGGAACAGAATCTAGTTGTCTGAATGGGATAAAAAAACAATCAATATCCCCGACAGTTTAAAATTGAAGGGTCCCAGTGACTTTGTCTGGACAAAATTTCAAACATAGCACACAGCATGGTGTATACAGAAATAAAGGACGTTACACCCCTATTTTATCTAAAGGCATTAAATTGAAGCTGATAATTCATAGATAATATTTAAACAAAATCACAAACACAACATTTTGTTACATTTTAATAAAAATAATGCAGGAATAGTATATTAGTGTAACATCCAAATATTCTTCACTGCCTTCATTCCAAATTTGGTATTTTTTTGTGTTTGTTTCTAAGTTCGGTTCAGTTTATCATGTTCTTCTTTTCAAATATTTAAAGTTCACTTCTAGATTTTATTATGTCTGTCTCTAGTTCACATCCATCTCTATAAATATTAAATCAAACTATGCCTAATCATCTCGTTTTTTATAATTTGGGATGTTCATGAGAATCCAGGATGCTGGTGCTACTACAACTGCACACATCACCATTCCAACTCCCACCTTTTCCTGGAATAATAAAAGAAAGATTGGATTAAATAAACATAAATAGATAGAAATAAAATGGGGATTAAAATCTTTCTTTCTTACACAGAGAGAGAGAGGGAGAGAGGTTTTAATGTCCACTCGACACAAACTAGGTCATTTCGGGACTAACATATGGTTTAATTTTATTTCAATAATTCGCTTGCACATAGGGGTCTTTAGCAGTGGGAGGAAACCGGAGAAAACCCACGAGGTTGGACAGGCGACCCTACTCCTTGTCACGTACAACCGGGGATTCGAAACCACGCCAGTTGACTAAATGACAGGTCTTATGATAAAGCACACGCACGTGCTACCCATTCGGCCATCCAACCCCCCTTGTTTCTTACAATTAAACATACATTACGCAAGAGCTAAATCTGTCTATCGCAGGTCTTTCTTTAGGCCTGAAATGTTATTTAAGTTATTAATTAGACATTAATTAACCTATCTAGACCATAACAACTCTCAATGGCATCGCTAGCCTGCGATCTTTGGTGGATTATTAGCCGATTTACTGCATTACTTTCCTTCACGAATTAATGAGTAAATGGATAGTCGAGACTATGCTGTTTATCGTATTGGCTTTAGTAATGATGATCGAGGCTAGAGGCGGAAATTTCAATCACTTAATTCTCGGTTCATATTGGATCAATTTGAATGAAATTCTAGGGTTTTTTTAATGAAAATCTAGTTTTTAACTATTATAGTGAGAACTGTCAGCTCTTTATATAATCCAGGGATCGAATTTGACGGACGCAAACACGCAAAATGCGTGTTGATATTGTAGACTGCGTGTCACAAAATATGTCAAACGAAAAAAAATGCGTGTAACATTTTTTCGCTTATTGTTACTGAATAACATGATTTCTTCTTTTACGCAAAATCAAGACGATAATTATGACAAAAAAAAGAAATTCTATACATTATTTTCCGTCCTAAGTTCCTTGCAAAATGTAAATAAAGCGATGTATTTATCCGGCGTTTTGTGACATCTGCGCATGCCTTTTTTCCCTCTTTTAGTGTTCGACTATCTGTCGTTTCATTATTGTCGTTATATTCCACCAAACAAATTCCGACATCGGTCAAAAATATACGTTGCTTTCACGGACACAAACAGTTTATTAATAGTAAAAAAAACACGTACTGCCACGGGGATATATCGCGGTTTTGATTTTTCTGGATGATATTTAACACAAATATTGAAAAAATGTTTACCTTTTGATGTTATTTACGACATGAGAAAAAACGAGTTTTCAAGGGTAGCTATAAAAATATGTACGGCGGAATGAACACAAACTTTTTTTTATGTTTTTTCATTAAAGAAAAAAATTGCCCCTTGAATTTCTTCAAAATCCTATTTTTGCTTGTACATTTGAAATCAACAAGCAATTTTGCTTGTGTGTTTTCAAATAAAGTTCTATCCCTGTATAATCTATCTTCTAATCTGTGAGAGTAATTTTGTCCTGATAGCACCGCTATGGACTACTCTTATTCTGTTTGGTTAAAGTGCTGACAATGGTATACATTTTGCATCATCTAAACAACTGAAACCCTTTTCATTGCCAAGCCCTTTCTTCCTGCACAAGTGACTAGAGGGAACGGGACTGGAAAACCCAACTTATAGGCCTACTCACCCAGTCACTCGGACCTTAAAATAACGTTTTTGATAGCTATATGACAGCCAGGGGAGACAAGCCATCGTCGGTTTTATGAACCTTTAATATAAACTTAAAGAAAAGTTCACAAACTTTTTGAGACCGATTTCAGCTATGCACACTAGAATGGTAACCTCTGTTAGTGGTGCAAGATTGAGAGTCTAGCAAGGAAGCGTGCCTGGTTGTTTGGTTGTTTGGATGTTTGGAGGTATGAAAAATCGTGGCCAAATGATGTGGGATGTGTCTGTGGGATGTGTCTGTGGGTGGCAAAAACAGCCATGCTTTAGTTCATAAACTAAAACCTACCGGCGTAGGCTATAATTTTTATTTTACCAACATTTTTAGCATCATTTTGCCCGACAACGATCATAAAGTCATTTTTCTACAACGCTTCCCCTTAGTGACATCACCAGTCCAGGATTCCAACTTCTATATAATACATTGGTTAACGTTCAAAAATACCTTTATTGCATCGACCTTGACAAGTAATTCGGCGAGGTCAGTTTTTTGCCATCGCTTTGATTCACGAAAGAAAAACTTACTGCAATTGAAATTTCGTGTTTAGGTGGACCAGACATTACATTTGCCTTTTGTGTGATGTTAGATCTTACAGCGGGTGCTGTCTTGGTTATAGCGCTACGCAAAACACCTGACATCTTTATTAGCTCGAACCGACGAAAAGTTTCTTTCTCGAAAACTAAAACCGGAAGTATAATTTGGAGTGAAATAGCCACGGACAAAATGCTTTACCATCGATATAAATAAAGACGGAAATAAATAAGGGGATATTAAGTATATAAACGACAAAATTTAATAATACTTTGGCTAAATTCTTATAAATTAATATTTCTAAATCATATTTTCATTTTATTTTCGAACAGCTCAAAATCCATTCTCCCATGCTTCTTCGCTTACAAGATATAGTCATTCCGACCAGCTATAAGAGACAAATTGTCCATTATCTGGATCTTCCGACCATTTTTTTGTTATTGGCATCTTTTATAGTCAAATTGGCTATAAATATATAAAATATAGCCATAATTCTAAATAAAAATAAGGCTACCGTAATTATAGTAAACAAAACATTTGTTATTTTTTTTTAATTTGCTCCAAATTATTTTCAAAACGCATGCGCTTTAGATCATAAGGACTTCATTTGAATCAAGTGGAAAGGCTTCGGTCCCATGCTTTTACGTAACAATTAAGGAGTAGGTTCTGTCCATGTAACCACTCGTGATGTTCCCCTCCTCCCCTGGTTTCCTCCCGTTGCTATAGACGCCTTGTATAAGCAGATTATGTTAGTCCCGAAATGACCTAGTTTGTGTTGAGTGTAGGTTCAACCCCACTTGTGTCCAGTTTAAGGCTGGCTGATTAATTTTGATAATGAGTATCCAATTTTTCTGACCACTGTTCAAAAATTAATCATTATACATCATTAATCAATTGGGTTGTTTATTTTTTAACAGTGATTGAGAAATTAAACACTTGTAAATTGGACACTCATTATCAAAATTGAATGGTCAGCTTTAAACTGGACAGAAGTACAAATTAAACGATTTATGGTGATTTTAAACAGTTTTTACGAATTTTTAAACAAAGGTTGGATATTAAACGAATGTGAAAGAAATTAGTGCTAGATACGCAAGATTAAATGATACCTGGGTTACAGTGAAGACCACAAATTATATACAATAGATTAGATACACATTCTTTGACAAGCTAGTCAAACAAGTCATCAAGTTTAATGACAGCTTTTAGTTATAATTTTATTGCCATTTATTTGTTTAGTGAAGTTCATTCAGTTTCCAAGACACATTATTGGTCGAGTTAGTCCTATACGATTGTGTTTTAAAATGTAACCTATTTATAGAATGTATCTTGCTGCATGGAGACTGATTTGCCTTGGACAGGGGAGGATACTCTGGTGAATCAATGTCAATGACAGCGAGGCTTCGTCCTTGAGGGAAGGGCGGCTAGTTTGGTGTATTATCTCATAGCTGTAGCAGACGCATCTGAAAAACAGTACAGTTTATCGTCTATTGCACTGCTGGGCATTCAACCGACACAGCTGACATGGCTGCAAAACCTCAGTCCGATCATGATAAGCGAAAACAAATTAGTATTCGGGGTATTGCGCCGGTGGAAAATGTTGGAACCGTCAAGAAAAGTTTCAACCGGCACTTGCATTACACTTTGGTGAAGGACCGAAATGTTTCCACTCCGAGAGATTATTATTTTGCCTTGGCACACACCGTAAGAGATCACCTGGTTGGGAGATGGATTAGAACACAGCAATATTACTATGAGATCGACCCAAAGGTAATAAAAATACTTGTTTTTAGAATTTTAGTTTTCAGGAGGAGACCGTGGTGTCCATGTCATGCTGACTTTGTGTTTTTATAGGCTAGTAAATGAAATGTCAAATTGATCGACATGCAAAAAATGTAAATAAGTAGCATAATGTCATCGATGGAAATTAAGTCCAAACAAGGGTAAGGTATTTTATTACAGTTTAGGAATCCAATAAAAAACAAAATGTTTTGGATTTTACAGGGATTTTAAAAAAATAGTGACTTTTGTTAGTGACCTAGTAAATCTACTGGTTATTATATAGAAACAAAGCTATCTTCGAAAGTAGATTAGTGCTAATCATAGATTTAATCTCTGATTTTCTGATCTGTCATATTCCGGAAAGCTAACTAAATTTTAAACTAGGATTTTTATAAACTTTGATTAACATAATCATTAAGTTCGGTAATCATTGTTCGAGAAACCATAAATTGTGATATTCTGGAACGTTGACTTGTAGTTATACTTAATCTTTGACTAAGTCACCCCAAATATTTGAAGAAAGGATTAAGTGCATGGATATGCCATTATGATGCATTCAGTTATGCAGTTATGAACCAATTTACGGCACTCCAATGTTAAAGGTTTGAATGTCGTAATTGTCCAACACGTGCCTGCAAATTTTCACGATGTTTCTTATTTTATTTCTTACCTGTGTTGACCGTGGATTTGCTACGGCCCGAGTGTAGGACTAGGAGGAAGATGAGAGCTTTCTCTGTTTCTGCCTGACCTTATTCTCATTCCACCGTAATAATAATAATATTCGTGAGACACGTACAACAACTTTACAAACAAGTCAAATAATATGTGTTTTAATTGTCAATATCTACCTGTTGTCATAATTCGTTGTACTCAAATAAAACACAAACACCGTTTTAAGAATCGTTTTAATTTTTAATCTCAAAGTAATAAAGTAATATTTGAAAAAAACAAACAACAAAACAACAAATACCGAAAGGTCCTCAACTTATCTATCCAGAGAAACAGAGTGGGGCGGAACAATTTTATGCTCGGTCGGGTGGTGTCAAAAAGTTTTTAGATCCCTGTATCATTGATGAAAATTAAGTGAATTTGAATATATAAATGGAAATTTGATTTGCACTGAACTAAATACAAAAGGCAGCAGATGCTCTGAAAATACACCAAGAAGGGTTTAATTTTCATAAAAGACCATGCCCCCTCCCAAAATTTTTTTGCCTCCCTCCGCTCGCCACATATATTTTTACACCACTCACCAAATCCTGGCTACATCCCTGTGTTTCAGTATGACCCTGCAGGCACATTTTCAAGTGTGTGCGCAGGCACACTCAACTTTTATAGAGCCCTGTGCACCACTGACAAAGGGTAACCAACCAGGCAGTAAAACTAAAATCCAGACGAACCTCCTGGTTAGCGAGTCAGGATCTTACCCACTAAAGCTCCCTTTATTTATTTTTAACACCACACATTCCCCTTTCACCATAATTCACACACACTCTTCGCATACTCAACTAACTCTGTCTAATATTGTATATTTTCGATTTACACCCTTCCCCGCCCCCCCGCAACCAAAACACAAGAAATTTTCGAACTGTAAAGGATGCATGTTCCTGAAGCAACGACCAAGAATTTACAACCTTGGATATGGTGTACGGATAAAAATAATAATTACATTTTCATCTTCCAGGTGACTGGCCTACGTCTGGGGTCTTATTTAAAGGGCCAATCTCGATTATATTTTGGAGAATAAAACTGCTTAATTTTGTGTTAAAAACCCTTAAAATCATCTACCTTAGGGCCGCGCCACTAACTCAATATACTTAATACATTTTCAAACAATTTAAACCCGTCAGTTTTCATCTGGAAACTGAGACCGGTGTCCCAAGCAGTATTATACAGTGTCTAGATAAAACCTGACTTTTAGGTTATATAAATAACGTGTAGGTGAAATGTACCTTTCGTTATCAAGCACAGCACGTGGGTCATGCACTGTATACATGTAGGTCTCTAAAGGAACGGCAATAGATTATCAGGTCACCCAACAAAAAATTGAATTGAACCCTTAATTGGGTTACGTATCCAGATAATCGGTTTTGACGTGGAAAACGTCTAAATATATCGAAATCAAATTTGGAGACAAGGTAAATACACCATTCATTCCTCTATAATTTGGCGCTTAGATTTCATACTTACACTTTTGTTTCTGAGACTCTGTTAAAATCCTTAATGTTCCCTCTAAATAGAAATATTGCAAGTTTATACAAAATTGACAAATAATGATAGATTCAGAATTTTCTATTGTAGTGAAGACAGTTATACCTTGGCACCTCCCCATTGTGAACTCAACTAGGTGGCTTGTGGGAAATGCGACGGATAACAACTACTGAAATTCTAAAATATTCTACAATACAAAAAATGCATTACTCTAATTTACTTCAATGTCTTTTTACAGGGACCCGCTTTTTCTCCCTGCTTACACCCTACTGATCCCTTTAAACCCCAGGTTCGGAAACACTGTTCTCAAACACAATGTCATGTTTTTGTGATCTACTTCCTGTAACTGGTCCATTTCGTCAATGATAAACAAAAACTCTTTAATCAATGATTTAAATGTTTGATTTACAATCAAATTTTAAAACTTAATTTTAATCGTTGACGAAGAGAAATTCTAGTATAAAATTAGCTAATCTGACTTTTGAGAATTCCAAACTTAGTCAACTACTAATCTCTAGTTACTGATTAGACCTAATCACAGATTATTTTAGACACTGTTCGAAAATATGGGCCTAAATGTTCAATTTTAGATTTGACTGTTTATAAATGGTGTATTTTTATTTTTATACTAAGTTTGTGCAAAATCTGAGGTAAATCTAGCGGTACTGGTACATTACCTGCAGTGAATGTTTTTAGTTGAAATAGACAACTTTGTACTTGTTAAATTTCAAGTGTCAAGTGACATTCATTTCCAGAACATAAATTAACACATAATTATTGCATTAAATGCTTGTGGGAATTACCTCAGTGAATCTGTTAATTAAATTAAATAATATATTTTTTGTTGAAAGAGTTTTACTCAACAAGTAGAAGTATCTAAAATCATGGACATTGTATCATACTAGGGTCCATGCTCCAAATACTCAGGTCATTGAGTCAACTGGCGTGGTTTCAAATCCCCGGTTGTATGTGACAAGGAGTAGGGTTGCCTGTCCAACCTCGTGGGTTTTCTCTGGGTCCTCCGGTTTCCTCCCACTGCTAAAGACCCCTATGCACAATGGAATTATTGAAATAAAGTTAAACCATATGTTAGTCCCAAAATGACCTAGTCTGTGTCGAATGGACGTTAAACTCTCTCTCCAAGTACTCAGATACTCAGAAATAATGTAAATGTTGTTGTAGGTATGATGTATGAGGTATGAGCTGTGTATTGTTTATAGACCATAATCTGACTAGTGAATAGAATTAGTTTTGTTGTCTTTTGTACTTATGGTTAACTAGTTTTCGTCAGAATTTGTTTTATATCAATTATGTCATTCCCTTTCAAATTATTCTCCCTGTATGCAAATAATTTGTGATTATTTATCATGTGACAAATGTTTTCCATCCTGGCAGATTATATACATGTAAAACGAGATATATGGTCATGCATGATGCTAATATGGTTTGACTGTATGCAATATTAGATAATAAATTTATATATAATTTACATATTATATAAACCACATATAAAACACAATGTAGCAAATTAAATTTACGAAATATTTCAATATTTCCTACTCACTAGTAAATAGTAAAATCAACAAGTATTCATTATATAACTCATGATTAGACAATAACACATGGTGTTGTTGTTGTTGTTGTTGAGGGGGTTGGATGGCCGAATGGTTAGCACGCGCGCGCTCTATCATACGGTCTGTCATTGAGTCAACTGGCGGGGTTTCGATTCCCCGGTTGTACATGACAAGGAGTAGGGTCACCTGTCCAACCTCATGGGTTTTCTCCGGGTCCTCCGGTTTCCTCCCACTGCTAAAGACCCCTACGCGCAAGTGAATTATTGAAATAAAAATTAAACCATATGTTAGTCCTGAAATGACCTAGTTTGTGTCGAGTGGACGTTAAACCCCATTTCTCTCTCTCTCTCCCTATTGTTGTTGTTGTTAGTTAATTGTATTTTACGTCCGCTTCCACCGAGGTGATATCCCAGACAATCACATGGTGTTGTTGTTGTTAGTTAATTGTATTTTACGTCCGCTTCCACCGAGGTGATATCTCAGACAATCACATGGTGTTCTCAACCTTTTTTATATACCAGTTATCGTGTACAGACTGCTAAAATTCCTGAGTGCATTTATCAATTAGAAAAGGCTGATTAATTGTAACAAACAATTCCGAATGACAATAGCTTATGGACACTTTAATAGACAAACGATTCCGGCTGGCAATAGCTTATAGACACTTTAATAGACAAACGATTCCGACTGACAATAGCTTATTGACACTTTAATAGACAGTATAGGTTGTGGGATAAATGCCTAGTAAAATCCAGACGGAAAGGATCAGTTCAAAGCATGGCAAATTCAGGACAATTATTGATACATGCATTCCTAGAAAAATAGTTAACGTAAACATGTAGTTTAGTGGTTGGGTAAGGGGCAACATCGTGATTTTAAATGGAAATATAGAAGTGTGTGTCATCGTATACATTTATTAGTTGTCTTGTCAACAAATTGTCTTGGTCATCCTATTTTGATCTCAATTTGAATCAGTGTTGAAATTGAAATATGACTTCGATTGCATTTGTGACAAATATCATAGGTGCCAGCTTTCATGGTTAAAATTTCTGGTTGTTAATGATCAAAAATAGTGCGGTATTTGTCACCAAAATAGTATCACCCCTTTGTGGAAGAAAAAAAAGATTTGATTAGTCATGATAATGTCTTTGTATGGCTCTCTGTGATTTGTCAAGTCAGTTAATAAAATAATTGGAGCTAGGCCTATATGAAATATTCTGATGATCAGATGTTTAAGATTATTTTTGTTTTGTGTTTATGGTTGGCTCTATGCCCCAGTTCACCTGATTGTAACAAATATATTGTCAAGTCACTCAAAGTATCTACGTCTCAGCAAAATTTCTTGGGCCTTTCAATCAAATACCTTTAACAATGGAACAGGTGCCCTAGTTTTAGAGGTCTGTTGATGAAGAGAATTTTGATATCTTCCGTAATGGAGATATTCATGCAAGATGTATTAAAGATATTCATACAAACACAAATAATAATTACTGTCTACGGGTTGAGTCCAATGCCAAGTGCGTGGTGTTGTGTCTTCTCAAATGAAAAAGCATACCCTGGCCTTAAGCACAACACCAAATGGGGTTTAACATCCTACTGTTCTGTTCCTACTGGGCTAATGAAGATGGGACTATTTTTGGACTTCAACAATATTGTGGTTAGCAAGAGATTCATCAATCCCTTAAACTACAACCGAGGTCCCGTGTATACATAAGAATGCACGTAAAAGATCCCTTGGCAGTTGGAATTCGATATAAGAGTAGGCGATAGTGCCGCTGCCTGGGCAAAATTTCCCTCATAGCACACTGTATGGCATATGCCCGTCTTCATTAGCCCAGCATAGGAGCAGAACAGTAGGACGTTAAACTCCATTTCATTTCCTTAAACTACATTAAGAGACATCAAATGGCTGCTTTAAATAAAATCTATGTATAGTGAATAAATATTTGTATTAAATTTAGTTGACGAGGATATAGTGAGTAACAAACAGTTGTTTTCAAGTTTAATGTAATTCAGGATATCCTACTAGACCCTACTACGATGGTATAACATGTGATATATCCTAGTTCTACACTAGACCCTAATACTATGGTATATACATGTGTATATACATGTGATATATCAACAGTATAGAATACGTAAGACCTTGACCTCAGTATACTGTACTGGTATAAAACTGAACTCAGTAGTATATTGTTATGTAGGTCTGTTAACCCAGATCATTGTCAAGCTAGGACACCCGATAAATGAATATATATTTTTAGACCTTGAAATGAAGATTTTAATTTTTTATTTTTATTGCAAAGCAATAAATGCTAAATATTGCTGAATCATGATGACTTGACTCAGATAGAGAAACAACCAAATATTTACCGAGTATTTTACCAGGGATTTTGTCATCCAGATTTTGAAATAGGACAAAATGTGGGATGGACGGATGCTTTAGGCAGATACAAAGCGTGTGCTGGGGCACTAGGAAAAAGGGTGGATGGGGTGGGGCACTAGCAAAATGTTACACTAAGCAAATGCAAAGAGGGGGAGGGGGGGTCACTAGGATAAAATCTGTATGACAACAGCAAATGAGGGTTGGGGGCGTCACTAGGAAAAGAGAGAGAAGACACAGGGAAAAGTTAGGGGCCATTTGAAAAAGAGAAGGGAACACCAGATAAGAAGAGGGTTAACACCAGGAAAAGACGGATCAGGAGGGACACAAGGGTTAAAAACAAAGGAAAGCTTAAAGAAGAGGAGCCACTAAGAAAAGAGATGCAGGCACAAGAATAATAATAGCTTGACATATTCAGAAGACAGGGCTTGAGACCGTCAGGTATTCCTCTGGTATAATTCCTCTGCCCATTGACAAACAAAGATAAAAATGTCTAAGTTGACTTCTGTAAGTCCTTGACCTTGAAGTTGAAATGTGAAGAAAATTGAAGGTGATTTAAGAAATGGTAAAAATGAGTGAGTGCCATGTTTACAGTAATGACAATAGCAGTTGATATAGTTTTACTTATTACAATGGTATACAGTGTATATATACAGAATATCTGTTGGCATGATGACAGTAAACCTATTATATAATGTATTCTATCTACTGTACATCTTTACATATAAACCTGCTCTGTTTAACTATTCTCTAGTCAGCAAAATATCTCACTACAAAATTACAATATCAATATTCTAGACTGAAAGAAGGGCCAAATAGATTAAAAGTTTCAGTGCATATACAATTGAAAGTTAGTCTTATGAAAAAGCATATTGGTCTAAAATATATTAAAATCATTTGATCTAAACATAAGTTCTAGCCGTCTAAAATCTAATGCTTTTATGATGCCATTAACATCTTAATCAAAATAGGGGATGGACACTTAAGATAAAAGACAGGGGGTCACTTCAAAAATGTAAGTGCGAGAGAGGGAATAAGAAAAAGACTCTAAGGAAAAGGGGTGCGGTGGTGAAACTAAGGAAAAGAGAGGGGGACACAAAGGAAAATAGGTGGACACCAGGAACAGAAAGGGTGAGGAGACACTAAGAAAGGGAAGGGGGACATAAAGGGGAAATGTTAGGCAGACATAAGGAAAAGGGGGGGGGGGGTCACTAAGGAAAAGAGACAGGGATACAAGACAAGGAAAAAGAAGGGGTACACTAGGAAAAGCTATTTTATTTTATTATATTGTGTCTAGAATGTTAAAGACCAAAGATATAGGTATGCATGTATTATGGTCTGATGACCAAGAGATAGAGATATGTAGATGGTCTGATTTAATACACAACTCCAGCTGCTGTTGATATTTTAAATATTTTATTAGATAAATTAAGTAGATAGTTTCAACAAATTAGCTATGATTTTAATGTGGTGAATACCACACTATTTTATTATTAGAAAATAAAGTACATTTATACACAAAATGGAGTAGCTCATTGAGAATGACGCTTGTTCACTGACCTGACAAGGCCCAAGTTTTTCGATCCTTGTTTGTACATCAACCCATGGCAAGATGGTCACCATACCTTTTAATCTTGAAATTCATACCTAATATGGCTTAGCTCTCTTTTTTTCCACAGACCCTAAGTTAAGGAAAACCATTCAGGAAAACGTCTGCTCTTCGAAGGTCTATGGATTGTGCAGCTTCCTCTGCAGACCCCTTAGGAAAACAGTCTCCCCAAAACAATAGCATAACAATACATATACATAGCACCTCATGGATGGTCTATTGGTTCTGCTTCTACTGCTAACTAAACACCACTGTTTGCAAACAAATTATTAAAATCATGATATACATGTACCATCTGATGTTAGTCCCAAAATCACCTAGTTTGTAGTGAAGTGATGTTAAACATGAAATCTCTTTATTGCATCTGGGGTCTCCGAAGATGAACCTAGAGGGAATTGTTATCAGGCCTTCTGGAAAATAGTGAGCTCCTGGTACACTATACATCATCTTCAAGAAGGCTTGATAACACTTTAAGTCTGTACATCTTATCAAGGCGTGATTTCGCTTTAACATTTTTACCAAGGCCTTCACGTAATTCACTGTATATTTCAGCAATCATTTCAATTGGGTATTCACCCAGCTTATGAGCCTATGAGATTCCAGCTAAAATGTCTATTTGCGATAATCGAGTTGCAAAGTTTAGGGTTTGTTCAATGCCAAGGTTTCCATGGAGGTCGCTATATAGGATTTGAGTGTGATAGTGTCACAACATTTGATTGGACGCTACTGTTCACATGTCTGTATTAAAGTGAGAAAACATAGAGGTAATAAGTTCGGGAATTGTGAAGTAATCTAGCAACGTCCAGATGTTGTAAAACTCGCAGTCGTTGCTTCAGAAACATGACTATACCTAAAGACCTTAATGAATTTTGACTATTAGTTAACTTTTATAATTTTTGATAAATTATTTGTTTTTATTACAGAGAGTGTATTATTTATCACTGGAGTTTTATATGGGAAGAACATTATCTAATACCATGGTGAATCTAGGTATGCAGAGTGCTTGTGATGAGGCTATGTATCAGGTAAGTAATTATTCTCTAGTGGGTGGTCAGTTGGTCTAATACATGTATGTTAGTTAGATCATGGAATGGCTTGTACTAGACTAGGAGTAAGAGTCGCCTGTCTAAACTCTGAGAGTTGTCTTGTTGTGATGAAATGTGTATCAGGTAATACACACTTGATATTCTCAGGGGGTGGTCATGTGGTCTAATCACACACTTTAGATTATTAGATCTATCATGGACTTGGATGACGTAGTTTAGATTTCCGGTTTGTACATGACAAAGAGTAGAACCGCCTCCTCCCCCCCCCCCCCCGTTAAATACCTCTACACCTAAGTGAATTAAAAGGGGGTTGGGTGGACGATCATCAGGTCTGCCATTGATTCAACTGGTGTGGTTTTCATTCCAAGTATGTACATGGTAAAGAATAGAGCCCTCTCTGCCCAAACTTGTGGAGTTTCCCTGGGTTCTCTGGTTTCCCCAGACTGTTAAAGACCCTTACACCTAAGTAGATTATTGAAATGAAATTGTGTGTTAGTCCCGATATTACCTTTTATTATTCTAAGGTAGACCTTCATGTTGTAGGAGAGGGATTGTGTGGGCATAATGCAATCCCATGCAGATTCAATTCTTATTCTAAGGGAGCTTTTAACCAAGGTCCCATGTATACACATTGGCGTGCACATAAAAGATCCCTTGACAGTTGGAATTCGATATAAGAGTAGGCCGTAGTGCTTCTGTCCGGGCAAACTTTCACTCATAGCACACTGTATGGCGTATGCCCATCTTCCAGTTGGAGCAGAACAGTAGGACGTTAAATCCTATATCATTTCATTTCAATCCCATGTTGACTCAGATAGATTTTTCAGTCTAGATTCTCCTAGGGCATGGCAAAGAAAAGATTCTATTCATTTGGCCGAATGTAAAACCACATTAAACTTGTTGCTGATAAAAAAATTATTTTTTCATTCAAACAGCTTGGTCTTGATATTGAAGAACTTGAAGAAATTGAACTGGATGCAGGTCTTGGTAATGGTGGTTTAGGACGTCTAGCAGCATGTTTCCTTGATTCCATGGCAACATTAGGTCTGGCTGCCTATGGTTACGGTATTAGGTATGATTATGGTATCTTCACCCAGAAACTAGAAAATGGCTGGCAGGTAATAATTTAAAAAAAATAAAATAAACAGTTTTTTGAAAATATATAAGCTATAAGATATATAATAAGATAAATGTCAAGAAAATATTGGATTCTGAAACAAGTCAGAGCTAATTTTATTTAATCTGTCTCCAGTTTTATACTAACAAATATGAGCTTTCTGTGTACCCTGAACTGAGTTTGACATCATCACAGCTATCTTGGATGCGGGGGGTTGGATGGCCAAATGGTTAGCACGTTCGTGCTGTATCATAAAGCCTGTCATTGAGTTAACTGGCGTGGTTTCGAATCCCCGGTTGTACGTGACAAGGAGTAGGGTCGCCTGTCCAACCTCGTGGGTTTTCTCCGGGTCCTCCGGTTTCCTCCCACTGCTAAAGACCCCTATGCGCAATCGAATTATTGAAATAAAAAACTAAACCATATGTTAGTCCTGAAATGACCTAGTTTGTGTCGAGTGTACGTTAAACCCCATTTCTCTCTCTCTATCTTGGATGCTATATCAAAAATGGAAGTCTTGTCAAGCGATCTGCAATTGTCGAAGGGACATGAATGCATGATTTACATTTACATGATCTGTTTGCCAACCGAGCTGGATGAAACTTGGTAATGACATTCTTTGAAACATTCAAAGCGCATTATAAGCTCAGAAAACAGCCGATTTGGGCAGATCAATATTCAAGTCCTATTTTTCAGCTGTTCAGGACCGGAATTAGTGGTTCATGACCTCAACATAGTAAAGCTCGTTAGAAACCCTGGGGTGGTTTTAAATTTTTGATCGTTTTTACTGAATGATTGACGATTTATAATTGCAATGTACATGACTTCTTCTTTTTAAAAGTAAAACCTTTTTTTTATTAGCTTGAAGAACCCGATGATTGGTTGCGATATGGTAATCCATGGGAGAAAGCTCGACCTGAGTATATGTTACCTATCAACTTTTTCGGACGAGTAGAACATCACGATGGTAGTGCTAAATGGGTTGATACTCAGGTAAAATAGTCAAAAAGCTTCCATTTTATTGATAATATGATTTGATTGGGTTTAACTGTGGTGGCTCAGGTAAAATACTAAAAATACCTCCATTTTATTGATAATATCATTCGATTGGGTTTAACCGTGGTGGCTCAGGTAAAATAGTCAAAATACCTCCATTTTATTAATAATATGATTTGATTGGGTTTAATTGGGTGGCTCAGTGAGTAGTATGTTGGCTCGTTAACCTGACAGTCCTGTGTTCGATTCCAATGTTGGCCGAGAAAGTTCATTGTGATTTTTCTGGTGTGGTTCCCCCATGTCAGTGGTGTAGCACGGAGCTTCTGGCAAGAGACAACGTATATTCGTTCAGATGGGACGGAAAACTGAGGTCACTTGTACACATTAGTGTGAAAATAAAAGAATAAGAGTAAGTGCCGCTGTCTGGGCAAAATTTCCCTTATAGCAACATGTAAGCCCGTCTTCATTATCCCAGTCGGTGCAGAACAGTAGGACATTAAACCCCAATTTCATTTCATTCATTTGATCGGTGTTTGTTGGTCGGTTTTTGGGGTTTTTTGTCTTAGACTGGATCAAAGCAGTAGAAATCAAATCGTGGTCGGAGCTTTACGTAATTGATTGACAAGCTGGACCTGTCATCTTTCCACACAAACAGCTTAGTAATTATATGAAACTCTTTCCGTAATGAATTGATCACCCAACTAGTGTAGTGTGTGTATTGTTTAATGGTCGAGAGCGAGACATTAAGTAATATAATACTACGCGAGGCGTAAGCGGAGTGTTGTTTCAATATATTACGCAATGTCTTTAGCTCGAGACCATTAAACAACTTAAAATATAGACACTATCCCGCGTGCTTTTCAATGAAATACGTCACGCGAGTCCAATATTTCATCTAGTATAGATAATGTACGATTGGCAAGTTTGCCCGTACATTATTGGAAATAATGGTACGCCAACATCAAAGGATGACATCACACCTGTATTTTAAAATGTAATATAGGCTATGTTTGGGTTGGGTATAATGTAATATATATTTATAGACTAGTTACTGTAAAATGTAATATTATAGGCTATATTTGCTACATGTTGGGTATAATGTAATATGTAATATATCTATAGACTATAATGTGATATATGATATATTTATAGACTATATTTGCCATGCCGTATGATAGTCCAGTACCAGGTTACGGTAATAACACAGTTAATACATTACGACTCTGGTCAGCTAAAGCACCAAATAACTTTGATCTTAGATTCTGTAAGTATAAAGTCTCTAAATAATAGTTTAACTTTAAAAAACAGAATATATCCGTAGACCAAATGTGTCGTTGATTTCACGTATTGAAGCATGTGGCTAAAATTGTGTTGATTGTAAATATGTACAGACAAAAACTAAGGATATGTACACATATTAGTAGTTGGAACTTGTAAAGAATACAAGGCAAATTCTCCAAAGCACAATATATTCCAGACTAAAACTGAGACAGACAGGCCTGAAAATATCGGTTTTAGTTGTACCCCACATTTATTAACAATAGCAAAAAGAAAACAGAAAAAAGACAAGACTGTTCCAGATAAATGGACAGACACAGGCTGATTTAACTGATGTAGGCAACCTATCTTAATAGTAGCTAACAAAATCTGATGTAGGCAACCTATCTTAATAGCTAACAAAATCTGAGGACCTAATGACCTAGAACCTGCTATTTTCAAATGACCTAGTGCCTATCGGCTATTTTCAAATATGAGGAACCATGGGCGTCACACATAATCATCCTGGAAACATGTGTGAAGTGAAAAGTACCTGTGTTCCATAAAATTGTGTCCAGTTAGCCTGTCAGTAATATTTTGTTAATTTTTTTCTGCCACTTATCAGAGTGAATCGCATGTAGGTACCCAAAAACATAACCGCCTAAACTAAATATTTATCGCCCGCTCAGCCAGCAATGTAACCATAATGCTTTTGCACGCGGTGTCTTGGTAGACAGCATGGCCACATGGTGTTTGTTTATATTTTTTAGGGGTTTTAAAAAATGGGTTACGGTTAGGGGTTAGAGTTGCGGGCCCCCCCCCCTATATATATTTCACGGCGACGCCTCTGTGAGGAACTAATGACCTGGTGCCTACCTGCTATTTTCAAATGTCTGTCAGATATGTATTTATAGAATCTATATAAAAATAGAATAAAAATATAAAGTGACAGGCACTAGAAGGATTGTGTCTAACAAAGTCTGAATTTGTTCCTGATATTATCTCGTGACAGGTTCCTTATTTACAATCTTCCTACACTTCCTAATATAGTCTGAAAATAACCTGATCATATTTCTATTACTGAACCTTACTATAAAATAACCTGATCATATTTCTATTACTGAACCTTACTATAAAATAATTTGTATATTTCAGTCAACAATGGTGAATATATTCAGGCTGTTTGTGATCGTAATTTAGCTGAGAATATATCCAGGGTTTTATATCCTAATGATAATGTGAGTATTGAAAATAAACATTGTCTTACTTAATTATCTGATCTGGTTTTCCTGAAGTAGAGTCACCTGTCCAACCTCGTGGGTTTTCTACAGGTCCTTTGGTTTCCTCCCACTGCTAAAGACCCCTACGTGCCAGTGAAATATTAAAATAAAATTGAACCTTATGTTAGTCCCATAATGACCTAGTTTGTGTCGAGTGGACATTAAACACCATTTTTCTCTCTAGCCTAATTATCAAAAAGCCTAGCGTAGACCTTTTCTTATCAAGGCAGTTTGAACAATTATCCATCGCACAACCTGAAAACCACACCGACTCTAATGTGTTCAGCTTCAAAACTCACATTTCTCAGACAAATTGAAATAGTTAATAAATTCATTTTGGTCTAAAGAGATGCATGATATCTAATTTGGCTACTTAATTATGATGTAAATATATTTTTGGTTCAAAGTAAACTGAAAACAGATATATCTTACAAGGCAACAGAGATTTCAATGGTTGTGACTTTTTTATAGATGATGTTTTGTGAGACAATGATGCATTTTCATTCAAATACATTAGAGGGGACTCCATCGTCAGTTCAAAACATACCAAATACATTAGAGGTGGCTCCATCGTCAGTTCAAAACATACCAAATACATTAGAGGTGGCTCCATCGTCAGTTCAAAACATACCAAATACATTAGAGGTGGCTCCATCGTCAGTTCAAAACATACCAAATACATTAGAGGGGGCTCCATCGTCAGTTCAAAACATACCAAATACATTAGAGGGGGCTCCATCGTCAGTTCAAAACATACCAAATACATTAGAGGTGGCTCCATCGTCAGTTCAAAACATACCAAATACATTAGAGGTGGCTCCATCGTCAGTTCAAAACATACCAAATACATTAGAGGGGGCTCCATCGTCAGTCCAAAACATACCAAATACATTAGAGGGGGCTCCATCGTCAGTTCAAAACATACCAAATACATTAGAGGTGGCTCCATCGTCAGTTCAAAACATACCAAATACATTAGAGGTGGCTCCATCGTCAGTTCAAAACATACCAAATACATTAGAAGGGGCTCCATCGTCAGTTCAAAACATACCAAATACATTAGAGGGGGCTCCATCGTCAGTTCAAAACATACCAAATACATTAGAGGTGGCTCCATCGTCAGTTCAAAACATACCAAATACATTAGAGGTGGCTCCATCGTCAGTTCAAAACATACCAAATACATTAGAGGTGGCTCCATCGTCAGTTCAAAACATACCAAATACATTAGAAGGGGCTCCATCGTCAGTTCAAAACATACCAAATACATTAGAGGGGGCTCCATCGTCAGTTCAAAACATAGCGAATTGATGGAACTGCAATAAAGTGGCACAGTTCTGTCTATCCTGAAAACCGATCTGATGTGACATTAATTATGATATTGTGTGTGATATAAGTCGTTTCTATGACATTAATAAAAATATTCTTGTTATTTTAGATATTCGAGGGTAAAGAATTACGTTTGAAACAAGAATATTTCTTGGTAGCTGCTACACTTCAAGATATTATCAGACGATTTAAATCTTCCAGATTCGGATGTCGGGATTCTGTCAGAACATCTTTTGATACTTTTGCTGATAAGGTAAGATCCCCTTCATCCCTGCACCGGAAAATTCAACATTTGACAATTAACTGGCTGCTATAATACCAGCTTTTGATGTGGGTAAAAATTACTAAAATATGGACAGAGTAAATACAGTTAGATTTATAGTTTTTATGTGAAAAACACTTAAAAATAAAATAATGTTAAAAGTTGCCATTTTCATAGAAAGAAAAAGTTAAACAAAATACTTTAAAATATTACTACAAAGTTTTGAAGTGAACACTCTGAACTTAATGTCTGTAATACCCATGACAAATGTTCCAAACAAACCAACAGTCTTATGTACCTAATTTGATTTCATTTTTGTTACAATGATGAAATTTTGAACAATGTGCATACATTTGTTGAGTAATCGTACACACACCTCACTACCATAAACATATAGTAATAACAAGATACTATCTTTATTTCAGGTTGCTATCCAGTTAAATGACACTCATCCATCATTAGCTATTCCAGAATTAATGAGAATTCTTGTAGATATTGAAGGAATTGACTGGGAGAAGGTAAGGAATTCATGAGAATACTTGTAGATATTGAAATAAAATTGAACCATGTTTATCCTGAAGGGGGGTTGGATGGCCGAATGGTTAACACGTGCGTACTGTATCATAAAGCCTGTCATTGAGTCAACTGGCGTGGTTTCGAATCCCCGGTTGTACGTGACAAGGAGTAGGGTCGCCTGTCCAACCTCGTGGGTTTTCTCCGGGTCCTCCGGTTTCCTCCCACTACTAAAGACCCCTACGCGCAAGCGAATTATTGAAATAAAATTAAAACCATATGTTAGTCCCGAAATGACCTAGTTTGTGTCGAGTGGACGTTAAACCCCATTTCTTTCTCTCTCTGTTTTTCCTGAAATCACCCAGTTTGTGTGAGTCGACATTAAATCTCTCTCTCTCTCTCCCTCTCTCTCTCCCTCTCTCTCTCTCTCTCCCTCTCTCTCTCCCTCTCTCTCTCTCTCCCTCTCTCCCTCTCTCTCTCTCCCTCTCTCTAATACAAGTGTGTTGTACTGTATATAATATGTTTTATTTGTAGGCGTGGACTATAACGGTGGCAACATGTGCTTATACCAATCATACAGTATTACCTGAAGCTTTAGAAAGATGGCCGGTATCTTTATTACAGAGAGTTTTACCACGTCATCTTGATATCATGTACGAGATTAATCAACGATTCATGGATGTAAGTTCTCCATTTTATTATTGGTGCGCCCTCTTTCACGAAAACCTTGTGAACGAAATAGACAACAGAGGGTAGTTATTTATATTATTGGAGTGCCCTCTTTCCCGAACACTTTGTGAATGCAATAGAGGCTAGTTATTTATATTATTGGAGTGCCCTCTTTCCCGAAGACCTTGTGATTGCAATAGTGGCTAGAGCTTTTAAAAGATTTTTGTCATCTTTTATATGAAGCATTGTGATGCATTTCCCCTGTTCTCTGTCCATCTCTAACAAAATTCAATTGGCATGGTTTCGATTCCCTGGTTGTACGTGACAAGGAGTAGGGTCGCCTGTCCAACCTCGTTGGTTTTCTCCAACTGCTGTAGACCCCTATACGCAACTGAATTATTTTAAATAAAATTGAACCATGTGTTATTCCCGAAATGGCCTAGTTTGTGTCGAGTGGACGTTAAACCCCATTTCTCTCTCTCTCTCTAGCAAAATGTGGTCATATGTTTTAACTGCCAACTGTTGCAAGTGATGCAATTTAATATGTATTTATGTTTAGCATTATAATAAGTTATGGAGTTGTCAGTTACTGTATATAATATGTAATATAATATATATTTAACTTAATTTACTATTACAACATAATGACACAACAATATGATTTACTGTGTTTGACATCATTTAACATATATAACTCAACGATACAACTTACTGTAAATGAAATCATTAAAATTAGGTATTTTCCTGAAATTAATAACCTTATATATATCAAATGTTGATGAATATTTATTTTAACGTCCGTCTGTCAATAATTGGCTTGTGAACTTTTTCATATTTTGTGTTAAGCATTATGGTCGTGAGAGGCCGAACCCTAGCGATATTCAACGTTCTGCGATCTTCCATGCCCGCTATATTTTTTTGTTTATATATTAAAGGGGACATTATAGGTAATATTAGATAAAGAGCTGACAGTTCTTGCTATAATCATTAAAAAAATAGATAATGAAAACAGGAAATGCAGAAAATTTCAGTCAAATTGCTTCAGTATGAACCAAGATATTAACAAATGAATTTTAGGCTAGTCTCAATCATCATGACTAGCGTTGGTTCTATAATAAACAAAGTCTTGATTATCCATTTTTACGTTAAATTATTCATCACAAACTCAGTGACCGCCCTAGATTCTTAAAACCTTTAGCCAAATTTTTAGCCAAATCAAAATTTTATTAGCCAATTCAGAAAGTTTTAGCCAAATATTTTATATCATTTTATTCATATGTTTGTTAATTAAAAATGAAAATAAATGTTTAATATGTACTTATATAGTACACAAGAATGTTATTTTATCTCCTTGACTGTCAAAAAGTTCACATTATGGAGAGAATGAATGCAGATAACAAAAAAATGTTTATAGGATAAATTACTTCACAGCCACATGATTTAGTTCATCCTTAGAACAGAAAAGACACCACGATTCTTTGTAACACACCACTGATCAAATGCTTTGACAAATTCAAAATTTATGCTTTCCGGTCCATCCATTTTTATAAGCATGAGGTCATTGAGGGTTAGCTCGACGGTCTCGGTTAAGGTCTTGTTTTTGTCCACATGTTGATGAAGCCAACGATTACGAAGGACTCGCGTCCGAGATGACACTCTCACTCACGGAAGTAGATTCTGGACTAACAGTAGTCGTTGGAAGTAAAAAAGGAATCTATCCTTATTTTTGGTTTACTAGTATTAGTTGTCATTATTGTGCGTTTTATTTATTTGCTGCGTAAGTAAAGAAAACTTGTAGTGAAGCGAATGTATACAACGCAGTGCCACACAAAAGGGGCGTAACGTAACTGTGTTTTACAGTCTCGAGACTCGATCTTTCGGTCGTTTTAATGCGTAACCATTGACTGATTTGCGACTTGTAAGATTGAGACTAGAGTAATTAATATACTAAAAATAGACACTCCATCGAGTCGATCGAAAGAAGCGTTGAACGAGACGATTTCAAGTTTAATATTAGCAGATTTACGAAATAACACTCTCTAAAATTCATTCGCCAAATTTTTCGCCAGTATCATCACTTTATTTGCCAATAAAAATAATTGTCGCCATTGGCGAATGTCTAGGCGGTCACTGCTGAAACTGTATCCCAATCCACTAAACATTGCTGGCATAAGATGGCATCAAGAGTTGATTATGGTCTGGATAAGTTAATTAATGCCTAATAAATAATTTAGATAACATTTCAGGCTTAAATAAAGACCTGTATTAGGCAAATTTACCTCTTGCATAATGCAAATGGGGTGGGGGCTGGGTGACCGAATGGTTAGCATGTGTGCGCTGTATCATAAGCCAACCTCGTAGCTTTTCTCCAGTTTCCTCCCACTGCTAAAGACCCCTACGCCCAAGCAAATTATTGAAATAAAATTGAACCATATGTTAGTCCCGAAATGAACTAGTTTGTGTCAAGTGGCCGTTAAGCCCCATTTCTCTCTCTCTCTCTCTCTCTCTCTCTCTCTCTGTTTAAGCAAGGTACCTGGAAGAATACTGTATATTATTTTGAGATATACCATATTTTATTTCAGCTTGTAAGAACGAAATTTCCTGGTGATAACGATAGGTTGAGAAGAATGTCAGTAGTTGAGGAGGAAGGAGAAAAAAGAATTAACATGGCGTTTTTAGCTATAATAGGATCTCATGCTATTAATGGTGTAGCTGCCATACATTCAGAAATTATCAAAACTCACACGTTAGTACCTTCTTATTATAGATTGGTTCCCCCTTGTCAGTGGTGCAAGATGGAGGGTTTCACAAGGACAGCTGTCTAGTCATTCGAATGGGATGAAAAACCAAAACTCCTGTGTTTACATTGGGTTGTATGTAAAAGATCCCTTGACAGTTTGAATGTGATATAAGAGTAGGCTGTAGCGATGCTATCTGGGAAAATTTTCTCTCATATCACATGGTGTATGCCCATCTACATTAGCCCAGTCAGAGCAGAAAATTAGGACTTTAAACCCTATTTCATTTATTATAGATTTAGTTTATAAATGGGGAGGTTTAAGGGTTTTCCCCACCCCAGTACTAACTTATAGATTTATGTCATAATGAGGGGTTTAAATCCCTTTTATCTTGTTAGAATACTCCTTTAATCTAATTGTTTTTGAGATGATCAAACACAATTTCCTCAATTGAAACTATTTTGTTATCTTCATCTTTGAAATTTTATTTAAATTATATTTAAATTATATTTAAATTACTTTCAGATTCAAAGACTTCTATGAAATAATATTTAAATTATATTTAAATTATATTTAAATTACTTTCAGATTCAAAGACTTCTATGAAATTATATTTAAATTACTTTCAGATTCAAAGACTTCTATGAAATTTTCCCTGAACGTTTCCAGAATAAAACTAATGGTATTACTCCACGTAGATGGCTATTGTTATGTAATCCTGGTCTATCAGATGTTATTGCTGAGGTAAATATCATATTTTATAGGTCTATTGTCATTATTGAATTTACATGACATTTTATTAGCTCTGCTATGTAATCCTGGGGCCTGTTTCACGAAATTTTTAACCAAGATAAAATCCAAATTTTAGTAATTTGATTGGATAATATTAGATTGATTTTAGTGCTTAGCCAATCAAAATTGAAGGATTTTATCTTTAGTTAAAATTTCGAGAAACAGGGCCCTGGTCTATCCGATATTATTGCTATGGTTAATATTAAATTTAAATTACATATTTCCAGATTTATCATCAGGCATGGGCTCTGTTGATGTCTGTATTGATGGGTCAAAGGTTAAATACAGACCTATTAGTTACTGCTGGTCGCTCAAAATTTATTCGATTTACCGTGATTTCACCTCATTGTTATATCAAGGCTGTTTAACTTAAATCGTAAAATACGAGACATATCTACCAAGCAATGGGTCTGATATATTCCTGAAGCAATGGCCTGAGAAATCCCTCTCTGGCCATTGCTGAATTGGCTTCTGATACTTGAGCTTTTGAGGGAGTATGTCTATATTCTTCCCGTTCAATCAAATCTATCCCAAGTACAGCAACATGACAGCCCTTCGTTTAATCTGGAGTCTTCCCTAAAACTTTGGTACAGAAATTTGCTTCGTTTACAGCAGTGTTAAGTGGGATTGGCTCTAATCAAACGAAACACTGCGAGGAGTATGATAGGCCTGATGTATATGTTTTAACTTTCTAATTTATATCAATTTATTATAGAAAATAGGAGAAACCTGGGTAACACAACTAAGTGAACTTCGAAAACTAGAACCATTTGCTGATGATGAAAATTTACTTCGACAAATCATGAAAGTCAAACAGGTAAAAAACTGGATCTCCTTATAGAAGCTCTATGAAACTGAAAGTAGTAGAACTCTTAAACCAGATGTTGCCACTAGGCATGTGGCACCTCCCAGCTTGTACTACCCTTGTACCCTAAAAAATCTCCCTGCCACAAACAGCCAAACCACAATCACAAAAATATATATTAAGATGGGGGGCCACTTTGGCTGAGTGGCTGGCTAACCTGAGGGTCCTGTGTTTGATTCCGGTGTTGGTCAAGAAAGTTCATTGAGATTTTTTGGCGTAGTTCCCGTTTGGCCAATTGGGTGCAGGTCTGAGGGTCTGGCAGGGGTAAAAGTAGTCGTTCAGATGAGATGAAATACGAAGGACCTGCGTACACATTGGCATGCATGTATAGGAACCCTTGACAGTTGGAAATCGATATAAGAGTAGGCGATAGTGCCGCTGTCCGGGTAAAATTCCCCTCGTGGGAAACTGTATGGCATATGCTTATCTTCATTAGCCCAGTTGGAGCAGAACAGTAGGACGTTAAACCCCATTTCATTTCTTTTAAGAACAATCAGCATATATGATAATCTCATCTGTATCTAGTTGTGAGAAGATGGGTATATTCATTAAAAAATAAAATGGGGTTTAACATCCTACCTTTCTGCACCAACCGGGCTAATGAAGACAAGCAGATGCCATGCAATGTTTCTTACCAATCTTGTTCAGATATCCAGAATAAACTCACCGTAAATACTCGGGTTTATAAAAATAATGCACCGTACTCATGTGAACGTATATATTGTCGTCGCTCCTGTCCATCTGTCATCTCTTGAAAGAAGGGGTAGGATGGCCGAATGGTTAACGTGTTACGTGGTATGATAAGGTATGTCATTGAGTCAGCTGGCGTGGTTTCGATTCCCTGGTTGTACGTGACAAGGAGTAGGGTCGCCTGTCCAACCTTGTGGGTTTTCTCCGGTTCCTCTGGTTTCCTCCCACTGCTAAAGACCCCTATGCGCATAATTAAATTGAAACATATGTTAGTCCTGGAATGACCTAATGTGTGTTGAGTGGAGGTTAAACCCCATTTCTCTGTGTCATCGTTAATCTGATGTGTAACTTCCACCCTCTCTCTCTCTCTCTCTCATCACTTGTAAAATATGTGGTATCTTGCATAGCAACCAATTGTTCCATTGTGGCCCCTATTGTAAGAGCCTTATTTATTTATATATAATTTGATGTAATTATAATTTCAGGAGAATAAAATGAAACTAGCAGCCCATATACAACAGAAGTATAACGTAACTATTAATCCAGCTTCAATGTTTGATATGCAAGTTAAACGTATCCATGAATATAAACGTCAATTAATGAATTGTTTCCATATTATTACACTCTATAACAGATTAAAGAAAGATCCAGCCATGAAATTTGTACCTAGAACTATCATGATTGGAGGCAAAGTAAGATACTATTTTATTATTTCAATATGGTTTAAAAGGTTACTGCTATTCTCTGTGGGGGGTTGGATGGCTGAATGGTTAGCACGTGCGTGCTGTATCATAAAGTCTGTCATTGAGTCAACTGGCATGGTTTCGAATCCCCGGTTGTACGTGACAAGGAGTAGGGTCGCCGGTCCAACCTCGTGGGTTTTCTCCGGGTCCTCCAGTTTCCTCCCACTGCTAATGACCCCTACGCGCAAGCAAATTATGGAAATAAAATTGAACCATGTGTTAGTCCCGAAATGACCTAGTTTGTGTCGAGTGGACGTTAAACCCCATTTCTCTCTCCCCCTCGCTATTCTCTGTATCTCTGACTCTGTATTTGATTTATTATGCTGACTCTGTATTTCTGACTCTGTATTTGATTTACTATGCTGACTCTGTATTTCTGACTCTGTATTTGATTTATTATGCTGACCCTGTTTTTGTAACTCTGACTCTGTATTTGATTTATTATGCAGACTCTGTATTTGAGCTGTTATTTTTAACTGTTATTTTTATATTAACTTGTTTTTTTTCTGATTCTATGTTTGACTGTTATTCTGACCCTGTATTTGACTCATTCTGACTGTGTAATTGACTGCTGACTATTATTTCAGGCTGCCCCTGGTTACTACATGGCTAAACTGATTATAAAACTAATCAACAACGTAGCTAACGTTATAAACAACGATCCTATTATTGGTGATCGCCTTAAAGTTATCTACTTAGAGAATTACAGGGTTTCATTGGCTGAGAAGATTATACCTGCTGCCGATCTTAGTGAACAAATTTCTATGGCTGGAACGGAAGCTTCTGGTACTGGTAACATGAAATTTCAGGTCAGTTAATCAACTTATTGCCCTTGATTATCATACAAACGTATAGGGGATACTCGATTGAACGTTCCGGAATTAAATTCTCTTAATAGTGTCAATCCAGTGAAAAGGAGAATTCAGGAGTACAATGCATGTGCCGACTGCATAAAAATATATCTCAACCAATCATGGCAGCTGAAACATATTTGTTACTTAAAATACATCACGATTCTACTCACACCACCTCAGCTGTCGGGACTGGAAGAACTGTGACACAACTAAATTCCATATCACTAGAATGCAATATGTCAATTCGGGAGGTTCCGGATTGACAATCGAGCACCCACTATATATTCTACTGTAAAATGATTTTACTCTTTTTTCTTAGATTAAACAATGTGATGACCTTAATGGACTGCACAGACAACTTAGCAGCTGTGTGCATGTGCATAAGATAGCCGGGGGGGGGGGGGGGGGGGGTGAATGGCCGAATGGTTAGCATGTGCGCGCTGAATCATAAGGCCTGTCATTGAGTCAACTGGCGTGGTTTCGAATCCCTGGTTGTACGTGACAAGGAGAAGGGTTGCCTGTCCAACCCAACCTCATGGGTTTTCTCTTGGTGCTTCGGTTTCCTCCCACTGCTAAAGACCCCTACGCGCATGCAAATTCCCGAAATGACCTAGTCTGTGTCGAGTGGACGTTAAACCCCATTTCTATCTATCTATAAGATAGCGAGCTAGTCGTTCAGGACACTGAACCCAACATTGTAACAGGCTTAGAAGACAATTATAATGTCGAGACTACGATATATGCTTGATAACGACTTGTGAAACCTTGTTGAAACGTCACAGTGAAATAAACCATAGTAATTGTTATCCATAAAAAGTGTGTTTTTGATTATGTTCCAATTACTAAATGCCATTCAAAGAATAAAGAAGATATTGAAGCGCCACTGTCCAGATAGAATTTGACTCAATTCACACTGCATGGTGTATACCCGTCTTCATTATCCCAGTCGGTGCAGAACAGTAGGACGTTAAACCTCATTTCACTTTATTTTAGTTGAATGGAGCTTTGACTATTGGTACATTAGATGGAGCTAATGTTGAGATGAGAGAAGAAATGGGTGCTGATAATATATTTATATTTGGTATGACCGTCGAGGAAGTAGAAGAATTAGATAAACGAGGGTAGGTTTTAATAAAATTACATCAAGTCTGGTATTAAGGCACCTGTCAGACACAATCACTTTGGTGGCTGTCACTTTGTCTATTTACATTGTTCTTATTGATACCAATAAATGTAAAGGAACTTAAGCTAAATACTGCGGCTAGAAATGTCATATTACATCACTATTAAAGGATTTATATTGGCTTCAAGTGAAAAGCAGAATGAAATTCAAACTTTTGTACATAACTTACAAATGTCAGAAAGATGAAGCACTAGATTTCCTGTTTTCAATCTTCAGTTCTTGTATCCCTCTGTTCCTCAAAGAAATCTTCTATTCCAACATGAACTATGTTTTGTGGTGCCTAACTATAGACTGAAGTCTTTCGGTCATAGATGCTATTCCTACACTGTAGGATGGGGAGATAACTCTTCATATTATCTCCCCTTACACCACATGCATCAACGTCTTATTTGAGGTACCAGTCACTAAATATTATTGAAACTAAATATTATTTATTCAACATTATACTGTCAACAATTTAAGGAAAGGAACCCAGTTGTACAAAACACACCTACCTAAAGCTTTGCTCCCCCCCCCCCCCAAGCCTGTATAATAATCAGTCTAGTAAACAGTAGTATGTAATTATATGCTTGCCCCCCCCCCCCCCCTGTATATTAATCAGTCTAGTATGTAATTATATGCTTTATTTAATTTGGGTGGGTGGGGGGTAGATAGAAGAAACAGCCTTTATTTAAAGGGGGGGGGGGAGAAGAAGCCTTTATTTAATGGGAGGGGGGGCAGTTGGGGAGAGAAGAAGCTTTTATTTAATGGGGGGGGGAGAGAAGAACCCTTTATTTAATGGGGGGGGGGGGGAGAAGAAGCCTTTATTTCTCCAAAGTCAATCTTAGGAAGTGTTTATATAATCTTTATAATGGTGTATATTTATATATTTGTAGTTATGTACCACGTGTATATTATGAGAAGAATGCTGAATTACGTCAAGTTATGGATCAAATTAATACAGGTTATTTCTCACCTGAGAATCCAGATCTCTTTAAAGATATATTTAATAGTCTCATGCATACTGACAGGTACGTAGTCGACATCTTTGTTTTGGGTTTTTGTCTCCTATGAAATATTTTGTTTCATCACTTCAATGAAATCAGCTAATATCCCAAACTTAACAAAGGGATCATTTCAACTGAATGGAATATTTTAGTTATCAATCGAATCTATAACGATAAAATCAGCCCAGGTGGGAACTCCTCTGTCCAGTCAATATGGCGTATACCCCGTCGTCATGATCATTAGCCTAGTTGGTGCACAACAGTAGGACGTTAAACCCCATTTCATTGCATTTTACCTTGAGATAAAAATATGGTATTTCCATGTTTTATCCCGGAATGGTGTGTTGTTATTTAATTGGTAAGAACTAATGGTTAATGTAATGGTGTTATTAATTAGTGTTGTTGTTGTGGTAAAAACTAATGTTTTATCCCGGAATAGTGTGTCGTTGTTTAATTGGTAAAAACTAATGTTAATTGTAATATATGTTTTTAATTTGCTTGTGTTTAGATTCCGATTATTGGCTGATTTTGAATCGTATGTTGAATGTCAAGATAAAGTTAGTGAGCTATTCAAGGTAAACATATATTTTAATACTTTTAACAATTTTATCATCAAACTTCATATCTCTAGTTAGCAATCCAGGTAGTCTGTGAAGTTAGCAATCCAGGTAGTCTGTGTAGCTTGACTTGAGTGGTTGAGAAATTGACCGGCATGAGAACTTACTTGACATAAAGTCAGAATTTAAAACCTAATTTAACCTTAAATGACTCTCGGTGAACAAGAAATAAAACCCTATGAAACACTTGTCTGGGACTAGAAATTAGGCAACTTGTTTTAGTCATATTTACCAGATCGAGGGTGGATGGTTAACTTGCCCCTGCTAAATACCCCTATGAGAAAGTGAATTATAAGGGGGTTGGATGGCCGAATGGTTAACGTGTACATGTTGCTTCACAAGGTCTGTTATTGTGTCAAGTGTAGTAGGGTCGTCTGTCCAACCTCATCGGTTTTCTCCGGGTTCTCTGGTTTGCTCCCAGTGCTAAAGACCCCTACACACAAGCTAATTAATATAAAATTGAAACCTATGTTAGTCCCGAAATGACCTAGTTTATGTCGAGTGTACGTTAAACCTGTCAGTCAATCTACATGTGATAAAGTTAGAAATTAAAACCTAGTTTAATGTTAAAACTCTCTCGGTGCGTTGATTCAATTGTATTTTATTATCAATCCAGAAATTGAATAATTGCCAGAAAAAAATGGGTAAAATTTGGTTGTTTTTTGTTGTTTTATTGAGAGTGTAAAATCAGTTTTACAAATTTCATTTTACTTGTGTGCATGTTTATTGGTCACATATTTTAAAAAACCTCAGAAACCATTTGACATTTTAAAAAAATAAAATTGAGGATTTTAGTGAACTAGACCATGGTATTTTTATATTTCAGGATCAGATGGCATGGGCTAAGAAATGTTTATATAACATCGCAGCATCTGGTAAATTCTCTAGTGATCGTACTATCGGAGATTACGCCCGAGACATCTGGGGTGTTGAACCGACAAATATTAAACTACCTGCTCCCCATGAAAAAGCAGACCCCGATACCATTTAGATCTTGTGATATTAGTCGAAATTCTTTAGTTATTTCATAACTTTACACTACTGAGGGATCTTTATTCCTTCTTTTTAGAAATAGGGAAAAAAAAAAATCAATGAATTCTGATTGTTAGCTTACATATTTTCTTAGAGCTTTTTTTTAGGTTTAAACGCCATTATTTCGGGAGATAGATTTTGTTATAAGAATCAAGTTTTTCTAAATACTGACTAGAGGCCTACGCAGTAATCAACTGATTAAAGCCTCATAGCAGTATCATTAAATTATAATAGCCACCAACATCCAGTGTTTGCATGCAGCTCTAATATATTATACTCTAGCCATTTTCAAACTTATTGAACCGTAATCTTACAAACCACCACTGTTCTGTAAATATCTTCAAGGAACTGGTCAGATATTCAATATTTACATGTTCCTAGTGCTATTACTATAATGATATACATCATAACATTACTCATTCACAAAAACAATTATAGGTTCACTGATTCAAACATTTTTTAAAAATTGAATGCTTTGTTAGAAAAATTGGTTTTCAGTTTGCAAATAATTTTATTTACCTCATATGATTAAAGCGTTGTGCCGTGGAGCTAGTCTAATCGTGTGGTTGTTTCCTTTTTGATTCGTTCTATCACATCCAGTCAGATATTATCTCCCAAACACTTCGGGGGTGGAACCATTAAACTTTTGTTAAACTCAACTTTCAAGTTTTACACGTATATTTATAAAATGGTATGATAGACAATTAAAAATTCATTCAGAACGCGAATTGATTTTGGCTTGTAATTAAGAAACCCAAAACAAAATATTGACAATCAATAATCTACTGATTTGGATTGAAAAGTTAGTACTGTCTACAGAATTCCAGTTCATCATATCTTTGGTTATACGAAATTGAACCATTTTTAGAGATTCAACTTTTACAATATTGTAGGATAACAAACGACTCAAAATCTCTGAAATCCTGATCAACAGTTTGAAATTGAGTATAATAATAATAAAAAGCTTCATGTCACCCCCATCTGTGTTTTGTGGACTTGTTTTGTTCCAGACTTGATCATTGTTAGTGTATATCATTCATCATAGAAGTTTAGATAAATTAACACAAATTTTATAGTCAGGTTCAAAAGCAATCATAATATTGGTGTGTATTTAAGCTAACATTTTGAAGAATTAGTTCTCTGTTTGACTCGGGCAGATGTGAAATTAATTCAACTATTCAGTATTATTTTATCATTCTGTTGTAAAATTTTCTACCCAATTTTTTTAATAGAATGAAATTAAAACGAAATCCAGTGTATGATTGTTAGGGGTGGGGTGGGGGAGAGGTTAGTTTTATAGATAGGGGTGGGGGAGAGGTTAGTTTTTATTTCTACAATATTCCTGTAAATGTTTAACAAGTTTGTGACCATGGCTCTTGTTTCAGTTGTATTGACCAGTATTGACTGACTGATGTTGAAATTAACTGATTGGAAAACTGACCTGTTAGTCAATTTATTTACATGTCATTAAATTAGATATTTCAATCTTTAAAACAATAAATAGAGTTCAATTTACATTTGTAGTGCCTAAAAACACTTAAAAATATACATATTATTGGTATAATGCTAAAAATATACATATTATTGGTATAATGCTAAAATACAAATTATTGGTAGAATGCTAAAAATATACAAATTATTGGTAGAATGCTAAAAAGTCTTTGGAAAAAAATATCTTGCTAATCCATAATAAACAAAAATTAACTGACTGGCAAACTTTTGAAATGGAAGCCCTGGTACTGACTTGGTTCAACTTCTTTTTGTTATCGTTATTGTTATTTTTTTCTTGAATTGAAAGTGCTACATATATTACAAAATTACACAAGCAGTTGTACGCCAAAGTTTCATCATTTAGCAGTTGTACGTCAAAGTTTCATCATTTAGCAGTTGTACGTCAACGTTTCAACAATTAATAAAACTACTGACAAATGAACCTAGTATATGAGCTGAGTTCTTGCCAAAATGTAAAAATTTGTACATTAACCCCTGGTATTCAAGAACGTTAATTAGGAGCTGGGTCAGGCTAAGATTTTGTAGGTCCCTGGCGAACAGTTCAAATCTGGTAAATTATTACCCATGGACCTCCCTTTATAGGTTCTATACGGTACAGTGTTTCTGTTTGCTGTAGAATGTTTACGACAAAGGTATATGAATTGAACTCGTTAGAGTAAGGTATTTATATCTTGATTCAGGATTAACACATGAAATATTTAATCACTTGATCTCTGGAGCTGTCTAGCGGGCGGAGAATTCGGTGCTGCAGCGGTAGTCGACCTCTAAAACCTCATGCTTTAATCTGATCCAGATACTAGAACTAAACCAAGATATCAGTAACCATTACCCCGATTAATATCAAGAATTGACCTACCCCTAATTAATGTTCAAGAATTGACCTACCCCTAATTAATGTTCAAGAATACGGCTCTTATTGTTAGTATATTCAGCTTTACTTTGTACAGCATCACATCAAAAAAAACCAAAAAAAATACTAGAATTTTTTAAGGGTGTTTTTTTTTTATCTTCTTCATGTGGTATAAAATTGTTTGTGTAAATTTCATTTTGATAAATATACATGTGTTTTGTGATTGTATGTTTTTATTAGAACTAAAAATAGACATTTGTTATACTTGTACACTTAGCAATGATATTTATTACAATCATGTATACACGCTCTTGATTTAATATTGAACACCAGTAGCCTAGCACAGCCAGACAACACCTGTTGGTGCCTAGCACATCCAGACAGCAACTGTTGGTACCACGAGGTGGAATATTACAGACAAAAGACAGCACTGTTGTAGTTTTCGCAATATGAGCGACCATCATTATTCAACAAGGAGACTATGGACATCCAAGACAACAAGCAGTTGATTCTATGGTAGCAATCTTCAATTGTTTATATTCAAACAGCAGAAGTGACGTCTTTGTTCCAGTACCTGAGTGTATAGGCTGGGGAACATGTTCAGGAACGTGTTCAGGACTGTGTTAGTCAAAGAGTTAATAGAACTACATATTGTTTTAGGTATATGTTTGATATTTAATATTTCTTCCTGGTTGTTTATCAGTTTTGCTCAATAAAACGTTAAAATAGATATTGTACATTTTATCTAGAATTAAGCATAGCCTGCCCTGTGTTCGACCCCTGCCACTACTTTATATTGATTAATGAAGGCTATACAGTTGTACTAATCTGTAATGAACAACTGCCAATTTTGAGATAATATTATTAAAACGTTTTCTTCAATCCTTTTCTTCAATCCATTTCATTTTCACTGTTATTATATAGAACAAAAAATATTGTTATTGCATACTACTTTTATTATATTTAATTAATAACAAATGTGAGACTTGTTAAAAGAGTCTACATAAATATAGTCTCAATTGACATGTCATTGAATGAATCATGTTAGAATAAGCTTGACTGTAACCAAAGTATTATTAGTTTAGTTGTGGCGTATCTTCTGTTATTACCATGTAGATTACAAATCACAATTTTGCTCCTACTCTAGAAGTCTACAAACTAGGCAATATTTCCTTATAATAACTCATATTTATAATCACTTCATGCATTCAAAACGGGGGGCAGGATTGCCGAATGGTGAGCATGTGCGCGCTGTATCTTGAGGTCTGTCATTGAGTCAACTGGCGTGGTTTCGATTCCCCAGTTGTACGTGACAAGGAGTAGGGTTGCCTGTCCAACCTCGTGGGTTTTCTCCGGGTCCTCCGGTTTCCTCCAACTGCTAAAGACCCCTATGTGCAAGCGAATTATTGAAATAAAATTGAACCATGTGTTAGTCCCAAAATGACCTAGTTTGTGTCGAGTGAGTGGACGTTAAACCCCATTTCTTTCTCTCTCGCATTCAAAATGATATTTCAAGTCAACTATCCAGAGATAATATCAATTCATGATTTGGGATAATTGGTTATGGTAACCCAGTTTGCCACGATATTTGATTCCATTTTCCAAGAAATGATATGAAAAAAAATGGGGTTTAACATCCTACTGTTCTGCTCCGAACTGGGCTAATGAAGACGGGCCATTATCCAAGAAAAAAATAGTTATGTTTATGGTTATTACACTTCAACAAGATTTTATGAGTTGTTGTCAAGCAAGTATTATAAGTCAATTGCTAAATACCTCTCAAGAATTCAATAATTAGTTTAGTTGATTTGGAATATTCACATGTTTTAAGCTGATATCCACATGTTTTAAGCTGATATCCACATGTTTTAAGCTGATATCCACATGTTTTAAGCTGATATCCACATGTTTTAAGCTGTGTGGATGTAATAGTAGAGAGAGATTAGAGTGTGATGTATGAGATATAAATATGTTTAAGAGTAAAGAGTAGGAGCCATGTTGTGATGTGTAATTCTAGTGGTATATAGTCAGTAGTGTGTATTATTATTGGGATGTTAATATAATGTTCGTATCGGTATATAATATGTTTATTGGTGTTAATATAACTTTATCTACTTGTAAAACTTACCCAGCGTCAATTAAACCTTATAAAATATCAACCAGCGTTTGTTTAAACTAGGGGGTTGGATGGCTGAATGGTTAGCATGTGCACGCTGTATCATAAAGTCTGTCATTGAGTTGACTGGCGTGGTTTCGAATCCCCGGTTGTACGTGACAAGGAGTAGGGTCGCCTGTCCAACCTCGTGGGTTTTCTCCGGTTTCCTCCCACTGCTAAAGACCCCAATGCGCAAGCGAATTATTGAAATAAAATTAAACAACATGTTAGTCCCGAAATGACCTAGTTTGTGCCGAGTGGACGTTAAACCACATTTCTCTCTCTCACTTTGTTTAAAGTAAGTGTTGACCTACTAGTCTAAAGTAGTGTTTCCCACGCTGGAGTTCTATTAATAGGAAAGATGATCATCTTGCTATGGGTAGATAGATATACCATATTGGATCAAAATGAACATTAAAGATGACAAATTGTGAAATGAAATGAAATGGGGTTTAACGTCCTACTGTTTTGCTCCGAACTGGGCTAATGAAGACGGGCATACGCCATACAGTGTGCTACGAGGGAAATTTTGCCCGGACAGTGGCACTATCGCCTACCCTTATATCGAATTCCAACTTTTTCGGCCAATGTAGGGATTGAACACTCGACCTCCAGGCTAGAGAGCCAGCGTCTTACCCACTTAGCCACCGTGACAAATTGTAACATGCACACAAAGTCCTTAAACCATTAACAAAGATTCTGTGACAAATTGTAACATCATTAATCCTTTAGCACTAACTAGGGCTCCTTACAGTGCCCCAAACCCCCTCGTCACGTGCCCAGGTGTCACGTTCACACAAACTAGTAAATGGTCAAAAAGATATTCAGGTGGTCTAAGAAACAGCTGTTGTGATGTGTCTAGGGTTGTACTGGAGTAGTCAGTATTTACGTGTAGCAAGTCCTAAAGGGTTAATTGGAAATCAAACTGAATCAAGTACATGTCTTCAGAGATTTTTAAGATGTTGTAAGGGATCAGCGCTGGACTTCGATCCCAAGCTTGTTTGTGACCTTACGGGGATTCCCATGTTTCCTCCCGCTGCTAAAGACCTCTATTATTAATACAAGCATAGGCGTACGAGCCATGGGGCAGGGAGGGGCAGCTGCCCCCCCCCCCCTAACTTTCGGGCAAGCTGACTTTTCGGGCAGACGGGTAAAGTGAAAAAAAAAATTTTCTTTCGTCTACTTGGCAAAATAAAGTGCTCGAAATCTAATAATACACTAATTTTACGGGCTGGAATAGCAGTAAAACGCTTTGCGGCCGTCAAATAATCCAAAATTTTCTTGGGGGGTCCATACAAGGTCAGCTCCGCTTCTTCACCTCTCAAAGAAAACCGGCGCCGCTGTCTATAAACCCGAAATTTTTCAGGCATTTCTAGTTTTGCTTTGTTGTTATTGAATATCACGAATTTGTTGACTATGGATTAAAACATTTTGTCTGGAGCCACTCTACTTTGTGCGACATTTTTCGGGCATCGATTATTATTTGTGAATGCAGCTGCAACAGTCTGATTGGATGATTTGAATTCAGAATGGTATTTCGGTTACAAAACCATTGGATACTTTTGGAGTTGCTTACATGGGCTAGAATAGCAGAAAACGCATTTGCGCTGGTTAAATTTTCAAAAATTTCTCCGGGAGGGTGTATCCCCCATACCCCGCGGCGATTGATTGGTTGTTTGGAATTCGGGTCAGCCAGGTAGGCTATATTGGACCAAATTGAAGTTGCCGTATTCACAGGCTGGAATAGCAGGAAAATGCGTTTGCGGCAGTTAACTTTTCGTGGATTGTAAACGATTGATTGGAATTTGAGTCAGACACCTAAGTTAGGCTACTATATTAGACCAAATTTGAAGTGGCTTTGTTCACGGGCTGAAGTAGCAGGAAAACATGTTTGCAGCCGTCAAATATTCCAAAATTTCCATTGGAGGGTGGGTGTGGGAGTGCGGGGGTCCATACAAGGTAAGCTTTGCTTCTTCGCCTCTCGAGGAAGACCGGCACCGCTGTCCGTAAACCCAAAATTATTTCGGGTTCTGCCCCCCTAACTGTCATCAAGCGCGTACGCCTATGAATACAAGCCAATTAACAGTCCCCCATCGTTTTCCCAAAATAAAGACATGTACATGTAGATGACACATATAAAGGAATTGCACATTCATCATTAAACAACTTAAAATACAGACATTTGCACATGCTTTGCAATGAAATACGTCACTCAGATTCAATATTTTAACTAGTTACACTTGTCACATTGCCCGTACAATTATTTGAAATAATGATACACCAACATCAAAGGATGATGTCACATCTGTATTTTAACTATACTTAGTCTAAAATTAAAAGCAGAGTTGTTATGTTTCAAAGTTTTGACCAATCAAATTGCTTATCGTTCCTTAGCCTAAGCAGAAAATTTTCACCATCGATCTTAGTCAAGGTATTGATATAATGAATCTATATTCAGAGTTTCATCCCTCTCACCATATTAGAATCAAAGTTATCATGTTCATCAACCAATCAAATTGTTTGGCCTTAGTGGAAAATGCGCATGATGGAACTCTGTCAAAGTGACACCAACACCAAGTTTGAACATTCTACCTAAATTAGAAGGAGAGTTATTGTGTTCCAAAAAGTGACAGACAGATGGACAGACCCAATATAATAAACACCTGCTTTCTTCGGAAAAGGTGGGGGGAGGAACGATAATGTACCAAAATATTTGAATTAATTTTTGCTAGACTCTTTCCAATTCCTATATCCAATATGTTGGTCTCAGAATGACCTAGTCTGAGCTGACCAAACACCATGATTATATAAATCTTGATAGGGGGTATAAAAATATACTTATTTCATTTCACACATTGGCTCACTAACAACAAGGTCCTTGGTACCATCGTTAGGGAAGACAGAGGGTCTGGCAAGAAAAAGGATCTAGTCATTAAAAGAAGAGAAGGCTGTAGTGCGTGCTAGTGTCAATATCAAGGTGTGATTTCTCTGATTGAACACTGGTATCGTAGCGTCACTATCAAGGTGTGATTTCTCTGATTGAACACTGGTATCGTAGTGTCACTATCAAGGTGTGATTTCCCTGATTGAACACTGGTATCGTAGCATTACTATCAAGGTGTGATTTCCCTGATTGAACACTGGTATCGTAGCGTCACTATCATGGTGTCATTTCCCTGATTGAACACTGTTATCTGATATTAAAACACTACTGCATCTCAGTAATTTTATTTCACATTTAAACAGTGAATCATAACAAATGATAAAATAACAGAAAAATATATATTTATTGTCTTCTAGACAGATATAAAGGTCACAATAGATAAATATACATTTATTGTCTTCTATTTCTTTTGTCTGCGATATCACCTCGGTGGAAGCGGACGTAAAATACAACTAACTAACAACAACAACTTCCATTTCTATCAATTTTAAGATAAATGTGAAGACATGCAGTAGGCCGATTTACCTCTTAAAGTTGCAATTTCATATTTTTAAAATTTATTAAAATAAAGCCTTAAAATAAATGGTATCCATAAACAGTCCTACCTTGTTAAAGAACAATCCTATTAATCCTATAATTCACTATTGCCAGTTGAGAAATTGGCAAAAATATCATTTTCTTCTTCAAATTCAAACGTTTGAAGATAGCTACTGAGTGGAGAATAGAAAACAAGGGAGGTAATTGAGTTATTATTTCTGGTGTAAATGAGTTTTAAGTGTGAGAATGACACCTATGATCGTATAATAGTGAGTTAACAACCTATTGAGCAAAAGACAAAGAAATAATTATGTTTTGACTTTCTTAGAAAATATGAAATTGTAACTTTAAATAAAACATCAGTTGTTACATTCCTGTTCTGGAAGAACTAAATAAATTAGGCTACATGTTCAGAGAAGTTATGACCAATCAATGTATCGTTTAAGACACAGATCATCGTTTGGAGGATTTTAAATCCGTTATAAATTACAATACTATTAAAATTGGATTATTTATCAGTTTGACAATGGTTAAAACACTTGAAAGTCACCGATTGTCATATTGAATCTGTTGCAATGTACAAAAAGCTAAATCAACGATTATTTATCAGTCCCTAAAAAATACTGGTATATCCCATATTTACAGTATACTGAGTATATCCAGGGTATATCACATAGTTACTGGGCCTGTAACAATACACCAGGGATATATACTGTGGTATATCACATATACTCATATAGTTACTGGGCCTGTAACAATACACCAGGGTATATACCGTGGTATATCACATATACTCGTATAGTTACTGGGTCTGTAACAATACACCAGGGTAAATCACATAGTTATTAGGACTGTACCAGGGGTATATCACATATACTTACTGTATATCAATACATTGCACGATATTTCTGAAGTCAACAGTCACCATTTGTTTGATTGTTTTTGAGTTAACAGAATTTTTCAAACAATCGCATTAATAATCTATTCACTTTATTTACAGTATTACATAAAATAGAGCCCAGATTCAAATCTTAGCCAACATTCTTAGCCAATTAAAAGCCAACATTCTTAACATATATTATCATTTGTTATTTGGCTATTTACGACCCTGGGCAATGGTGTTTATATATATATATATATATATATATACCGGTATGATGTTTATATGACGTACTTCAGTACAAAATGAACCAAACATTCAAAAGACTGATGATTTATATTGGTAGGATAAAATCCCCTGTCTTTAGTAAAACCCATATCTAATATGGCCCCTAAACGATTGAACTGCGATAAAATCTGCTCACTTTTTACTTTGGGTAGATTATGTTCTTCTTTATAATAAACCACCAACAGGACTGTTCCATCGCCACTATCTGAAAAAACAATAAAAAAACAAGCTCATGTCCTCTGCTGTCCAACCTCGTGGGTTTTCTCCGGGTCCTCCGGTTTCCTCCCACTGCTAAAGACCCCTATGCGCAAGCCAATTATTGAAATAAAATTGAACCATGTATCAGTCCCGAAATGAACTAGTTTGTGTCGAGTGGACGTTAAACCCCATTTCTCTATCTCATGTCCTCTGATTTAATCCCAAATTAAATAGTACTAGAATGAAACTACTGAGCACACCAGCTGAAATCGTTGAATGGTTCAATTGCTTACTTCCAGAAGGTTAACTGAAACATAGCTTGCCAGGTAACAAAACAAATGCCTACAGTAGCTAATTCACCCGAGCAGTTTATAAATGTCACATTTTTATTCTTTTATTGTTAATACACGCATTTACAAGACAGTAAAAATTGCAATGATGAAAACCTGTTAGACTTGCAGTTCATCCTTGCACTAACATAAACAAGACACTAAAAACAGCAATATTTAAAACTTGTTAGACTTGAAGTTCATCCTTGCACTAACATAAACAAAACATGAACTGATAATCAAATGATATCTATAGCTGTTCAAGTTAGATATTAGGTCCATCCCCGATACCTTTGTAAATCATCAGGTCCATCCCTTGATACCTTTGTAAATCATTAGATCCATCCCAGATACCTTTTACCCCAAAATTTGAGAACTAATTATACCTTGTAAACCAGAAAAAGCCGAATTGACGTCTGTACCGAGCCTGGAAAAGTTTGGACACAGGACAATCGCCGGTGCACTCAGTTTTCCACCTCCTCCAGACGTTGTGTTAAATTCTATTTTCACGTTATGGGCAGATAATCTGGACTGTAAATCTCTTTTTAAAGATTCTTCCATCAATTGAACAATATCTGTTGCTTGACCAGGATTATATATCTCAACACCAACTGTAAAATAAACAAATTATTCCTGTTGTAATTTTACATTGGACACCTACAATCGGCTGATTCTTCCAGGAATTTAATAGTCAGATTCTTCCAAAACTTGATCTGCACATTAAACTTCTAGAAGAATCTGCTGTCTTCAAGGAATTTGACTTGCAAATCTATTCTTCAAGGAATTATATCTCCAGATTCTTCAAAGAATTTGATTTCCAGAATTTGATCTCTGAATTCTTCCAGGAGTTAATTTGCAGGAATTTCTAGAGCTCATGTCACCATGATACAAACATTATTTTAAGACTAAAATATAACTGCTAAGATATCTAATCAATGTATGAAATCCTAAAAGTCCTTCAGGTACCAGACCACTGTTTCACAAGTTACACAATCGTACATTAACAGCTGATGAAGAAGAAAATAATAGAGAATTTAGAAATGTGAAATTATATTCTAACGACGATGAATTCGGCTCTGGCAGCAGACAAACTTTCGATAATAAAATATTACATCGACGATTTCGAAATCAAATTCAAAGAGAAATAGGCCTAGAACATGAGCATAAAAATTCTATCGAATTGGATAATGATGGAGATGAATTTGGAAATCATCGCCAAACCCATGATCGACAATTAAAAAAGAACAAAAGAGAACATTACTATGATTCTAATTATTTTAAGACTAAAATATAACTGCTAAGATATCTAATCAATGTATGAAATCCTAAAACTTCACCTTTTCTTAAACAGAACACAATTTTTATGGGATATCAATAAGTTGTTTATTCTATTAGCAGGACCATACAACGTGTATGTTTATATCATTATCGCTTGATTTTTGCGATAAGAGGTTACTTGTCAAAACGTTGTGGTAGTAGATTAAAAACAGTTATTGATTTCCAATCCAGATTGTGTTCTATTTAATTTGTTCTTCAATCGCTAAATGTCACCTAAAGATAATCACCTTTTCTTATAATTGGTGGAGCTGGCTGTTGAGATAATTCTGATGTGTTCACACTTCTCAATAATTCTACTTTTAAACGCTCTATTTCACCTTGAGCATGTAAATACTCCTCTTGAAGCCATCGAATATCACACGGTCTTACTATTTCATCTAAATGACACAAATACTCTGTTTGACTTTCTTCATCTTTCTTCGTTTGTCCAGTTGGTGGAAATAAGTAGGTCCATACACCCCACTTATTTTCTTTTGAGCCACTTTCATCATTTGTTTGATTTTCATCATCTGTTTGCGTTCGTTGACTATAGACCAACCGTCTGATAGTTTGAGTTTCTCTATCACGTAATTCACATGACTTTCTTTCATCCGTCTGGGTTTCTTTATCGTAATTCATCGATAGTTTTCTCTCTTTATGTCTGCCATCATTGTTCTTCGAACGCTCTGTTTGACTTTCTCTTGAGATATTTTCATCACTTCTCTTAGCAATCATTTCCCTTTCATTCATTAATTTGTTAATCAGCAGCTGCTGTTTTTCTAAAACTTGACCAATTTCCGAGAGAGCTGAATCTATTCTTGATTCCTTCAAAAAAATAATAAATGAATGGAAAATCTTTATCAATGAAAAAACGTATTTTCCAGTCCATATAGAAATTAAAGAAGACTCCATTAAAATAAATATTTAGGCTACATGGATTTTCTAAAACAAAAGATGAAGTCTAAAAGTTAAAGCCTGACAGATCTGTAGACCAGGTATGGCCATGTAACTATAAACCTACATCAAAAATCTTAGTTGATGCTTTTGTGCCGATTGTGAGAGAGAGAGAGAGAGAAAGAGAGAGAGAGAGAGAGAGAGAGAGAGAGAGAGAAAGAGAGAGAGAGAGAGATGGGGTTTAACGTCCACTCTCGACACAAACTAGGTCATTTCGGGACTAACATGTGGTTTTAATTTTATTTCAATAATTCGCTTGCGCATAGGGGTCTTTAGCAGTGGGAGGAAACCGGAGGACCCGGAGAAAACCCATGAGGTTGGACAGGCGACCCCCCTCCCATTGTCACGTACAACCGGGGATTCGAAATTGTGCCGATTGTACTCAAATTGGCAGACCACAGGATTTTTTAAAATGCATCACCCTCAAGAAGAACATGATTACGAAGTGTATGCATTCAATTTGTGGTTCAAGAAAAAGTTTGCTTGCTTAAACATACATTATGCAAGAGGTAAATCTGTCTTTCTTTAGGCCTGAAATGTTATATAAACTATTAATTAGACATTAATTAACTTATTCACACTATAATCAACTCTCGATGTCATTGCTAGCCTGCGATATTTACTGGATTGGGATTCGATTTGCTGCTCAACTTTCATTCAAGATTAAATCATGAAATGGATAATCAAGACTATGTTTTTAATCCTACCGACTTTAGTAATAATCATCGAGGCTAGGCCGAAAATTCAATAGCTAAATTCTCGGTTCAGAGTGGATCAATTTGAATAAAATTTTCAGCAAATACCCTTTACACTATCTAGTTTTTAACAATTATAGTGAGAACTGCCAGTTCTTTATATAATCTCCCATAATGTATCTTTAATTAAATTGTTTTTTCCAACTTACCTGTAAATATTGTATAAGACTTTCTACTGACTCTGTATCAGATAAACCTTGTGCATTGTTTTCATTTTTCAGTCCACCTGTTTGATTTAATTGTTTGTGTTCATCTTTCTTACCATATGTGTTCCACAGTTTCCGATCCTCTCTTTCAAGATGACTCCCATGTTTGGAATCAGTTCTATCTTTGTCCGAACGATTATATCCATGTGCAGAATTCTGTGTAGAATGAGCAACTCTATACCTCGGATTATTTCCAAACTTTTTTGATTCATCTTCTCCAATTTTTCTATAGTCCCGTCCTTTTCCTGTTCCGTGATCATATTTTTGTATTGCTCCAATGTTATGATGTAAATTGGTGTTGGAATCTGCCGGAGTCTCTTTCGAGTTAGTAAAGAGAGGCATTACTTTTTTCCTTATAAAAGACATTCACAAGGAGATAGATGAATATAATTAACTGAAATACAAGGAGAAATTGTATCATTAATACATTCAATACCAGTTCTCTCCTTCTTCGTGTCTGTAAAATACTGACAAACTAACCAGGAATAAAATAAAATGAAATGCTGACGAACTAATCTGAATGCTAAGAATGAGGTTCATAACCTGGTAAAAATAGAATAGTTCGGGGTTGGGGGGGTGGGTGTTGGATGGCCGAAAGACCCCTAAGCGCAAGCAAATTATTGAAGTAAAATTGAAACATATATTAAGCCCAAAATGACCTAGTTTGTGTTGAGTAGAAGTTAAACCCCATCTCTCCCTCTCTCTAGAACAGTTCAAAATTCTATAACTTCTAGAACAAAGCTGCAAGAATTTTATACAAATCCAAATTATGGAATCATATCACCCTTGCCTGTATATCCTCAATTTCATCCACAGTGACAAAAAGGGTATCTGGTAAGTCTTGCATGGTTAATTTAACATAGACCATGATGACTGGGACTTAATCATCAATATGGACCACAGTGATAGGAGCATCTGGTGATAGGGGCATCTGGTTCAATCTAGGTAGTTAGCATAATAATTAATATGGGCCATGGTGATCGGGTCATCTGGTTGAATTAGTCTGATTAACTTAATATTTAATATAGGCCATCCCTTCATGTTCTTCAACTCTGTGGGTAACTTGGATTATGGTAAAAAGACATCTGTTTCAACTTGTGAGCATTCTATATGGTGACAGGGCATCTGATGCAACTAGGCTGATTAACTTCATATTTAATATGGGCCATCAATGACAGGGCATCTACATGAGTCATGGTGACAGGGCATCTACTCGTGTGATTAACTTAATATTTAATTTGGATGATGGCAGGGCATCTGGTTGAACTAATGCTGTTGACGTAATATCTATATTCCAATGAACACCTTTTGAACATTGTGTTCCAAATTGAAACACGAATCTTCAAGACTAATATTCCAATCTATAGTACCACAAATTTCACCAATATTATCAATATTTATTATCCTTTGAAAAAAAACGTGGGGTTGGATGGCCGAATGGTTCACGCGCCCTGTATCATTGAGTCAACTGGCGTGGTTTCGATTCCCCAGTTGTACATGACAAGGAGTAGGGTTGCTTGTCCAACCTTGTGGGTTTTCTCCGGGTCCTCGGATTTCCTCCCATTGCTAAAGACCCCTACGCGCAAGCGAATTATTGAAATAAAAATGAACCATGTGTTCGTCTCGAAATGAGCTAGTTTGTGTTGAGTGGATGTTAAACCCCATTTCTCTCTCTCTTGAAAAAAAAAAACACTGTGAAAGTCACTTCTTAATTGGTAGGCCTAAGCTACAGGCTAGAACCTACCTGTAGGCCTACCGTAACAGTATGTTCAGCGATATCAATGTCAGTGTATTATATTGCGGTAAAAATTTAGAAGCAATTTTTAAAAAGTCCTGTTTAGGACTTGACACAACAGAGAATTAATATTTTACCTGATCTGTTGGCTACCCTTTAAAAAATAATTCTTAGGCCTATTGATAATGAATAAATAATTAACATGGAAGTCTACACCAAAAGTATGGGAGGTATTTTTAACGTCCTCTGTACACAGCTAGCTTCGAATGTCATCTGTCTGGCTAATACGTTATCAAATTTTTATATTTATTTTAATACTTCCTCGAAATTCGAAACCGTAAGTAGAAAAATAAATCGAAAGTAGCTAAACTATCTTTGCTGACATTCCCATGGACCTTATAATATTCCTTACATCATCCACCCTTTTTGTTTAACAGTGATGATTTAACATTTCTACACCAGAGATCCACCATAAAATTACTAATTTTCTGATTCTCCGTGTCTCCCTCTTTCATCAAATGTACTTGCACTTTCGTTTTCGCAAATTGGATGTATTCTTTTGCGCATTCTTGACTATCCATTTTCGTCTTGGCCACGTGACTTATTGAAACGTTTCAATTTGGGAAACTTGCAATATCTATGTGTAAATAGAGAGATAAAAATTAATCTTCTTCTCAGATATTACTTTTAAAATGTTCTATCAAGTTATAATTAGCAATCGTTTAGATTCATAAAGGCAAATTAGACTCGATGATCACCCATTGGCAGTCTAGAATTACAAAAGAATACAACCACCAGCGGCTCGTGTTTTCTCTGGAGTAGTCCGATGGCAAATATTCATTCTTACATGTGTATGAAAGCCTTGACCCAGGGGTTAAAATTGCTGAACCAGTTACAGACAAGATGTGTGTGGACATTATCCAAAGGTTGTAATATCCATCATAAACCAATTTATTCCTTATCAACATCAAGAAACCATAGCACAGAAGAAACCCCAGGTTTACCCCAAAGTCAAAGCTCGGATTTTGAAGACAAAAGTCCTTCAGGTACCAGACCACTGTTTCACAAGTTACACAATCGTACATTAACAGCTGATGAAGAAGAAAATAATAGAGAATTTAGAAATGTGAAATTATATTCTAACGACGATGAATTCGGCTCTGGCAACAGACAAACTTTCGATAATAAAATATTACATCGACGATTTCGAAATCAAATTCAAAGAGAAATAGGCCTAGAACATGAGCATAAAAATTCTATCGAATTGGATAATGATGGAGATGAATTTGGAAATCATCGCCAAACCCATGATCGACAATTAAAAAAGAACAAAAGAGAACATTACTATGATTCTAATTATCAACGTCATAATAAAGATGATAAAGGAATTAGGAATTTTACAACGCCACAAAACAACATGAGATTCGGCAATAGATTTCGAGGAATCAATGAAGATGGTGACAATATTCAAGACATCAACTTGGACAGTTTTAATGAAACAAATATTCATGAACAATTTAACAAATTTACCAATCAAAAGGACAGCATAAATTTGAAAAATAAATTTGGGACACTCAATGAAGAAAATGAAGAGATTGAGTTGAACAGTGTGGATGAATTTGAAGAATTAAGAAATGATAAGCCACATGTGCGTCTGTCATCTGACGACAGACGAAACGTTCCCTATTGGTACGGTCGACAAATTGAAAAGCTTGGAAAACAGGGGAAAATCGATGAGGCGATTGCTGTTCTGGAGGATTGGATGTTGAAACGAGATCGTGTCAAACCTACGAACTACAACTTTTCTGTTTTAATGGGAGTTTTGGCAAGAAATGGAGAAACGAAAAAAGCTTTTAAAGTTTTTAATAAAATGAAGAAAATGGGTCTGGTACCAGATGCCGTCACCTATACAGCTTTATTCAACGCTTGTGCAAATTCACCGTCGAAACAAGATGGCTTACAACGAGCTAAAAATTTACATGAACTGATGAAGGAGAGTGATTGGCACCCTAATTTAATAACGGGGCGAGCGATGATAAAGGCCTATGGGTTTTGTGGTGATTTGCCGGCAGCCTTTGCAGTAATGGATGAAATAGCGGAACGTTATCCTTTAGACCAGAGATGTATCAGTTCTTTGTTAATGGCTTGCATCTCTGAGAAAGAAAATGGCGTGAAGTTGGCGTCGGAGGTTTGGCAGATGATGATTCAACATGGAGTCCAGCCTGATCTACCAATTTATAATCTTTTACTACGAGTTATCCGAGATTGTGGTGTTGGACACGATTTTACTCAAATAGAAGCAGGGAGTATGAAAGATTATCCACACATCACAGAAACCGGTACCTCGTGGAATCTAGTGAGTACTGTAGAAGACAGTCAAACTTTCCAAAACACATCAGAGAATTCTACATCCATGAAAAATAAAGAAGAATCAGATAAGGAAACAGTAAGAAATATGTCGGAGAATTCATTGAGAACTTTGCCGACGAATTTTATGGTTCATCGTGTTGATTTTAATCTATTATCCAACGTTGATTTCAGTGAGAGGGCAAATCGCATGGCATTGATTGGAGGAAGAGAGAATTTCTTGGATCATATGGTAAATAGTGGCGCTAAACCGGATATAAAAACATTTGCGTTGTTGTTAGACAACACGTTTCAGACACTGGAAGAAGAAGATCGCTTGTTGATGATTATGGAAAATTATGGCGTTCATCCTGATCAAGAATTTTACAACACCTTAATGAGAAAAAGATGTCTGAGGAAAGATTTTGACGGAGCCAAGATCATGTTACGAAAAATGACCAGTCACAATTTACAACCAAATATGGAAACATTTGAAATTATAGCTATAACGTGTCGGAAACAGGCAGATGGGTTGCAGTTGTTAAAAACAATTGAAGATATCGGGGGTCAGCCGAGTCGAAAAATATTCACATCTTTGATGCGATGTAGTGGAGTTAATTTCTATTATAAACTCGATCTTATTAACAGGATGGAGAATTTAAACCTACAGCCGGACAGTCATTTATTACAACATATCGAAAGGGATGTGAAAAGAGGTAAAAATCTGATAGTGGAAATGGAATCTGGTCGAAGAGAGAAACAGAGTTTGTCGTTTTTAACTGGGGGCATCAATAAGTTTATTGTTTATTATACTTCATGGCTAAAAAGATGTCAAGTTTCGGGATTTGATGAAGTCTAGAACTAAATATGGGCTTATATTGCCAAGAGACTTGTAACATTATTGTCTTTAGGAAACAAAGTTGGTGGGGGGGGGGGTGACGGCAGCAACACTCCCTTAAAGAGTAGCAGTGCTTGGTTAAGAGAAATAAAAAGGTGGGGTTTAACGTCCACTCGACACAAAATAGGTCATTTCGGGACTTTTAACATATGATTTAATTTTATTTCAATAATTCGCTTGCGCGTAGGGGTCTTTAGCAGTGGGTTGATAATGGAGTACCCGGAGAAAACCCACGAGGTCACGTACAACCAAGGAATCAAAACCATGCCAGTTGACTCAATGACAGACCTTATGATACGACGTGCGGGTTCAATCCATTCAGCCATCCCACCCCCTAGCTGGTTAAGCCAGTAGATCTGTAGCTGCTCGATCAAAGGATGGCGCCAGTGAAAAGAGCAGACATTAATAGATATTTAAAGATCTCTGCACAACAACAGTAGACAAACAGACTTGGGTTGAAATGAGAGGGGGTTTATTCATCCTTCATAACATCTCAGGTTAAAAGACTCTTTATTAAAACATTTTTAATTATCTATTATTGTATTTATCTGTTGGTCATATTTATAACAAATACTTTTTCATATTTATCCTGTAAGTTTGTTATATTAGGGGGGGATGGGGTCTATTCAAGATTAAAATGTAAGTAGAGACATATTGCCCGCCTACCTGGCTACACTCCTGCCAACATGTATGATTATCAAGCCTGGAAATGGCGCACCTGTCGCAGACATTGTCAGGAACAAATGGAAGCTGTGTCCAATCTGATTAAAACACAGATCCTATTTCGTTTCGTTTTTTATAGTTCAAAATTTTGTTGTACTTGTCTTTACTACACTAGGATCTGGAAAAGTTGTTATCATTGACTTGTTCTGGCTGATGTGAGGGATTAGCCAATGAAACGGTCTGTTACGGTGAGCTTTTGGTGCACGGAACTGTGGGTAAACAACAAGAAATGTCAACGCTGATTGATTAATGTCTGACATCATAGGATCAAATGCCACTCGTTTGACCCCTGACATGAACTCCCACTATAACTCGTCAGATCTTCATGTAGTGTAGTCCATCGAAAGTATAAAAAACAAAACGAAATATAGATGTGTATTTTAATCAGATTAAGCTGTGTCAGGAACAATCATTTTATTGCCAGTCAGACACAAATTTGACCGTTTTATCAGTGTCTAATGATATTTCGCCTAATAGTTTGGATGCAGCTATTGCGGGTGTGGCGCCAGGCAGGGTAAGCTTACTCTTCCGGACACCTGTTTGTCATGTATTTTATACACGAGGAGCAGTCCATTTGCTGATTACACTATTTTGCTTGAATACACTATTTTGCCTATAACGTTTTTTAGGACTTCGAATTCTGTCTTATGGTTTGGATTGTTCGTACTTGGTTTTATTTTATTTATAAAATAAGTCCAGGTAGCGTACTACTAGTAATCATGCCATACATTTTATCGAGTAAAACTTATTATTATTTCTCGACCTGTATTTAAATGATAAATAAAACAGTGAACACTTTGATTCTGTATTTATTTAAAATACAAACAAATTATAACAACTTGTAGGATCTTTATATATATACAGTATTCTATAAATACATTCTGACAGCTTAACTTATAGTGGTCTCAATCCTACATGTAACCAGTGGATTTCAGTCCCTTGGTAAACAGTTTAACTTATAGTGGTCTCAATCCTACATGTAACCAGTGGATTACAGTCCCTTGGTAAACTAAGAATGAACAAGTTTAACTTATAGTGGTCTCAATCCTACATGTAACCAGTGGATTACAGTCCCTTGGTAAACTAAAAATAAACAAGCTTAACTTATAGTGGTCTCAATCCTACAAGTAACCAGTGGATTACAGTCCCTTGGTAAACAGAGAATGAACAAGCTTAACTTATAGTGGTCTCAATCCTACATGTAACCAGTGGATTACAGTCCCTTGGTAAACAGAGAATGAGATACATGAACAATTTAATTAACAGATATAGCTTCAGGGTATAGAAGACTTTCTAGGAATTGGAAGCAGGGTAGTGAATATCATCAGCCCTAGACCTAGCCTGTGTTATGTCAAGAATTGACTTAATAATAAAATCTTTATTTGGGTTGAGACTTAGGCCTAGGGCCTGTTTATAAATCTGCACACAGTTATTAGTGACTGGATAATCTACCCTGGTAGTCACAATTACCCAGTTGACTTTAACTTGTTTTTAAAATAGAGCTAGCAATGCTTATGTTTTAATTAGAAGTAATACAAGTAATTAAAGCATTCATTTTGTGTGAGTGAAAGCATCCTTTTTTGGTTTAATTAGAATATAACTAGATTGGACATTTTATTATTAAACTACAAGAGCCTCATTCACAAAACATAAACTATAACATTTTAAGGGTGCAGCCTTTTTCATTTACTAAGAACTGTATTTGAAGTTTTAACATTTGGCCAATGAAAATTCTGAATCCTTAAGAATATTTTAGTTGATGTTTTTTTAAATAAGGTTTCAGGACTACTAAACATATGATTAATAATAAACAGGTTTAACTTGAACCCTAAAACCCCAACATCTCTCAGAAACAGACGACAACCCAACATCTCTCAGAAACAGACGACAACCCAACTATCAGGACCCTTAATTCATGAAAAAATAAACTACAATATTTTCATTGATTAATACTTGTACAAGATTTTAACTTCCTGCCAATAAAATGACTAAAATATTATAGTTAAAAGTTTCATTAATGATGCCCCAGGTTTTCAAAAGTTTCACACTTTTTTAAAACAGGACGTAAGTTATATGATTCATAGAGAACACATTTATTTAATCAGGCTTTTAACTGACTCAGTATACAATTGTTAACATGTCCATAATCTTATTGTTTATGTATGATTTACATTGTCACTTTGTAAAGTGCCTCTGAACATGTTATATGAAAGGGCGCACTATAAATATGCTATAATAATAATAGAGTAACATCACCATGGTAATAAAGAGGTATTTTATTTACGTACACACATTCTTACCTACCCCATGTTCTCGATGTCATTTACAAATTGTCATTAATCAATCTGTCTTAAAAGAATGTGGCACATTTCGATTGGTTACGCCTCAAGAGTTATGGTTCTTTTTTTTTTACAATCCAAAGTCAGGAAATGAGACACCTGTCACAGAGATTATTGTGACACACACCGTCTGATGTCTGCCATTTTGTCTGGCACAAATTTGTATTTTTTCTGTGTTTTAATGAATATTTTTAAAACGGTTCAATATACTTCAACAGGGTTGTTAAATTTCATGGATATTTTTAATATATGTTCAGCACACGGTTTATGTGGTCAAATACACTTTAACAGGATCATGACATTTCATCAGAAGTAAAACTATATATCCTTATTTCCAGATCGGCCATCATCTGTCAGTATTTGATTGCTGTCCAATAAACGAAAAATGCGACCGTATTTTTCTAACTCAATTTAGGAAGTAGTTTTATCAGCAAAACGTAGAAAGTAAAAAATAAACGAAGAATGTGAGATATAGAATTTAAGTAGTAATTTATCAGCAAAATGTAGAAAGTAAAAATTAAAGAATACAGCCGTTATTAAATTTCTTACTAAATTTAAGTATTGATTTATCAGCAAAACGTAGAAAGTAAAAAATAAACAAACATGAATTAAAATGATAACATTTCAAAACTAAAAACAACTTCCTTAAATTCTTTTCATATCTAACAAAATATCAAATACAATAACAAATATAAAAGATACATACACTTAGGGTGAAAAATTCTACGAAAAAAAGTGAATCAGTATCGATGTAGGTTGCCAGTTAACGTTATACATGTTTGTATGTCACAATGTCAAAGGTCAAGTTTGTATGTCATAATGTCAAAGGTCAAGTTTGTATGTCACAATGTCAAAGGTCAAGTTTACATGTCACAATGTCAAAGGTCAAGTTTACATGTCACAATGTCAAAGGTCAATCAAGTGGGGAAAACTGGTAGAGCTTTGTAAAACATCCAAATTATCATCTATGTATGGATGGATCAACTGAGCTCCTCTTTAAAGAAGGGGGGGGGGGTTATTTCAGAATCTGTAATCAAATTATTCTAACAAATGAACTAAATCTGAACCCCAGGACCAACTCAAGTTAATTCTCCGTTCTTCGTGGTTTTGATAAATAAACAGCCAATTAAATCATGTGATACATGTATTTTGTTTAAAAGCTTTTGTACTTTCGGTTTTCCCAAGGAAATAAGAAGTAAAATTTTAACAGGGATTCCTGAAGAAGAAGAAAATCCAATTGCTGTGGCCTAACTCTTGTTCACTGCACATGCAATACAGTTAATGGGGATATACAATTAACATTATGGAATTGATTTCGCTAAATCCCCTAAATCGAGTTAAGAGTGGGATCTCGACCAACCAGGACAGCTGAAACATATTCGTTGTGTTTAATTACATGGCTATTCTACTCACACCACCTCCGTTGTCAAGATCTGTGACACCCCACTCGATTACAATTCTATCCATTCTGGACGTTCCGGACTGACGATCCAATCGTCGCCATTGTGAACGGTCTGGACGTTCCGGACTGACAATCAATCATCGCCACTGTGAATGGTACACTGATTCTGGACATTCCGGACTAACAATCGCCATTGTGAACAGTAGACTGATTCTGGTATCTAGACCACTGATGCGATTAAAAACAACATTTCTATCCTTCCTTGAATTTGAGCAGCCTCAAATATGAAATGTATTTGGTTATATAAATTGCATTCATAATAACAAAATTCTTCTTTCTTAAAACAAGTAAAACAGTAATAACGATAAAAAATTGAGAGAAACGACAGTCCTCAACGTTAATTAACTGTGACAGACAAAGTCAGTCAGGGTTAATCCTAACCCTAGAAACGACAGTCCTCAACGTTAATTAACAGTCACAGATATTGTGAGCCAGGGCTAACCCTTATCCTAACCCTAGAAACGACAGTCCTCAACGTTAATTAACTGTAATCCTTGAGTGGCATTTAGCGGTTGAACACATTAAAAACACAACACAGACACAGTTTATATGGAAATACAATCACTGGTTTATGTAGTAGTTATTAGCACACTTTCCTCGGTGTATTGGTGAAGATCAGAAAAGTTTTGGTCGAGGGGCCCAACCGAGGAAAGGTGCTAATAAGTCACTTACATCACATTTCTATCGAGTATTGTGAAGCGAAATGTGAAAAATAGTATTTATTATCGAGTCGTGTCAAGCGAAATGTGACAAATACTTTCTGCTAATAAGTCACTTACATCACATTTCTATCGAGTATTGTGAAGCGAAATGTGAAAAATAGTATTTATTATCGAGTCGTGTCAAGCGAAATGTGACAAATACTTTCTGCTCTTTCATTTATCCCTTTCTGTGCCTCACGTTATGTTTCGTGGTAGACTGATTTTGCAGTGGAGAAATGACCTGAGTAGTATTTACACGTGCGTCTTGCTGCGTTACCCTGAGCATAAAACAGTCACATCTTTTTCTTTAGACTGCACTCCGTATTGAAAGACGAAGTTGTTTTGGCGAAGTCAGTGAACATAGAGCCAACCACATCGTCAAAACAACTTGTCCCTGGCGTAGAGGATTGCAATTATATTAAACGCAATGTAAAGGACACTGCACAACTTGGGTAAATCCTGGTGTAGTGTGCATCGGTGGATGGTTCGTCCGTTGAAATTTATTTGTAATAAAATTTATGACTTTCTAGGCGTTTGTTTTCATCCTGCTTATTTTCAATGCTTGTATAAAAGTGTTTGTTTGTCGGAAATGAACAGTGCTCTTTCTGGAAAGCGTACTGTTCATTTCTGATACACGGATACTTTTATGCCTGTATTGGAAATAGACAGGACAGTTTTATCAAAGGTTGCCACTGGCAACGAGGTAGAAGTGGGATGTAAAGGCATAGCACGACGTTTCGACAAGTATTCTCTTATCGTTGTGCTTGATAACGATAAGAGAATACTTGTCGAAACGTCGTACCATATGTGTATAAACCAGTGATTGTATTTCCATATAAACTGTGTTGTGTTTTTAATTAACTGTGACAGACATTGTGAGCCACCTATTCCAACACATTCTGCACACACAACTATGAGAATGAATCTCTGTCTTTGGATTATAAGGTCTGTCAAGAGGCGCATGGTTTCGATTCAACCTCGCATATCAAAACTCATGGGTTTTCCCTATGTCAAGTTGACGTAAAGCCATACTAACCAAGTGGGGGTTGAATAGCCGAATGGTTAGCGTGTGCGTTGTATCATAAGGTCTGTCATTGAGTCGAGTGGCGTGGTTTCAATTCCCTGCTTGTACATGACAAGGAGTAGGATCGCATGTCAAACCTCATGGGTTTTCCCTGGTTTCCTAGTTTATGTCAAGTTGAGGTAAAGCCATACTCTTTGTCTATAATAACTAAGTGAACTGTCGTTTCCCTTGATTCTATCGTTATCAAATTTAAAACAAAAGACTTGAATTGAAAA